TGCAAGAAACAAAAGCAGAATTATTCAAATACAAGCATTAATCTAGGTCTTGTTTCTTTTTACATAACTTGAGTTATTTCTCACATGTGCATTATTTTTGATAACTTTGTAAGATTCTTCCTCTTCTTACAGAATCTCTTCTATACTCACTAACCACTACCTGCCCTTTTTTTGCTATACTGTTTATAGTAACTTCAGCTTTGTACTTCAACAAAGTATTTTTCAAAAATAATGAAAAATTTTCCTCTTTATACTTTGGTGATTTACAACAGGTATCCTATTCCTTCCAGTTAAGCTACATGCTTCCCATATGAAACTCTGAAATTAAATTGCACAATTTAAAGTACACTAAGTTTCTCTAAGGGAAGCTCCCATATCTACCAGTATGGAATTTAACCTGCTTCCAGTTTCTCTGAGGCAGAACTACATTTCTTAATCAAGGCCAGCACACTTGCTGATGAACCAGATGGCTCAAGTGTGCTTTCCTGTAATAACTTCTCTCCTCTTTTTAACCTATTTCTTTTATTCGCTGAGGATTAACATTCTCTCTTAATAATTCCCAAACCTTGAAAAGAGAAAATCACGAAGGAGACAGTGACCAAGAGAGTCTAACTATGCCAATACAGGAAGAATTACTGAGACGAGAGACATTGGTGAAATAACTGAATGGAATAGAACTGCAATATATATATATCATACAAAATATATGATGCTGCATACAAGCAGTAAGGCAAGAAAGGAAAAAAATTAGTACATTTATTGAAGAAACACTACAGTAGCTTCACTATTAAGTTATACTAAACTACATAAATACTGCAAAGAAATAACCAAATAAAAAAAACATAGCCACCTTGTGTAGATTTTATCCACAAAGATTTTCAAAACAGTTTTGCAAGGACAAAGAAACAAAAATATAAACTGTAAAATGAAACTGAGGAAGGATAGTATGTCCTTTCAAAACACCTCCAGAGACAGAAATCAGTTTGGCATTTTAAAACCTCAAACAAAAATCAAGCATTTTAGCAGGAGTTAGTACCCTAATAGTTATTAACTGTCTTGTAAATCTTTCAGCTACCATTTAGATTCTACAAAGTCAAATATGAAAGTTTACTTTACAGGTTCTGTGAAAGATTTTGGTAATTAATCCCTAGGCTTACACTTCAAATAAGTTTCAAGAATCATTTGCTGTATCTGCCAATAATTCTCTCAAACAAGATAAAAGGAAAAGAATGGCCTGTGACACGTTAAAGAAAGGCTGACATGTGAAGAGAAGTTTGTAAGATGGTAGGTACTAGCACTGAAAAATAAAGAACATAAAGTAAAATAAAATAAATACATATATGTAAAAACCTGCTTGGTTTTGCAGTTTTGGTCACCATCAGTTTTCAAATTCTAGTGTTTTCTAATAAAACTTTAAGAGAAGCAGCAAGCTTTCAAAGCTGCATCAAGTTCCTAAAGGAACTACTCATTTCAGTTCTCTTCAAAAAACATATCATAAATACCAAGACATTCCACCTGAAGCTAGCTGCTTCTGTACATTAGGTAATTTATTCTGATAGTGATTTAAAAATAAGTTATCAATAAAAGTATGGTTTTCTTCAATGTAACATATTTATATTTATAAAATAAAGGAGATTATATAATCTCAATATCTATAACAAATAAATAAAAGAACCATCAAGTTATTCTTCACAAATGCCAGTGAAACTATAAATAAGATGGATATTTTACACAGCAGTACATTCTCTATGACAAACATGTTAATTATGATGAGGTATACAAGCCTAAGAAAAAAAAAAATATTCACAGTAATATGGAGGCCAATGCTGTTCAGAAAAAAGCTGCATTTCTCACTTATAATTGTAATAATAAGGATCTGTATCTTAAAACAACTGGAAGTTCTTAAATCAATGCCATTGACTGAGGGCAATACGAATGTCAAACTTTCGATTGTTTTTCTCATCACAGTGAGCTGATACTGCCCATTTTGACCACCGGAAAACTTTAAGAAGGCTTCATTTTTTTTGTATGTCTTTCAGCAAAGTCACAGCAGTATGTTAAGCACTGGAATCAATTTTGCATACTTCAAGTTTCACAGATGCGCAACAACAATGCTCTAGAGTATCATATGCTATTAATTCACAGGCTATTCAGATAAACCTGGGAGGTAATACTGATGTAGCTGAAGTTTGTGTCACTATGAAAAATGTATTGGTAGGTCTCATGGGGATCCGAGAACCTGGTACACAAATCAGAATTGTGAATGTCTCCCAAATACCTACAATCACTGACAAACAGATTTCGGATAAAGCAGAAAAGATATCTGGCTGCAGACCTTGCTAACATTGGGACACCAGTTTCTTCAGTAGTCTTGCCTGCAGGACTTTCTTTTCCCAAGGCTTCTAATCAGTAACTCAAAGGCTAACTTGTTTACCAGGATCCCTTTGTCAATCAGGCTTTTACAAGAGTCCCACATATAATTTTACTATTTAGGTAGGACTAAGGAACAATGTAATTAATCCCTGAAAAGCAGAATAGACTGAGGGCAGCGAATGCTGTTGCATATTCTCTGCTGTGCCTTTCCCCCAAATCTCTGTACCTACACAGAGAGATGACAGATTATATATTGTCCTTCACCAGCAGTGAGTACCTGGAATCTGGAAAGGTCTAGGATGTTATAGGAATTTGTCAGCAAACTGACATTCTGACAGATCAGGTAATTGTAATTACTATTCTCCTTGTAATGGGAAGCTCACTGATACCAAATCTCTTAGGATCATCTAGGGAAAAATCCTTAAGAGTGCTTCTAAACAACCACATTGTACTCTTCCTTCTAGCCCTATTTACTCAAAATATTTGAAACATTTATTCTTATTTCAATTTTATCAATTGAAAAACTAGATATATTACACATATTTCTCAGTCTTTCTAGTGGAAAATTGAAACCAACTTTCATTGCAGAGACTTCCCCAGGAACTCCTGGAGGAAGACATCCTGCCCAAAAATTCATCAGGAGTGGTAGGGAAATAAATTTTCCAGACTTCTTCAGTGTTAATTATAGGAAGGCACAACGTTTCACAAGATTTGTTCCAGCAGACAAATAGAGCACTCAAGTTCTGGAGACTCTTACTCCTCCCCCATATTGCTACTGCATCTCTTAAGAGTTGCACTGTCACTGAGCAACTGAGTCAGGGACTTTATGTAAATAAGGATATTTGAAGGTAAACAGGGCATGGATTACCTTAAAGAACAAGTTGCTTCCAGGTTGTCGATACAGATGTTTTAGTCAAAGAAAATAAGATCACCAAGACACATTTCCATTAGTTCTGAAAGGCTGAAAAATCTCTGCAATGGCTGTAACTTTTTTAGTAATAAACATCGCTGTCCAGATTTTGCAACTTCCTAGCATTGAAAAGTGTCAGATGCTACCAGGTGGCACCCACAGACTTCAAGGTATATCAGGGCTCAGTGCTTAACCTAATTTACATCTAGAAATACATAAAATAAAGAATCTGTTCTCATGTGTATGTGGTATGCAGTTGAAAAAAATCACACGGCCCATGACTTACACTTTTCCCGAAGGAAGCTGATCAGCTATACAAACCACATTACTGCACAATTCACGTCAGACTGACACAAGAATCAAAGAGAGTACCCAACAACCTGAAGGGTCACACAGCTTACTAAAATTTGCAGATGCTTCTGAAGGCTGACACTAGATCCTTGGCTTAAGAGGTACTTACTACAAAATTTGAGACGATTCCCTTCCAAAATGAAAAGATACTTTCAAATTCAAAATTCCCACTGCAAAATGTTCCTGTGAGCCAAGCTTGTAGTTAAATGATGAACTCTCGAGAGAACAGATAGAAATATACAAAAGCAGTCCAAAACAATAGTTCTTCCTGAAGAGAAGCAGCTGCTGGTCACATAAAGTAACTGAAGTAGAAAAGAAAGACTACTGTATTCAGTGTTTTGCAGATTAATTCAGTCTCTCACAGCAAGAATTCCAACATCACGTTTGACAGTCACAACAGAACAGCCACAAACCCTGAAACGTGCTGGATCTATGAATGCTTAAACACACACAGGAGATAACTCGCTTTACCTCATCATACAGCAGATACTGAGAAAAAGGGAGCTGATTTGTAGGCTTTATGTTCACCAGGACTCACCAGCCTTCCTACCACCTTCTGCAGGCACTGCATGACTTCCTTCTCTGTTGCTCCCTGCTGCCCTAGTATATCAGAGACCAGAGCAGCAGACAAAAGACAGTGAGGAGCTTTGACAGAAGAGGGTAAGACTGGTAAACACAGGGCCGAGCTATTCTGCATGGATTTCGTAGCAGTTGTCACGTTTAGGTGGAGAACATGGCAAATGCGTATTTTTGAAAGTGGAAAGAAAGAGAAGATCAAACTGTTACAGTCTGAGAGAGGAATGTGAGAATGTGATGAAGTTCAATAATTATTATGTTCAGAAAAAAGTACCTAGAAGACATAAAATAACAAGTCACTTAAGTTCCAGTTTTAGTCAAAAGAAAACTTTTTAAATTAAAACAAAAGTATAGGGGATTTGCACAGTAATTACTTACAACTGTGCAAATAAGACTTAGCAGTAAGAGGGAATCCAGCTGCCAATCTACTCCGTGTAAGTGAGGAGGCAAATAAAAGACACACGGAATACGTAAGGGACACATTCAACAGTCTAATTGATAGGATTTTGACTTTATACATCATTAGACAAAAGATTAAGTGAAAGCACCTATTGTAAGCAGTGGATCATAATAAATTTGAAAATAAGGGACTCCAAGTACTCTGGCAGGGAAAACGTAAGGTCTATTTTCATTAATTTTACATAATACAATTTATTTAAGGAGTTATCTGATATGGCCAGTTTTTAAGATTCAAAAATGTTAGTCTAACACAAAATGCCACTACCACACACATCTATGATATAAAGGAAATTTTATTTTATAAACTCTTGTGAACAAAATAGACTTCATATGGAGAACCAAGGAGGGAGTTATTGTTTATTTACATATGGAATTTAGACTATGTGCTAGAAGATCTCTCTACAGACAAACTTCAGTTTACTTACAGCACAACAAAGTTTCACAAGCATAAAAGTTCAGCTACTGATCCAAAATAAATTAGAATACAGTTTGCACATGGAATATGGAGTTGCATCAGCAAACTGCAAAGAAAACTGAGGCAACTATACCATTCTACTGAAACAGTGTTAGCTACCATTAGATATATATGTATAAGCATCAGTTTATGTAACACACTAACAAAAAGTTTACACTTCCTCATTATTTACACTGGAGTGCAAACAGAGCACACACCTCAGCTGCTACACCAATATTTATTTTTTCTTTCACATACACTTCTTTCCTGCATTTCCCAGGTTTCATACACACTGCTCCGTAACAATAAAAGCATTCTTTTGGTTCTATCCTTCTCATATAAGCATCACATTCACAAGTTTGGCTGCTGAGAAACTACAGAGAAGGAAGAGACAATCTTACAAACTCTACAACACCCAAAATTCAATTAGCATAGGAGAGGCGTGCTAGAACACATTACAGCACCTTACAGCAGCGTCAAAGCAGACCCGCCACTTACACACACTCTGAAGTTTCCTCAGAAGTCTCTACCAGTTAAACATGAGCTCTCACTTTCTATGTTGGTACCTGTTTAATTTCATCAGTTCTTGTAAGGCCAGATTTTGCATTTGACTTCGGACTGCAACATGCAACCTGGGGAGCAGGGATGGAGTTAAACAAAATTATACCAAAGACAACAAAATTGGATGCTTACAATAAAGACAGTTTGGAAGAGTTGTTGCATTTCTCTTAACATAGGAAGAATAAAATAGTAAGCCTGTCCAATTGCTTTAAGTACATTTATTCTTCAAAACACTCAAGGGTAAGCAATTAGAGGCTTAATTACAAAATCATGAGATTATTCTGCTTCAACCAGAAAAAGCCCATCTTTCTATATCTACTCCTGATTATGCTGGCCTTAAGCAGACTCTCTTCCAGGGCTCTATAATTCAGCTGTTACATCCTGGAACAGAAGCTATTCCAACAAGTGTCACGGCTTAACCCTAGACAGCAATTAATCACCATGCAGCTGCTCGCTCACTCACTCCTCCCAGTGGGAAGGGGAAGAGAAGTGGGGGGGGGGCCAAAAAAAAAAAAAAAAAAAAAAGTAAAGCTTATGGGTTGAGCTAAGAACAGCTCAGTAACTAGAACAGAGTAAAATATAATAATGAAAATACAATAATAATAACAATAATTAAAAGGAAGGTAACAAAAAGAGAGATAAAACCCCAGAAGACACAAGTGATGCACAACGCAATTGCTCACCACCCGCTGACCGAGGCCCGAGCAGTGACCTGCCCCCCCTGCCCCGGCCAGCTCCCCCCAGTTCACACACTGAGCATGATGTCTGTGCTGTGCAACAGCCCTTTGGCTAGCTGGGGTCAGCTGCCCTGGCCACACTCCCTTCCAGCTTCTTGTGCACCTGCTCGCTGGCAGAGGATGGGAACTAAAGCACTACTTAGCAACAACTAAAACATCAGTGTATTATGAACATTATTCTCACACTAAATCCAAACCACAGCACTGCACCAGCCACCGGGAAGAAAATTAATTCCATCCCAACCAAAACCAGGATAACAAGCTGTTCCATGATCTAACTTTGATCTTTGCACCTACACTCGGCTATGTCAGCTATGCAATACAATGGTCTGCAGCATCCAAACCATAAACCTGGTTATTTTTAAGAAGTTTCTAATTTTTTTTTTTTTTTTGGAGGGGGTTAGGATGGAGTCAACAGGAAAATTTATTAAGACTGCACCAGAGCTGTTGACTCACTAGAGTCTGTAAAATATATGCTACATTTCGCTTGCAAAATCCTTGTGACAGCTGAAATTAAAAAAAAAAAAAAATCATTATAGCTAGAAATAGAAACACACTCCTCCTTAAGGAAAACTAAGCTTTCAGCCAAGCAGCTAGCCATACATATAAGCAGCAGCCTTCAAAGAACGTCTGGATTTCCATTATGTTTTGCATTATTTCCCTCCATTGGGCTAACAAACACCACAGTCAAATCTTTATCTCACTCTTAAGATACAAAGATAGAATTGCTAAGCAGAGAGACACAGTTTAAATTACTGCCACCTATTTCTATCCACCTCATCTAATCAGTTGTGAGGTTTATGGAAGTCTCTAACAAATAACCAACAGTACTGCTGGACTGTGTAAGTTGAAGTAGCTTGCACAGGCTGCTCCACAGAAAACAACACTCAGAATCACTTTAGTTCGATGGCTCTGTCTACCACATTTTCCTTGTCCATAACAAAAACTGTATTTTCCATGGGCTTTGCAATAGCATTGAGAATCACATCTTATTCTGGCTAAAGATGCAAACTGTGTAGAAATGATGCTACCTCAAAGAAAAACACTACAGCCAATGCATTCCTTTTCATTTCTGAACAATATAGCACATGTTAGTCAGACCTCTCTACACCTTCCCAGCATCTTTATTTGTAAAATTAGTCAGTAAGCAGTTAGTATTACTAAGTAGACACACAGTTTCTACGCATGGATACCTGATAGTTACTATCAAGCAAATGGCTATAGTTCAATCAACTGTGAGCTCAATTTTTAAAGTCAGCCTTCGAAGTTTCTCCTCTTGGTGTATCTAGAAGTGTATTTACCAGTCTAAATCCACCCAGAACAATTAATCTTTGAGATTCTCTGCCTTGATTATACTTGAAAAAAACAAACTACCTAGTCTGATGGCTTAAAAACGTTGTAGAGAAGTTGCAGACTCATAAAAACCCTGCAATTATCCATAAAAAGAGCAGTAGTTTCAAGAATATAAAAACCACATTCTTGCATAAAAACTTACCAGTGAAATCTCTGGACTAGAAAATGGGGAGCTATCAAAAGATCGATTTTCTTTGTCCAGGGAATCATCTTGATCGTAATTTTTATGTGCAAATTTCTGCTTTAGTGCATGAGTTAGTAGAGCAACTGGATCCCAATCTGAACTTTGCCTCTTTTTGGGTCTAGAAAGAGGAGTACCTCCAGGTGACCTACAAAAAGAAAAAAAGAAAATTATTGTGTACTGCCCCCTATCCTGTGCTGAATGATCCAAAAAAACCTAGAGACAGAACTTCTGTATACATCCCTGATTACATAAATAATGCTGCTAATGTTATTTTACAGCAATTCACCAAATAGGACCAATACAAGTAACCTAACAACTCATCAGCCAGATTCTTGGCTTGAAAATACAACTTCATGCTTTGCCACAAAGAAAAATGGCAGTAAATCAACACAAAGTATTAAACTATTGCAAATTAAAAATGAGGGGGAAAAAAGGGAAAATGTGCAGATTTATCACAGGTCTTATAAGTTATAGTAAGTTATGCTAGTGGGAAATTCCCACTAACGTATTTCATAACCATTGTGAACGTAATTTGATTTAAACTTCATTAATTTTGAGTTCAGAACAATATGCCTTTCTATGGACTCATGAGAAAGAACAAACTTACAAAATTCCTCAGAGCAATTATATTTAAAGAAAACAACCACTTTAAGTCAAATATGTAGCCAGATGATCATAAAGTCCCATTTATAAACCACACTTAAGTTCCATTATTAAAAAAATCATCAGATTTGATACAAAGGCTTCAAAGACAGATTTTCCCTCTAAGTGAGCACCTGAGCATCCAAATATAAAAATTTCATAGGCAAAAATTAAAAAGTAGCTTGTATTTTCATTTAGAAAAACTGTTCTTACCAAATTCAAAATATAGCAAAGATACCTAAGATCAAAACAGCACCTGCACCCCAAAACCTAATATAAATGTAGAAGTTAGTGACTAGCTCAAGAAAATAAATTACAAGAAAGATTTCCTAACCATTATCATATTTGAAAAAAAAAAAAAAAAAAATCTAGAAATCTAGATGTGTTCGGATTTCTACTAGTAAAGCACTATCTCCAGGCCAACAAATTGTACCTATTAATGCACACTGACATCACTGAGTTCAAAATCTGGCAGTTACAGCAGACGTCATTTAACATGAAACCTGGAAGGACTGAGTTGATCCTTCCTACAGAATCAAGCTGTTAGAGTACTGGCCCAATGTGCAAGCTGGTGCTCAGGTGGTAGAAACTGGGATCTTCAGGCTCTCAACTTCCAAGAAGAGAGGTCTTCCCTTTACAGTGCACACACTGAACTGCTGTCAGACTGCTGCCTGAAACATTATAGCGATTTTGATCCTCATTACTCCCTCCAGCAATATAAATTCATTTTCCAGTTAAGTTCTACCTTCAGAATGCAGGCAGATGCCTGAATCTAGAATGCATTTTGGATGTACACCTACCACTTCCTACTAATTATGCCTCTGCTCAACATGATGGTTGTTAAAACCATCCATCTGAACATCTCACATTCACTCACCAGACATGTAATTACATGGAAGAAAACATATATAAGGAAACACACAGGTTTACCTAGGTGCACTTTATATTTGCTTTATTTACTGTGAAAAATGTCATCAAAAGTGCAAAGGTATGCTTTAGAGTTGCATATAATTTGCCCACTGCTTGTTCTAGTTATTTTCAGAGATAAAAGTCACAGTGAAGAAAATGCTGAAAGAAGGATGCAGTGAATTTGGTAAGTGACAGTCTTCCCACATTAAGAGATCCACATATTCATTAGACTCAGTTGTTCTTATATACTTCTTCAACTCGTTAAAGTTCAGAAAAGAAATCTGACAACCTCTATCACACCTAGCAGAGCAAAGCAATACTGACCCAAAGAGGTATTGAGGTCTTCAGCAATGCATTTTTGTAACATCAACTGTGCTCACCATCAAAACATCAGACTATTAAAAATATTTATAATCCAACTGCATTACTGAAGTGCAAATTTACAAAACACCTTCAATAAAAGATACAGCATGTATTTTCTTTAACACTTTAAAGCTAGGACCAGAATACTTCGAGTATGTTAAGTTTTGCAATGTTTCCCAACAGACGTGTCCTTTCACAGTGAATCAAAAAAATCTATTTGTTCAGATCAATTTCCTGTGACTGTGTAGGCAACTTTGTAAGCCATCTCCAGCTCCACAACACACCCACCTCCCCACAGCAAACTGAAATTTGTATACTAAAGCAGGAGATTAGTTTTAAATGCTGTGCTATTCAGCACGTTTTAAATGCCATATCACAAGTATCTATCTTATATTCCAAACTGTGACCTTGGAAGTTGCCAACCTAAGTTTTGTCAGCAGTAGCTGCTTATTAAATACTTCACACTGGTATTCTTTGGTGCTACTTAAGTGTTGTGATGCCTACACAGGCTTGGCTTACTCAGATACACATTCAATTCAACCTACCTCTCAATAGCTCTCAGCTGAACTTTGTTTAGGTCTTTCAAAACATCCATCATACTAGGAACGTTCTTCATCCTCTGGTGATCAGCACTATCAGCTGCAGTTGAACCACTATTTTTTGCTGCACGACTTTGTTTTATAAGTTCAATTGCTGAATTACTAGCATCAACACCAGATGGTACACCAGAAGGAAGTAAAGGAGGCGAGGGAATTACAAAGTGATTGTGAGAGACAGACAATGGCGTAGAAGTTGTGGCTGGCACTGGGTAAAATCCATCTGGAATGCTGAATGTTTTAAAGGCTTCTGGATGCAGTTATAAAAGAAAAATAGTGATTTTAATTTTCAGTCAGTATACCTTCACAATTAACAATATTAAGCAACATCTAGGATGATTCAGTTTTAAGTCAAGGTAAGACAGCTCCCTTAATGCACTAACATACTGCATACATTATACCCACAGAAGAATTCTGTTTAAAACATTTTTCACTTCAAAGCCACACATTCAGAACACATGAAATTATGAATCTAAGGCGTCTTGTGCTGCTCTGATTTTCTCTACTTGTATCTTCAATCTAAGCACAATCAGCACAGCAGCACTCCAACAACAAAGCAGCCTGACACTACATTCAGTTCATTCTCAATGGTGTGAAGGTTAGAATAACACACAGGAAGCAAAAGCAAAGATAACCACAAAACACGTAAAATAGACTACAATACTGAGTGCAATGGATAGGAGACAAAAAAAGAGGCAACAGAACAGCTAACTGAATCACAGAGGTACCTCACAATGCCACACAAAGGTAACTACCTCACACCAGTCCAAATATTTCAACAACCACAGTGGGGTTAGTCTGCAAGACAGTCAAGAGCTCAAAACTTTTAAAGGGAAAAAAGACACAAGATAGTTGGTCTCCAATATGAACGTCTATCTTGGATAGTCTAGTGACACATCTATTTGCAGCGTTTGTTTTTATTAAAGCCTGAACCTGACCGATTTAGAATACTTTTTCTATCCCTTATTTTGATAACTTGTCAGAAACAGTATAAAATCCAAAAGACACAATTAACAGTCTGCAGGTTTTTTAAATGATAATTGGTAGCCTATGGATAGTGTTGTTATTAAGCTCCTTCAGAGACACGGAAATAAGTATGAAGATCACTTAGCATCACCTGCATTCAAAATTGGCAAACGGGCCACAAAATGGAAGGGGAGCAGGGAGGAGTGCCAAATATTAAAAAGAGAAACAAAACACTAGTTTGTGCATTTAGTTGGTGCAACTTCAGTTAGAGAAGTTAGAAATGTTCTCTATCAATACCAGACACGGCAAGCTGTGAACAGGAACTCTAACGTAAAAAAAGGAAAAGTGGTTTGCTTCAAACCAGAAGGGCTTACGTGATGGAATGCTTCCCGACGTCTGTGCTGAAACAATTGCAGCAATCTGAGAACGAAGAAAGGTGAGCTCATCTTCAAGCGCAGAAATTTTCTGGAGCGCTACTTGATCAACAAGACTGTCTTTCTGTGTACTGTGTTCTGGAACACTTTGCATTGAACCTATAGATGGATATAGGTCACGATAAACTGTACTTCTTTCGTTTCTCCGTAAGTCAGTCCTAGAAAGCAACAAAAGACACAGTTTCAAAAGGCTCAGCCAACAATGGAAATCTCAAAACTTACTATCTGTTCAAGCAAGTTATCATTCAGCAGGACATAAATTTACAAACTATTAAAGAAAACTTTTAACTACTCATAACCTTAAAAAATATTTTAAGTCTCCCTTTGCTCAAGTACTCTGCAGATCCTTGAAAAGACATAAAAAAGTCAGATAATTTACTCAGAGATAGATTATACATCATATGGTCATAACATAGGATTGAGTTATTGTTATTCAGTAACTATGAGACTGACACCATAAAGGTGTACATCCCTACCCAAAACAGTAGATATAAAAGGCTGGAAGAGTCAAATAATAATGATCTCTTAATTAGGCTTCAAACATTTTAGTAATTTATCAAACTCTGCAAGATGAACACTGCAAGCAGCAAAAGTTGCAGTCTTTCAGAAAACATACTGGAGAATAATAATGATATTTTAATACACACAGAATAAGAACCTCATGTTCTGTAAGCTACATATGAACACAGACTGTACTAGAAAATTGTGCTACATGTCTCAGGTTTTAATTTTAAAAATTGTTTCAATGCCTGCAGAAATAACCTTAAAACAGAGAATGAGTGCAAACAAACTATGAAACGAAAAAATAAATTAAATGTATGTATTTATTCAAGATGCACTAAGTTTTGATTGAAACAAAACCAGACCTTTTCCCCTTGCTCTTCACTCTGGCTCAGGAGAAAACGATATTACAATATACTTGTTACAGAAAAACATCCCACAGAGACAGGAAAGAAGGTGGAAGAAAGAATGAAAACAAGAATAGACTTTCATGGATCTGTGAATCAGACTGACTAAAGAACAGCACAAGCAAGACAAAACAGGCCGCAGTTCCTTTTAACAATATTCTTACTCTTGCAGTATTTTACAGCTGCTGCAAAAAAAAAGCCTTCCATAATTCATCAATAACATCTCAGGAATCACAAGATGAAACACAACTTTATAAAAATTTCTCTAATAAAAAGTGCATTATTTCATCAGTTTCTTGTAGTTCTATTATCAGCAAGCAGCACAAAGATCACAGACATATGCCAATATGAAGTAGAATTGCGTTGTCTTATACAGATATAGTACAAGACAGTACACGTGTCCAAACCTTAATCTTAATTCTGTCTGACTCACCCTCTGATTCTCAACAGATCCTATAGGGGAACATTAAGACAACTTTCTATTTCTTCTCAAGTGGGAGGTTGGGGGAAAAAGCATGTATACTGTTCGCGTCTGTAAATTCCTGGATAGTTTGTCATTTCACAGTACTTGTAATATTTTACAATTATACAAGTATTTTCCTTTAGCACTCTATAAAAGCTAGAAAGAATTATAAAAACTATATTCAAGGTAAATTTTTAAAATAAAGAAATTATGTTTTTCTTTCCATCAAAGCAACCATCAAGGTTTATACACATAGCACTGTAGTAATCAATGTCAAAAGGAGACATTTAAATATTTTTTCTTATTCTCCTCTTTATAACATTTATCAAAATGCAGGTAAACTAAAATGATTAGAATAATCTTATTGCATGTTGCAATATACAAGTCTTCCCTGAACTCCCTCTCTCACAAAGTATTCTGTGAAAGAAAACAAATTACAATACCAGTAATGCATCTCATATGCTATTAGGCAGAGAAAAGCGGGAACTTGACTTCAAAAAATCTTTCAGATAAGAATACTCTACATAGTAAGAATTTCCAGGTAAACAGGAACTTCCCCCCTAAAAAAAAACTAAAAAGTTCCCAGGGTTCATTTAGGAAAAAAGAAAACAAGGTCAAAACTGCACACCACATAGAAGAGAATACATAAGTGACTTTTATTACTCCTTTTAAAGCATATATTCTACTTTCACTTACCTAAGTCTAGTAAATGCTTGTCTCTCATCATTTGCCACCCACAGGACATCAGCCAGTGATGGAGCTACAGGAGTTGGAGCTGTGTTTTGTTCATTGTTACCCAATGAACTTGGATCTTGAACAAGCTAAAAACAAACAAATAAGTATAAAGAGAAACTAGATTCAGCACATACTAAAAGGTCTGCTTCAGCAAAAGGAACTTTTAAGCAATGCTGTAAGCAAGTTGAAGAGTGAGCATAAGGGATGAAACACAAGAGCTACATAAGCTAAACAGAACAGGAAAGCTATCGCTACATTAAGAAACTTTAAAACTTAAACAGTTGAAGAATGTGTATAACAATAAACCACTTACTTGAAAACAAGGTCTTGGGCAGGGCTCTAAGGAAAGAATTGTCCCAAGCCTACGGACAACACTTCGAGTAGATCCATATTGCTTTTTCTGGCAAACAGATATGACCTAAAAATCAGAGTACCTCTTAATTTAAGAAGCAAAATCAAAGTCTGTCATTCTTACATCAAAGTTATTAAATAATTTAATGTTATATGTAATTAAACGTAACATAGTTAGGTTAACCTAACTTTTCAATGCTCTTTCAAGCTGAAAGTCCAAAAAAGGCCTACGCTGGTTTTACCAGACTGTTTCCAAAACACTGCCAAGATACAGCCTGCACTCAGACTATTTTAGAGTGGCACAAAAGCCAACAAAGAATGTAGCAGCTACATTATGTAGCTAGTAATATTCCAAGAGAGTGACAGAAAAAAAAGTGCATATTTGAGTAACTGTATGCATCTATATATTTGGGGGAAAAAAAATTAGTAAAGAAGTAAAATAAGTTTAATGTACCTTGACCTGATACTTCCTTATAACTGCATACAACTGCTGGAAATGCCTTCTTGATGAGATTGCTGAAGGAAGGCATGTTCTGACTGTACGACCGATACTGCGGCTGAACATGCGGGTTTCCAAAAACATGGCCTACGAAAGAAAACAAGAACTCCCAACAACGAAACCAGAAAATAACCAGTATAGCTCAAACTAGTACTCCCAGGGATACTTTATTAGTTTCACGGACATAAACCAAGAATTTCCTCAGAACTACAAGTTGCAGCAGGACCTCACTACTGACATCCATCACTGAAGAGCTGCCCATAAACCCATGCTCTAACATCAGACCCTGCCACTACATTAGTTAACCTTTCCCGTTTCCCACGCAACACCTTCCCCAAGTCTCTGAAAACACAGGATTAACTACTACTTGGGAATCGCCATGTAGCCTTTCATTTACGATCAGCTGAAATTACTGATTATTTTTTTTCCCCCCATTCAGAGAAGAAAGGCCCAACTGAACGACTGTATCGCGACAGTGACTACACGCAACCACGCAAGCGGGGCAGGGGGTCTCGTTACGCCGCTCAGGCTTTCCCACCCCGCCGAGCCGCTTGGCAAGGAGCGACGCCCGTCCCACCGCAAGCAGGCGGCAGCTCCGCGGTGCCGACCGCTGCTCCTCTTCGCCGCAACGGCCGCAGGAAAGGCCTCCGGGCCGCCCCCGCCCCGCGACCGCCTCGGGGTCTCACCGGGCTGGGCGGCCAGCCCAAGTACTCCAGCATCCGCCTGAGGAGATCCAGCACCAGCGCCATGGCGGCCGCAGCAGGCAGCGGCGGCAGGGGCGCCGAGCGGGCTCCGCGGCGCTCCCACCTCAGCGGAGAGCAGCGGTGCCCGCTCCCTTCCGCGGGAACGGGCAGAGGACAGCCCGCACAGCCCGCACGCCTCCTCCTCCGAACCGCGGCCGACGGGCGCAGCAGCCGCCGCGCTAGGCCCACCCCCCCCGGGCCGGCAGCACCAATCAGGAGCAGAGGCGGAGCAAAACGGGACTCACGCCAATAGGAAGTAGACAGGGCCTAGCGCACAGCCAATAAGAGGGGGAGGGCGGGCGGCGCTCGCGGGGGGTGTTGGGAAGGGGGCCCGTTTGAATGTCGCCGCGGCGCTGGGGGCAGCGATGGCGGCTCTGCGCCCGGGCCAGAGCCAGCGCCTCGTCCCTGGCAAAGGCTAAGGGCTCAGGGGGGGTCCCCGGGAAGATGTAACACTGAGACAATTTCCTATGCCAGGATGATGCAAGTTCTTCTGAGAAAATGAAACCTGAGCGTGTGCAACAGCAGAACGTGGTATCCATCAACAGGAGAAACTCTGTAGGCCAATAGGACCCAGCCCAATTCAAGTGAAGAAGCTAAACTGAAATGAGGTGCTTTAGGTCCTCTGTGTAGTTAACTTCTAATTAGTTCACTTGGAGAACTGAAAAACAAGATAGCAGAGTTTCAACACACAAAGTATCCTCAAAAACACCAACTACTTGACAGCAGCTGACCAAGATGACCTCACTTCAAAAGAAGAAATCTGGCTTTGGATACTGTACTTGTTATTCTATATTGCCTGTCAAGATTTTTACTCTTTTGTTTGAGAAACTTTGAAAACTTTGAGCCAGTAGTGTAACAAAATACGACAGTTCTACTCAAGAAAAGAAACATGCAGTCTTTTTTCTCCAGCTAAGCAGTTAGTGTTACCTGCTCATAACTACATGTTCTTTCAAAGACCTAAGTGCAGGGGCCCCAGTAATCCTAATTTCACCAAAAGTTTCAAGAAATTAATGATAAATTGGATTATTAGACATTTCCTGTATTCACATTTACAGGTGTCTCAGCAGCAGTTCCTAAACAAACAAAATCCTCTAACTGCAACACTTAGTTGCAATGAAAAGTTACTGCCTTTTCTTGTAGTTATTATCATACAGAACTTGTCACCTGGATTGATCACAACCTGCAGTAACAGCATAAAGCTGCGTACAGAGCTTAGGGGGGTTTAAGGTTGAGGAAAGGAAGGCTAGGACTTTTTAATGGGTATTTTGAAAAGCTGTACTACAGTACTTGCCTTAGCAAACTGTACTGGTCCTCCAACACCTTCTTGCTAGGGAAGGGGAAATGTTGGTACCACTGGATGGGAACAACTGCACACAGTTCTACCACAAAGCTCGGAAGAGGCAGCGTCTCAAAAGCAACTGTAAAATTGAGTCAATTTAGTTTGACTGCACCACTACCAGTAACAAGCTGCTTTGGAACTGGAGGGGGCAGTTGGGAACACACAGAAATGCTTTGGGTCAGCGAGTACAACTCTGAACAGTATGGACAGGACCCGCAGGATCTCCTCAACAAAAGGATCTTGAGAAAGGCCAACTTGAAGAAACAAGAAGTAACATGGGGCTGAAGACTTAATGCTGCAGCCTTTACCTCTGGGGATAAAACAAAGCTCTTCTTTTGAAGCACCAGCACAGCAAAACTAATGCAGGGAAACTGTAGTCAGATGTAGCTGCCCCCTGTTACAGAAATGCTACTGATTGTTCCTGGGAAGAAAGAGGATGAGACATTTAATTCCAAACCCAGAAACTGAATGAGTGCACAGTGTAGATTCTGTTTCCGTTTTCTTTTTTGGGTTTGGTGGTTTTTTGTTTTTGTTTTGTTTTGTTTGTTTTTGTTATTGTTGTTTTTTTTGTTGTTGGTTTTTTCCCCCTAGTGAAATGAATGTCTGGTTTTCTCTGAACTGAAGGGATTATTTCAAACTTCATAAGCACACCATGTAGAGATGACATTGATTCAGAAACTGCTTCACTGCTAGAGCAACGAGTCAGAATCAATTACTGAACTCAAAATGTAGCTAAACATTTTATACCAGTAGAATGCTTGGATTTTTTTTTTCCTGCAGATCCATCAATGATGGTCTTTACCTTCCAAGAAGAGAAATGCAAAATGCACTGAACTTCCATTCACATCAGCCATATAACTACTTCAGTAGCACCAAATAAAAGCCTAAAAAAATGTTTTTTCTTATGACAACAGTGAAAACTCACTATTCATGTTGAAGGAATAGTAAGTGCTGAAGCATTAGTTTTGGATTTAAAAAAAAAAAAATCTCAGCTTCCACTTTGTTTCTGAGATCTCTAACTTGCAGCTTCAACTAAATTATCTTATTTCAAGCAGTTTAATTACATTAATTTATGGCTGTCACCGTATGTTCTGTAATCAACAAATGACATTTTTAAACTGCACTGAAATCAAGGGTAATGAAAAAAGGATTTTTATGCTCTAACCAACAGATAGGTCTGTAGGATCAAATGCCATTACCAAAGCAATCTCTACCAGATTTCCTTGGACACTCAACTGAAGCAGAAAACTTAGTTCCTGCATGATGATGCAGATTGTCTCGCTTTATAACACACAGACCACAACAATCCACTTTCAACTTAACCTGGATGATACTATCATAACCTATTTGTTAGCTTCAGACTGATGTTACATTTCACTTCATTAGGACAGATTATTACATTTCCGCAGTTTATTTTGTTCCTTTTCTTCCTTACTCTGATTTAATATACACAAAGTCCATGTGAGCTTTGCTAAAAAGTCCAAGGAATAATCACTTTTACATTTCAAACAGCTATTAAAAGATGCACTGTACACGTAAACGCAGATCTTGGAACAGTGGTATAGTTTGCCTAAATCCCCTAAAACATAAGGCAGGTGTGACCAAGCCTTTAGCAACTATTCCTGGAGAGCAAGTATTATTCCTATTTCATTTTCTACACAGATGCTGGCAAACTAGTGCAATCTGAAATACAGTTTCCTCAACTACAGTTAGGATTAGTGACAGTACTACATTTTTCTGCCTTCTAGTGTTTAAATTGTATAGGGCAATAGTTAACTACTCTTTAACAGTAAAGCCAGTAAAATGGTACATGTTATATATGGATTTAATAGAAACACCTCTATCAAAGATTTTTTTTTTTTTAAAGACCGTACACCATTCCAAGGGGCAAACTAAGAACAACTACAGTTTTAACTCTGTATAACATTAAGATTTACTATATATATATAGCAGTCTGAGAAAGAAAACATAAGTATTCTCGTTGTATCAGAATGTCCTTGTTCTGGTAATTCCAGTCTGTTACTGTCATCCTTAACATTCTGTAGGCTAAAAGTGTACCTACCACTAAACAAAGTTTAAATAAATAAATAAATAAATAAATAAAAAACATCAAAAAACAATTTTACACTAATTCCTGAACTTTGGCTACATAAAAGCTAGAACCACAACTATTTAGAAAACAGTGGTGAAGAAAGTAAGACTCATTTCTCACACATTTTGCTAACTTTACTTTTATCATTGAGTTATAACTTCAAATGTACACATTCTAAAGTGGAACACTGAAGAAAGGTATTTCCAGGGCACTGTAATGGAATTCACACTTTATAGAAACGTTTAGTATATGAGTATCTTTAATGTTCCAGGTTTTAACACATCTTGCTTTACTTTTCCAGGGATTTTTGTGGTGTTCTTTTGTTTTGTTTCTCCCTTCTCCCCTGCCCCCCCTCCCCAATTTCACCTAAGGTTGTAAATGTGATCGAAGATTTAAAGACTTACTCTTGCCAGATTCCATACCTGGAGAGTCAGGTCCACATAAAAAAAAATAGAGGCACTTTTAATAAACTGGAATAAAAACTGATAAAGAAGGTAGATTAATTAAGAAATCAGTGGCAGTATCAAAGTGTTCTGTTGATGATTAAGCTGTCAACAGAAAGCTGAAACTAATTGCCAGTGGCCCAGAAAATGCCACTTGTACTTAATACCTTAGGGACAGCACACTTTTCTTGCAGTGCACTTAAACCCTAGGTTTATAAAGTCTTAAAAATTGTACTACATTACCCTTGACAAGAGAAGCATCTTTTAATGACAAAGCAAATCCCAAGGTATATTACATGACTGATCTGTTCTAGACACAAGCTACAGGAATTAAGCTAGTTGTAGGTAGTTCTGCACTAACTACAGAGATGAAGGAGGGTATTCCAGTTTTCAGATCTGTTTAAAAGTTTCTAGCAGCAGTGACTGGGAAATAGGTTTCTAAAACCCACATTCCAGAAGGGAAATAATACACTTGAAACTCACTTTAGTGTTTATATACATATGTGTTCCTCAGGCTACTAAAGAAGAACAATTTCACTCTCAAAATTCTTGCTACACTCTCTAGCAGGGTGGAGTAAGAATCCAGGTTTATCACTAACACACTATGTAAATGTTATTCTCATGAACTAACGTAGAACCGGCATTTTGCGCAACTGTACTTACTGTGACTGGGTAACTACCCTTCAATACACTTCTTATAAAAAGGCAACACAGAAGTAGTAATCAGTTTATAAAAAATGCTGCTCCAAGATTTCAGGTGTGCAGAACTGTAAGTTTACTTCAGAATAAAACACAGACATAGGGGAGAATCAAAACTTTTAGAGTTGTACTTGACCATATATTTGGACAAAGCAGAATTACACTGCATATAACAAACAGTAAAATTTCTTAAAAGTTGTTACAAATATTTTACTTTCTACCTGTACGATCATTAACATAGTTTACTATATCAAGATTTTTTTTCTAAAGGCTTAAAACAAAAACAATCCCTCTAAACTACTTTCCAACAGTAAAATTTAAGTAAAATGCTTACATTCATTTGACAACAAAAAAACATATTAAAAATGTTGGGTGGGTGGTGCAAGAGCTGCTCTTTCAGCTACAACTTTCTTCCAGGGTTACTCCTGTGAAAAGAAAGAAAACAGTCTTGTAAATTGTTAATAACCGAACTTCAAAACCTTTTAAAGTGTTCCCCCCCACAGACCCCTGCAACCACTTGAGATAATGCAAAATAAACTGTCTAATATGCAATCCACTGAACTTTACCTTTTCCTCTTTGCGTCTGTCCTTTTCTTCATTATTCTCAATCGTTTCTTCTTCATCTTCCACAATTCCATCCCCTTGGTATTTGTCATGTGTCCACTTCGGACTGCTACCTGACTTTTTGAAGTTAAAACGCCCTCTGCCACGCTGGAAAGTACCACGGCCTCTTCCCCTTTTGGCCCAATAGTCCACACCATCATCTCTGTCATCATGCTACAATAATACCAGACAAAGAACGAGATTAAGGCACCTCTTAAATGTTCCCCCCCTTAAATATTAATACTCTCTATCAAATTTATACTATACATAGACAAAAAAAGAGAGAACTTTTTAACAGTTCAGATCATCATTTATAGAATACATTATGACGTATATCCTTATAATTCACAATGCTATAACTAAAACTACAACAGTAAAATTGTTTTAAGAGCCCTTATTAGCTGTGGGTCCATTCATATATTTTTGAGTAATGAATCAGTTATCTGTCATTTATCTTCAGTCAGAAGAAAGAGTTACTCACTGGTTTTGAGGGGGGGGGAAAAAAAAATCTGATTTTGAAGGAAGAAGCTTTACGAAAGTGCTAGGATTTTTATATTTACTTTAATGCAGGGATAGCATTCTCCATACTTATTAAGAAAAGGTAATTGAAGGCAGTTTTCAGAAACCCTGCTTCACCTGCACAACATTAGGGCAAATGAAGTTTAAACTGTTTAGATCTGACATTAACAAACAACAGTTGAGTTTCTCTACTTAATAAGCTTAAAGTTTGACATCTTGCTACCAAATAAAGCCTTACATAGTTTGGTAAGTCTTCTGACAATCATCCCATTTACTGCATGAACACTACAGAAAACTATTTAATATAAAAATGGTTTATATTTAGAAGAGTGAGGTACACTTGCTTCAACACCTGCTTTTATTACTTGTGATTTGGAAAGGAATCTGAACTATTAAACACATACCACACCTACATAAAGCAGTTTATTAGCAATTATATAAGAACAGCTAAAGGGTGGCTTTTTTTTTTTAATTGAAGAACATTTTTAGATATGAGAAAAAAAATGTAATAGCTACAATTATTTGTTCTAGCCATCATACAATTTCTTGAAAGATTAATAACATATCTTTCTACATTTATAGATCGGAAAAGTTTGTGTGGGGAGACAGAAGAGAATTCCTTGTACAAACTTCCAAATTGCAATTGCATTATTTCTTGGATTACCTGTTAACATATCATCCTGGTTTCAGCTAGGATAATTTTCTTCCTAGTAGCTGCTCTAGTGCTGTGTTTTGGATTTAGTGTGAGAATAATGTTCATAATGCACTGATGTTTTAGGATACTTAGCAACAACTAAGTTAAGGATTTTTCAGCATCCCATGCTCTGCCAGTGAGCAGGTGCACAAGAAGCTGGGAGGGAGCGTGGCCAGGGCAGCTGACCCCAGCTAGCCAAAGGGCTGTTGCACAGCACAGACATCATGCTCAGTGTGTGAACTGGGGGGAGCTGGCCGGGGCAGGGGGGCAGGTCACTGCTCGGGCCTCGGTCAGCGGGTGGTGAGCAATTGCGTTGTGCATCACTTGTCTTTTCTGGGGTTTTCCCTCTCTCGCTGTTATTTTCATTTTCATTACTGTTATTGTTGTATTTATTATTTGTATTACTATATCTTATTCTATTTTAGTTATTAAGGTGTTCTTACTTCAGCCCACAAGTTTGACTTCCCCCCGCCCCCCGCCCTCTCCAATTCTCCTCCCCCTCCCACTGGGAAGCAGGGAGGAGTGAGTGGCTGGGTGATGCTTAGCTGCTGGCTGGGGGTAAACCACAACACATATTTGTGACAAAACTACAATGCTACAGGAGAAGGTCTAATCTTCACTATTTAATATTTTCCCATGGTGAAACAATGCCCTTAGAAGTTTGCACTGTTAAGGAAATCAACTGGAAAAGTCTGCATATTCAGTATATTACACTACTTACTGGGGGGTTACATGAACAGCCCTCCTTTCATAATCCATATGGGAAAAAGGCATCAAAACTAAGCTGGTTTTCTTATGACTATCATACTATTCAATTAAGAACAGAAGGACTACTAATAACACAGTCAGCCTACATACATCCACAAATACTGTCAGCTTTCCCCGATCTTCCACTTTTGCAGACTTCCAGACTAATTTAAGACAAAGCTCCAATGAAATCCAGGAAGACACAGCACAAGTCTTTTTTGTTTAAAGTTTGTTTTTAATAATTTTATTCTGAGTCTGCCTTCTTCCCCACTCACTGATTACAGTTTTGGAGACTAATTCCGTAGCAGGCCTCAGTTATGGCCAGCCTGCTGTGGAAAGATGCACAAGAAGCAGAACCAGGCACTACAACCACCCCGATACTCTCATGGTTATGTAACTGAAGTCCCTGTCTGTACATGCATGCTACTTCTACACTTGCAGGAAGTTTGAAAAAACAAAAGCATGCATAAGATATCGAGTTCTCCACACCCACCAAGAAGTATTTCTTGCTTTTTGGGGTATATTCAGGATCCCATTCCTCTTCCTTCGGTCTCTTCTGAAAAGTAGTATTTGAGTTGCTGGGACCAGTATTTGTTCCAGCAAAGACTCCTCTGGCTCTTCCTCTGCCCCTAATTCGAAACTGATTAACCAAGATGTCATTTAATCCATTTACATAAAACCATGAAGAAGAGTTCAAGTTTTCTATTACTGAAAAATGTACTTTCTGTGCTTAATTACAGTATCTGCAAGTGTAAAACCATTTTCAAATTCACATACTACCTTAAGTAATATATATTCAGGCATTCACTTAAGAAATAATGATTCTATTAAACTTAATTGAAACACATTTGAGATCTTGACATAAATGCACCCACAACCACCAAGAAGAAATTTCCTTTGACTACTGGTATATCAGTGTGTTGCAACAAAAGGTCAGAAGAAGCTTCTGAAGCTGTTCACAGACAAAAACAAACAGAAAAACTAGATTGAAAGTGGGAGAAAACTGTCAGGGTGAAAAGAAAGGTCATTTACGGAGTCAGTCATATTTGTAATGAGAAAGTGATTCTAAAATATATACAAACAATGCAGTTTTCAAATAAGTGTATCCACTTTGTGTTACTCAAACATTCTGAACTGAGATTCAGAAATGTACTTTAGGCCAAATAAAGTTTTAAATGAGTAAATTCTTTACTTGGTAAAATCAACAGTATGTACTGTACTGAGTTGCAATGCTTGCAATGAAAAATAGTGTCTTAAATATTCTTTATAACGAATCAACAGAATTTTAAAGTGTTAAGCTAAAAAGTCTCTTAGCAACAAAGAAAATACTTAACTAAGAATACTTTAAGTAGTAATAGATACAGTTCCCTCAGCACATACATTTTTAGCTTGTAGAAAACATTAAACGAGTTTACATCCTCCATTCAAGGGGAGAAGAAATGTTAGGTTGGGAAGACAGGCTGCTAAAACCTGCAGTTAGTACAGAACACAATTTCCATAACAGCCTAGTTAAAAACACAGAACTGCGTCTTCACAGTAACTGTACAAAAACATGACTGGAAATTAATCTGATTTGTTAAAAATAAGTATGCTCCAATAAACAGACCAAAAAATTATATAAATAACTAACTTGAAGGAATATTATGCACAGTTAGTTCCACAAAGCCCCAACACTTCTAATGCAGAATTTATGCTGGACAGTTTTAAAAACTACTCTGAAATCAGACTGAAAAGCAATCCATAAAATGCTCACAAGACCTATCTAATACAATGTAGGCAAAAAAAAAAAAAAAATTGCTTGGAGAATCACTTGGAAAGTATCATACTATCATCTGAAAAAAAAAGTGTACAAGAGAGGAAATACTGCATGCTTTATTTCCAATAGCTTTGAAACATTTACAACATTAGGGCACAACAAGCAGTATCATGTCAGGAGAGAAGTATGTAGAAACAAAATTATGATAGGATTGGGGGGAAAGAGATCATAATTTCCTGGTATCAGGTTCTATGATCAGATTCTTTTTAAGAAAAACATCTAGAGCTTTCCTCAACATTGTATCAACACTCTCCCATCACCAGGTCATCTTTCAGACAGAGAAACAAGGGAGGTAAAATCCACTATGGTGTTATCTTTATCGGCCTACAGCAAAGACCATCACAAAGAGGACAGGAGTGTATTTTCTACAGAAAGAGTAAATTTTCAAGCAACTGTTACACATACAATTCTTAAGGAGCTGGATTCCAATGACAGCGTCATTAAGAGATTCTACTTATCCTTATTTCTGTGACCCTACTTCAAAACTATTCATGATTTTTATGTACAAGAAACCTAGAATTAAACGTTATAGTCTATCACTATGTGTTGGTGAAAAACCATTGCTGATTTAACATTAAATTGACAGCTTAGCTTACATGAAAGTCTCCCCTATCCAGCAAGCAGTGCTCTCCCAGGGTACCAAGGCTTCCTGCTTTGGGGAGGATTCACAACCAAAACATTTTGTTTACTCCAAAAGTAAAGCAGTATTTACTGCAGTGCAGTCACCATTAGCCTAAATTACAAAGACATTTCTATACTAGTCAGTCCATGTTTTAATACTATGCAAGCTGTATCCCTAAAGAGAATACTTGAGTCAACAGGTTAGCTTATTTAGATTCTTCTGTTCAGACACGGTTTGTTCAATAAACCTGTGTGTGACCTTGTACATCCTTAGGGACCATTAACCAGTTATTACTGCATAAGTCAGAACTGGCAGTCACCAGTAGGTAAATTAGTAGAAGTCTATTAAATCTAGAATTTACATCTACTTGTATTTCATGTAAAGTAGCATCTCTTTCACAACACATGCAATCTGGTTTTATAAAGCTGTAAGGCTTCCACTAATTATGAGTTTGCTTCAACTGACTGTCTTCAAGAGTAGAGGGGATTTTAAGCTCTACTTTTGTTTAACTCAGTGCCCCTAGCTTATACAGCTAGAAATTGTGCTGATACTGCAATATTTGATGCCTACACCATCCAAGGACTTATACATTTATGCCATACAGATGTTCCTTAGTATAATTAGATTTTAAAAACCCCCAAGAAAGGAGGAAATGATACATTTTCAGTGTTAGAAATTCTGAACTTTGAATTGTCTTCTGAGTAGCTATAGTTTTTTCGAGGGAAGATTCAAACCTTAACTCATGCGTCGCACACCCCACATGCATTTCAGACACCCTCATGTGCCGTTCAAAATTTACACAACTAAAAACTAATCAATGTACATTTATACCAAAACAATGCCTTTTAGCATTATTTAGAGGCCACATGAAAGAATTAATCTGAAAGTATGAAACTACTCCTACTCATTATGTAAGTTGATTTGACAGTTTTTCCCCACCTGAACATGGAACTTGCTTCTTTTGTGCTTTGTTTTGGTTTAGGGTTTTTTTTGGTTTGCTTTGTTTTTAAGTGTTCCTTATCTTTTCAAGGCCTCCTTTATTGATTCCTAGTCTTTCCTAATGCTTCTACATTTCCCAGTTAAATAATCAGTAATTATATTAACATAGAATTTTTGACTTTAAGATTTTTCTGGAGACTACAGTGGTCAGTGTGTCACTTTCCAAATCACAATGCTAAAAACACATTCCAGATCTAAATTAATGAGCTTTCATTAATTGGCTAGTTTAGGCCAAAGAAGCACTGAAAAAATAACAAGTATACCATCTCCTCTCCTCAATACAGCTGTTTCAAGGTTGATGTATATTTTTAATTATTAACTTGCAGGCATCACACAAAGAAGGTCAAAATCAAAATGAAATGATAGGGAAAAACAGAAGCTGCAGGGAGTTAAGAGGTAACAGATCACAAGATTTAATCTTCACATTACAGTAAATATTCAGATCCTGTTAGAAAACAACGTAATTATGAAAGAGCAAGAAATAAGCAAGAGCCCATTTTCCTCACCCTTATGCTAGGGTCTCTAATGGTATGCTAATACATATTTACACACCAATTAACTGCTATTGGGCTGTGCTGGGGGAAAACCCCAACTTTTCAGTTTGGTACATCACATTAAATAATTCAAGAATCAATACTGTGAAAGAAGTCTAGCTTAACATTAATCACTGCAACACTTCCTCATTTTATTTGTTGTACTACTATTATTGGTGAAGTGTTCATAACTTGGGGGAAGAGTATGAGAGCAACTTACAAAGGTGCCTCTTGGCCTGCTGACTCCTGCAAAACCAGAGTATTCTTTCTGTTCATGGTGGGTTTTGAACTCTTCATCTCTCTCTTTCTTGCAATCCTTTTCTTCTCGAGAACTGGATGAGGAAGAAGATGGGGAGGAAGATGGGGAGGACCGAGCACGGTCTTGATCTCTTTTTTGTTTACTGAAAAATAAAAAGATACACTGTGTGCTATTTTAAAAGTACTAGATAACATGTAACATGCTATACTAAAAGGGCTCTCTTTATATTTTATGAAAAACTATCCCCCTTCTGGTTATAAATTCACATAGGTGTTACGTATTTCAGATGTTAAGGTGAAGTACAGTTCCACTTTCCAGCCTCCTCTTACACATTTAAATGCACTAAATGTATATTATTGATAGTGAGTTGGAAAGCAGCAGTCTGCAAACTGCAAATACAGTTTTCTAGGTTTTGATGCCATAAAGATTCTGTTACTTTTAAGATCTGCCCTTCTTCTGAGGCAGAAAAACAGAAGTTGAAGGGAAGAAAACCCTCAAGGCAAAGCTTTACAGTAACTTTACATAGTTCAGTTTGCACACTGTTGAGAAGACATTGTGTGGGCTTCCCTACGTAGATGGCTGTACAGAATTAGCCAGTGGAAGATAACGTGGATACCATAGTCAGAAAGTAAATGGGAAACAGGAAGAGTAAGTAAATATTCACTGTATATCCAGTACAAAGCAGGGGGAAAAAAATTCCTACAGCAAGACTTAGTAACCCCATAGTGGCAACTAATTTGACCCAATTTACAAGATTTTAACATTCTATTCAAAGGACAGTCATACCTGAAGTAACTCTTACCACTGCTACACAGTATCCACTGAGATATGCTAACATTTTTTTCTTAAAAACAGCCCACTGGCTTTAGAAAAAAATAAAAATTCCCCTTCTCACCCATGTTAAAACCTAAGTATCAGTAAGATTCTCATACTCTGGGTGTTATGAGTTGAAAAAGTGCGGAATCAAGCATAACGAACCAAAGTTCTTACACAAACTGTTTATAGAAATGTACTGCATTGAAGTCCAATCTCCTGATGTAGCCTGGATAATAGGACAGATTAATTTGTCATTTTTTTTTTCAGTGTTAGCTTGCTATTCCAAAGTTTTTTGTCCTCATCCACCATAAGCCGTGTAAAAGACAGATAATACATATTTGCTGTAAAACAAATAATTTTAATTGTTTAAATTTAAATGTTCCATTATACATTGAAAATTGAAAGCAATTAAGCTTACAATTACAAAAGGCTAATTAGAAGCTAAAAACCTATATAGGGACTTCAAATATTTACCTGTCATCTTTGTAAGATTTGTAATCCTTGTAATCTTTTGGAGTTTTCTCCCGCTTTCTTGACCCACTGGATTCCCTGGAACCCTTTGAGTCTCCTCGCTCTTTACTTCGCTCTTTTCTACGTCGGTCAATGTCATGCCGAAGATCAGCAGAATCGCACCTTAATTTTTTATCTCCCTGTAAATAAATATATATTTTGGAACAAAATTTTGAAATAAAATATCCAGAAGATAATCTGAATGAAATAGCAAGTTGTGCATCAATTAAAAAAAAAAAAAAAAAGATAGAATTTACCTATTTTTCAACAAACTCTTCAGCACACAAATTGACTTTAAGTGAACACCCTTTACATGAAATGGCTAGATCTACAAAAAGAACAGCTAAGAATTTCAGTTTCAAACAAGCATTCCCATCAAGCCAATGGGATATCTATTTTTTGATGCAGACAGACCGTAACACATGGTTTGGGAGGATGTTTAAATATTCTTTTCTTCTGGTGAATTGTTTTTAACAGAATACAAGGACCTTTGGAATTCAACCATACTACTCACTGACCACCTCAGCATTTTCCTGCCTCCCCCCCCTCTTTCTGTTCTTTGTTCTTGGGCAGCTTTGTGCCAACAAAATTGGTGAAGAAACATCCAAGAAGAAAGGAAAGATGGGAGAAGGCTTGACCTTATATGCCAGAATACCAATATAGCAAAACCATGCTACATAAAGTGGCTTCTTGGTGACATGTTTTACTTGAAGGAAAAAAAAAAAGGCTGTTCTAAATGCAAGTACTCCAGATACAAAAAAATCAAATTATTTTTGCATTTCTACACACAAACACAAAGTTGAAGTTCAGATTTAAAGGAAAACACAATATATTAAGTTTAGAGCAGGTAGGATGTTTACTTAGAACCTACTTTTTGACTTTCTTCTTTAAAGACCCTCTCTTCACCTGCTAAACGGGTATGCTTCCTCAGGGTACTTGGAGAGATGTCAATCCTCCTAAATGTAAAATAAAAGCAGTGTCTTGCCATATTTGTATGTGACTGTTAATGGCCTCAGACATTTCCTTTCAACAGAAAACTGAGAAACAAAGCATTTTTGCAGTAGAACAAACATTTTTGCATATAAACCGCACCATCAGAATACAGAAGCAGACTGAAAATTAAAAACTTTGGTTCTGTTCTGTGTGAAGTATGCTACAAACACAAATTCAGAAAATAGGAAATTTGCTTTTTCACATTTAAGTACAGCCTTGAAGAAACAAAAAACATTTAATGAATTATTTCAAAAGATCAGTGTATGTAGCCAGTTGAATATCCATCCCCTTCAAGAAATCATCAACACTATGATTGTTTGCTGTAAAGTCAAAAATACTTAACACTTAAGAAAACTTGCAAAGTTGGATGGTGAATATGGAGATACTATATCCTCACATGCAACACAAATATAGTACACTGCATCATAAAACTGTAACACATGATCAGAAACTACATCTGCATGCCTACGTTCTTACCTTTCAGGCTCTCATGTTTTTCAAAAAACCTGATGTAAATTAACACACACAAAAACTAAAGTAGTATGAGATGGAACATTTCATACTGAAGAATAAAGATGCAGGTACAAGGCTTCTTTTCATCTCCAAGATACGCCCCTCAATATTTGAGCACTGCATGTGAGAAAAGTAAATATATCCTAAATGAAATAGAGATAGAGAAGACATCTGCTACAAAACCACAGATGAAGCTAGACTTGGCTCAGATGAGGTATCTTTTACAGAAGGGGACCTTGGTATTTTGTATTTACACAGACATTGACAAATTACTCCAGACAGATCAGAAAAAATATTTCAGGTTCTCAGAAGAAATATTAGCAGACATTATTTGAAACACACATCATCTACATATGCAGTTAACATATACCTATGTATTTCTGGGCTCTTTTGCCGGGTGCAGTGTTCTTCAGTAGATTTTTGATATGCAGTGAACCTCTCATTTAGGGTCATTCCAGCTGACTTGAAGTATTGCTCTGTTGGTTACAATAGAAAAACACTGTTTCGTTAGTTTAATTCAACTGACAGGTATTTCAGTCCTCACAAAGGCAAGTAGCAGGCAAAAAAACATAGTATTTTCAATAAATCTACCAGGACAAGCAAATGTGGTGTTTTCCCTATTTTTACACTCACTGTAACCCGAACAAAAGTAACAGTGCACAGCATCACTGCAAGTCTAACTATGCCATGACTGTATTACATCTAATTCAAGCATCATTTACTGATTAGACTTGCTCATTTTCAATGACATTTTCCTCTAATGAAAGAGAAAGGAGCAATTTCTTAACAGTTATTTTATACTTTGCCCATACGAGAAAATGAAGTTACTTTGAGTCATGAATATTTAGCAATAAGTACATTTTACTATTCCTTTCATCTTTAATTTAAAATGAGTAAATTCAGTGAAAACACTTAAGTAATGTATGCTTCAGTAACTACATGAATGACCTAACAAGTCATTTCTTAAAGGAGTACAATTTCTTGATTTGAAGTTGTGATGATAAACAATCCAAGACAATTAACACACCTATATATAAATAATTAATTTAAGCATCTGGCATCTTGGCAAACTTGACAATTTCTCTGACAAATTTTCTCTTTCCTTCAGAGACAGTTAAATTAGCAACAACAAAACTCAGTTTTTTAAACCAGCTCAACAAATGTGTTTAAATGTAATATAGAAATACATAAAGTCATGAGCTATGAAATGTTACATATGAAGCAAGCTATCTGCTTAACAGGTCAACATACATCTGTATCAACTTACCGCCCGGCATCCAGTATTTGTCTCATAACCAACCATTAAAACTTGAAACGGCCACTACAAGGGTAGTGCCTCAATCATAATTCCATCAAACACAGGAATTTGAGCTAGCAACTCTGTTTTTATGCCATTTTTGCCAGGAAGACAGAAGGTTCAACTTTGCCTGTTTGGCATCTGTATCTTTCAACAGCTATTTTACTTTTGTAACATGGATTTTGCCATTTCAAAACACATTCCAGGACCTAGTTACAATGAAAAAGAAAACATCACTGGGCATTTTCAGCTCTACATTAATAAAGAGCTGTTCAGACTGGTCGCATCACACCAATAATGAACATAACTTCAATTTGTCAAAAGAGTTACTAAAATCTGATCACAGACCACAATAAATTTGAAACTTAGAGAGGTTCTGCTTTCAAAAACAACCGTAACTGTACATACTCTAATAACTTGACCAGATAGGCTGTTGTTACATTTAACAGGTATTTTTTTTTAACATACAAAAATTTACAGAAAAACAGTCTATTCTGTGATCAACATGTGAAAGTTTCAGGATATTATTTCACCTACAGCCTACATATGTACCATTATAAGCAACAACTCACAAAAGTTCTCATTGGATTGCGCCTTAAATCTCTTTACATATCAGTAAAATAGGTATTTTCACAAGAAATCATTACACTTTATACAGATGTCCCAATAATTTTTTTTTAATCTAATAATTGTCATAATCTATTATTGTTGACTATTACTTTCTTCTTTATAAGTAATTAAAAATGCAGGAAATCATTTCATGTCAGTAATCCGAATTTTGCCAATAAAAATTAGACTTTTAACAGAACCTTAGCACATACTACTGGCACTCAAATCTTTGCCATTTTAGAAGCTAAAGCATCTTAAAAACAATGCTTACATGTAGATACACTGAAACTGGTCACCTAATTAAACATTTCCACATTCCCCCTTCGTATGATGATACGGCAAAATTATTTTCACCATCAAATTCTTCCATATTATCTCAGTGCGTTAAACACAAGAACAAGACAGCAGCCCAGTGACAAAGTAAATGCTACGGAAAAAGACATTTAAAGAACTTTCCAGATATCCTCACTGGATTTTAATAAATTATCCATTTTTTCACCAGAAAACTGACAGAACATGAATCTAAATGAAATACATCTACTTTGATAGTCAGGGTTTGAGTTTTGGTAGGGTTTTGGTTTGGTGGGTTTTTTTATTGGTGGGTTTTGTTGTTTTTTTTTGGTTTGGTTTTTTTTTTTGGTTGGTTGCAGGTTTTAGTGGGTTTACTGTAAGCAACAGCCACTACTATTAAATCAGAAAAAAATTAGTGTATAATTCACTTAATGGAGGTTTATTTATCCACTTCCAAGTTCCTATAAGTGAAATTCCTGGCTCCAGCACTACAATACTGTGAAATAGGAATAAAATTAAATAGCAGTGTATTTTAGTACCATTTAGAGCAAAATTTTTCTTAAATCTTATTGAGACAAAAAAGTCATTTTAACAAGAACCTGGGTGCTCCAAAACGAATGCCATTGTATTTATAGTTCAAAGGACATCAACCCACATTGCACCATTTAATATGATACTGTATGTTAGAGCCATTAAAGCTACGTAAGATTGACCAATGTAGTATGTTTAAACTACACTGCAAAAATTCAAATTTTATATGCTACTTAGGCTCAAAAATCTGTCCTAAAACATAGTATAATTGATCTTATACTCTACACTGCTTGGGCTTTTTTTTTTATACTACCTTCTGTGGCTATTATTCTTCTAATTACTTTTGTGTACCTCAAAAGGAAGAAAGTCTGACTAAATCCAAATGAAAAGAGGGCTGAAATCTTCCTTTACTAGAGACAGCAAACAGGCTGAAATGAAGTTGTCAGATGTGTATTCGGTACAATAAACTGAATACATACCTTTGACATGATGAACCAACGACACAATGTGCTGAATAAATGACTCTGACGTGCTTTTGCTGGCCTGTGGCAACTTAATGTGGTCAAAGATGGATCGGAACTCTTGCTCCTTCTTGACGGAATGGACAAGTGTGCTAGCAAGCAGCCTGTCTTTAGTCAAGGAAGCAGGTCTAAAATGCATCAACAACAAGAGACACACAAAAGAAACCACTAGTTTAAATAAAGATGACTGACACTGCAGGCAAGTGGAGAACCACACTGTAAAGTGGAATAATTTACCTATTGGAATCATCAAGAGGTACTGGTGCCATTTTGAGTTTAACTTCAGGACGATGGGAGTCACTGGCTATCATTTTGATCCTAAGTGGGCTCTCCTCTCTGAAGGTAGATTTTTCTCTCGCATCCAGATTCTTGTGTAGAGGGGGACTGTAATCAAAGAGTTCTTTGAGCTTTTCAGACTTTACCTGCTCAGGTGACTGAGTTTCTTTCTTCATCATTAGTCTCTCAGAACTCTTGTCTTCTTCCTTGTGCTTATCTTTTGTTGCACTAGGCCTTTCCACTACATAGCCAGTCTCTTTAAGCTTATAACTTTTCTCATCTCTAAATCCATCGCTCTCTCTATTGCCCTTGATTGATATTTTAGATTTGTATTTGGCTCCTTCCTCCTCAGCATTCCGGTGAGATGCAGTAGGAAAATTTTTACCCTGATCTGCCAGGACAGACTTTCTGAACTGTCTGTAATCCTCTGTCTCCTCTGTGTCCTCCCCTTCAGAGTCATTAAACTTTTCTTTCCCAGTCTCTTTATCAACGAAAAAATCTAAAGTTTCCTGTTCCTCCCATTCCCTTTCTCCCTCCGTCCTCCCTTTTTCTGATCCTCTCTCCTTCTGGGCCTCCTTCTCCCTGGTATTACCCCTATCAAGCAGGTATACTCTAGACTCTTCATCTGTGTACCTGTGGATAGCAAAGAAGAGACTGGTAACTGGATTGCATTCATTCCAGTTCACTTGCATTCCTCTTTTGTGTCAATCCCACACCAAGAAGAAGAAAATACATTCCTCCGAGCAATTCAACTTTAGCATGCAATGCTTCGCAGACCATTAACACTGTACCCACTGTCATTTACTACTGGAGGTATCTGAATAATATGCCTTTCCATAAAACACCTAGAAATTCTCTGCTTGAGTTTATAAAAAGCTAGTGGTTTGTTTGTTCTTTCTTAAGCAGTACCCAATTTCACACTCTCTTACACCAGTCATTTTTTCCATCAAATTCACAATTCAGACTGCAATTCATTTTTGTACTTCTTTTTAGTGAAGATGTTAAACCCATTAAAAAAAAAAAAAAGTGAATTATTTTCAAGATCTTGCACATTCCTAAGAGAATTCCAAAGTCTGAGACAGGCTTAATGCATTCACTATATTGTGTACAAGCAGGGAGCCTTCAGAAGGCAGCTCTCCTAAACACAGATACACACTTACCAATTAATTATTTCAGCCACTGCCTTATCTATACACTATTTTCACACAGGTCCTAATATGTCCACCCACTCCAATGCATCTATCCTAGGGGAAGTCATATATTTGATCTCCTAAGCAGTGTGTTTTTACGTAATAAATCACTAACTGGACAAATTCATTTAAAAACCTACAGTCAAGTCTGTATAGCACAGTCACAGCTTTGTTCTACAATTCATTTTATAAGAGATGCACTGAAGTACAAGTCACGTTAGAAAGGAACAGTCTAATGTCAGTAAGATTTTTTTTTTTTACAACTTTTAAAAATCACTATTATATCAAACATTTTAAGAGCAAATTGAAGAATTCTATGTTAATTGGAAAATATACATTGAACTTTAAATATGTTGTCCCTCACATCAATAGAATTATTTTCCAAGAATACCAAGACGTACCCTCTTTCATTAGTAATGCAAGTCAAGGCATCAAAGTTGTCACACTGCACCACACAATTAGCAATCGATGCTGTTTATGTTAATGAAGAAATCATTGTACAACATCTGCATTTTTAGACTTCCAAAAGATTTCCATTTCAAACCACATGAAGCATTAAAATTTTAAAATACCTGAACAGAATTCACTATCAGACAATCAAGTCTAACGCACTATTCCAATTAATATTTTTCATAACAGTAAACAGAGTATAAGAAAACACACTGTAAAAGAAAAGCACAAACCAATTTTTCCTCAAGGATACATGTCCCTATCTCCACTAGCCAATGGTCAAGAACTTGAAGCATCTTAGGAGAAAGAGGTGTATGTTTCAAGCCCAATTCCAACCAGACTAAAATTATGATTATTTATTCCGTATTATTCCATATTGCATTTTTGAGGGCAGAGTAATGATCTTATCAAAACTCTGTAACATACATCATTAAGAGGCAACATTGGGTTCATAATTTAATTCTTACCTTTTCATAAACTTTCCACCTTTTGCAGTTTCCTGTTCGCCACCCTCAGGATAAAATGACCGCACTCGAGTCTCCTCACGGGGAGCGCTCTGTGATGGGATTGTCTTTGCAGGGCTTCTCCTCGAAGGGATATGATGCAATGGGCTATTCTGAGAAGGACTATAACGGCTAGAACCATTTCCAAGAGAACCAGAGCCAGACCTCTCAGGACTATGCTGAATGGAATGGGAATGTTGAGGTGTGTCCTTTGCTGAGTGGGCTGTGCTAAGCAAAGGGGCATCAGAGCAAGATGAACTCTGACTAGGTGGGGTGGCAATAGAAGGACTATGGGGTGACCTTGGACTGTTATCATACGCTGAAAGGCCAGGCCAAATGTCGCCAGAAGCTGCTGATGATTTGTTAAAATCGTCAAGAGACTCTGATGGGTCATGTTCAAATGTATCTTTCTGTTCATCTTGTGATTTATTTTTCAAGGGACTATCTTGCAAAGGAGCCCCTTCAGTTTTCTTTGCCTGCTTTTCCAGAGACGCACGTCTTTTGGAAGAGACAGGTGATTTGCTGTATGGGGATGAAGAACGAGATGAAGAGGACCTTGGGGACCTGGAAGATCTGTAAGATCGACGAGATCTGCTCCGGGACCTCTGGGAAGACACAGACCTTCGTTTTGGACTTCTGGAACGTGAGCGACCACGCCTAGGGCTTCGGGAGTGTCTTCGGTTCCAGACAGGCCTATAACCTCCACGATGGTATCTACCACCTCCTCCTTGATAATACCCTCTACCTCTTCCTCTGTAACCATAGGGACGTCTCATTCCTCTATTATTTCTGTAATCTCTGCGATAATCTCTAGAATAAACACGATCCCTGCTGCGAGATCGTGAATATGTCCTTGACCGAGACCTAGAACTAAAATTAAAAAGCAAACATTAACATTTGACAATTGGAAAATTAAAAAATAAAAAATTGCCTTGACACTGAATGCTAGATTTCTCAAATGCAGTCAGAATGGTAAAGGAAGTAGACTAACAGTCTTAAAGTAACTTCTACAACCTATCTATATTATTTCTGTCTCAAAGGATTACAATAGACATGTCCATAACTCCCAAGGACTGTAAAACTTAGACCTCAACATCACATGATTGAGATATTACCAGTCTCAATGGCCTGCCCTGCCATTATCTTAGAGACTATCATCATGGCATTCAGTTCCTCAATCATCACAGTCCATAGCCTGAAACCTGAAATAACATGACCCGCCCTGAGTTTAATATGCCAGCCTGTGGACAGCAGCTAATGAGGCAGTAAACATTCAATTCAGCCATTCTTTTACAGGAGACGGTAATGTCCACTAGTAAGAAAGATGAGGAGAAGGCTGGAGGCAACTAAGGAGACAAGATACAGCAAAGCTTATCTGCAGAAGCCTTAATTTACTCCAGATCTGAGAAGGTGCATGAGAAATACAGAACAAATCACAGGGAAAGAGACTGGACAAAGAAAACATCGTATGAAGAGGGAAGCAGAGAAACAAACAAGCCACAAATCATGAAGAACCATTAGAATTCTGAAATTATCTTGAGATACAGGAAAAGAGAAAAAACAGCCAAGTATTAAACAATCGAAGTAACAGAAGTTACATTCAAAGTAGAATTTACCTGCTGCCTAAAAAGTAGTAAGATCTCATGCTCACTTTTGCCACAGCATCATGCAAGTGAAAAATCATTTCCAGACAAAAACTAATATACTAAACCAATTTTTCAAGCAGTAAGACATCAGTTTACCTGTATCTCTTTTTTCTAGAATGTGATCTGGATCTTGACCTAGAGCTGGACTGAGATCTGGACTTTGATCTTGAAGAATGTGATCTAGAGTTAGATCGACCCATTTTTCCCAGTAGAAACACTCCTTCCCAAAAGGAAAAGCAGGGAGGGGGAGAGAGAGAGAGAGAGAAAAAACGCAACTATTTAGAGTCCATATAAATGAACAAGATTTTTATATGCTAAAATGAGAATATTAGAAAGAGGTACAGCATTTCCTAAACAAAAGGAACTTTTAAGAGAATATGAGTACTTTAGGAAATTAAAAGCTCAACCACATTTTAAAGAATATAACATATCTACAGTGCACACAGTTTGAAAAGATAAACAGTAAGTTTTTCCAGATCTAATTGCAAACTGATCCTGTAAAAGGAGAGAAGAAGTAACAGAAAATGCACCTGCAAATTAAGGCAAGAACTAAAAAAAGTCTGGACAATCACACATATTAAACAAAATTCTTGCTATTTGTGTGGTTTTCAGTTTCCTTGTATTTCCAATGCAGCAATCCTCCTCTGGAAGGAACTTATATTCCGCTACAATGTACCTTTTACATAAGCAAAGAAAAAGCCCTGAAGTATTCTGTCTAGCAGCTGTTGGTTTGAGCCAGGGGCATTATTTCTCTTAACAACATGTACTAAAGCTAATCACTCTGATCCGATTTTCCACCAGTCAATATGCCCACCCTGTATCTTTTTAGGTTAAATTTCCTTTTTAAACATGTAAAATGCATGGACAACTTAAAGATTTTAACTAGTTAAATAATATGGCTTGCAACAGAATTCAACATTTTTCAGCTCAAATTAAGCTATGAAAACTACAATTTATTATAAAGCAATGTGTCCAAAAATAAACTCATAATAAACTATCATTTCTTCTTATGTACAGTCATAATAAATATTTAAAATTAATTAGTGCTAACCGTAAAAAAAATACACACCTTATTCTTTTCAGATCAGTGGCTAAAAAATACTAAATTTAATAAAAACTCTGACCCATTACCATTTTCTTTTGAAACTGCCCAGCTTACAAAAAAAAAAAGTCACGTCAGACAACCTGAGTAATAAACTGTAAGCAAGTAACTACGTCTTTTCAGGCCCTTGTATGCTCAATACCTACAGTCATAACTGTTTAATAATAATTAAAAGAAAAATGGAAAAAGCAAACATTTAGCTTTTGTATTGCAAACAAGCACACAAGCCTAGAATTATGGTATTGAAAATACAAGCTCAACACAACAAGCACTTTTTGTCACAAGGTACTTTATATAATCTTTCTTGTTACCTGGGTGATATTTCAATTATGTAAAGACAAATAAATAGCATTAGAGGTTAAAGTTAACAAAATTTCAGAGATTTCAGACATAAGAGAACTCAAAGGAAAAAAGCAGACCAACCTTTCCCCTACCAACTAGGCCCTCCTGCCCCATGTGACTTTCCCCACCACAGAAGCACAAGAATCTGCATGGCCCCAGAGAGATGTAACCTCATCTGAAACTAACCCAGCAAAAAAAAAAAATCATTTTAAACTAACCTAGCTTTCCATTTAACTAACAAAAAAATATTTACCTTGGAGAACAATAATATGTTGAATGCTGTCTTTTATTGCCTCCTTCCATTAAAAAGCAAATTTACATAACCTAAACTCGGAAGATGGTTTCTAATTCATTGTGTTCAATTAAAATCACAGAAAATGGCTTATAATCTCTTATGCTCATCTACTCACAGGCAACATAAATTCAGAGTTTTTCAACTGTTTTAAGACATGAAATATAACAATTTTCCAAAAGTAATATAAAAAAAAAAAAACTTATGGGTTTTTGTTGCTATTACAAGTAATTTTCAGACCAAACTTCAGATGTTTATAATACAACACAATTTCAACTTTAAGGAAATTGGTTTGATTTTCACTGTATTCAACAATAACATTTATACTTTTGCACTCTATGTACAAGTACACATATACTGTATGATAGTTGACCTTTACAAGAGATATGCTAATGTCAGAATGTTTTATATATTGCAGTTTCTTATTGCAAGCATAAATTTTAGGACAACAAAATCAATTCTTATCTTAAATGGTTGGGTTCAATCAAAACATTTAAAAATAGAATTAAGTTAATCTTACCTCAAACTGTTAGTTGGTGCCAATGAAGCAATTATTTCAAAACTCTCTATTTGTGCTTTCAGCAATACTGATCCCTACAGAACAGAAAAAGAGACTGTCAAAGACATGAACTTTTACTAAAGGGCAGGTAATATTTTTTGCTTAAATAGGTTCAAACATTAATCTGTTTATCATGAAAAGACAGCACATAAGATACTGCAAATTTACTCTTGGGCTCAGTGAAGCTGCATGTTAAGACTGGAGCAGCTCAAAAGCTAGCCACTGCCAAGGGGTAAATCCTATTCCCCTTCCATACATGATCACCCCTCCTTCAGCCTTGATTATAGAGCTGTACCCTCAACCTTCACAATAGCCCTGACACCCTTTGGGTCCTTCAATGAGCAGGCTCGACACCCAGAAATCATTTTCATATGGCTAGGTTATCGAACTGGCTTAATAAAGGGCCAAACAAGTGCCAGAGCTGGATTATGGGGGAAAGAACAGCATACAGCCAGGAAGAAGGAACAAAAAGGACAGTGGCAAATTGTTAGCCTAATTTGAACTCTAACCTACAGCTCTGCACTTAACTGGAGCTATGTTTTGTTTTGTTTTGGGGGGGGGAGTAGGTGGGGAAGGGATGAGGACTTAGGATAACAGTGTGAAAGCTTTATCTGTAGGTTTCTTCTGCAACATTTATACAAGCACTACTCTTATACCTTATTGTCTGAAATGCATACATATATGAGTTTACCTAAATAACCAACATCATCTTCAAAAATAAGTTATTTTACACGTATAGAGAAACAAAGCATAACTGTAATAATGAAACCAGTCTCAAAAATACAAACTTTTCATTGGCCTCAGCTTTTCATTACCTGAAAGCCTTAAGACTATGTATACATTTGTAGTCTAACTCAACATTTACCAAACTTTGCAATTCCAATCAAGCAACTTGGAATTTTGTCCCAATTCAGTACAGACAGGATGGTTCTCCCAGAAATTCTGCTTCTCAACAATTTATTCATTAAAGCCAAAGCCATAAGAAATCCACTGCTCCTAAATGACACTCCCACACTTGTTCACAGATGTTTTCAATGTTTTCTTCATCTAAAAGAGGAAATGTAGCACTTGTGTTCATAAACACTGCTTTCAAAAGTCCACTTACCATTCACTAGTAGTGACCAAGATATTTCCAATTTCTACAAAATATATGCTTTAATAAGATTAAGTTTTTACTTCTCATCAGCAGCAAGCATGAGTCTCTGAAGGAGCACAGTAGTGTATCGGACCATTTCAGATCTTGTCTAGACAAAAGGCGAGATGGTATTAGCCAGCAAAGGTTAATTAAGGCATTCAGAAGTCTAGTACAGAAAAAGCAATACAAACTTCAGCTAAATGGTTGAAGTTCAGTCTGAGGTTTTAAATCAATAATCAAAACATCTACTTCTGTTTTCTAAGAATGATCTACTGCTGTTAGCTGAAATCCAACAATCCTAGTTTAGGTAAGTCTAGATCCTGAGGATACAGAGCAAGATAGTTACTGCACCTTTAAAACCTCTAGGAGGAAGACAGGATCTTAAATTATTAAAGCTCAAACTCTGGTAGTCACTTCCACAGTGTTTTAGGAATCGTTTCCAGCAAATGGCAAAGGTGAGAAGCAGCCACACTTTTTTTTTTTTTTAAGAAAAAAAAAAGCCAATGAATATACCACATCCAACCCTGGCAGCTAAAATATATTTGCTACCTTTCTCCCTAGGTTTTTTTTGGGGGGGTAGGGGTGTGTGTGTGTGTTTTTTTTTTTCTCCCCCCCAAGACTATGGGTGTAACATTTGAATAGAGTTTTGAATAGAAACTCTTAAATAGAGTTGAATAGAAAACCTTAAATATTGAATAAAAAAAAAAAAAACAAAAACAAAAAAACAAACCTTCAACTATTTGCAGCTTTTGTTTCCATTTAACTGTAATAGATAAAAGGTTGACACACAAAAACCCCTTTTCCAAACAACGCTCATACTGAGGAACTTAGAAGTGAAAAGACTACATAGCTGGTTTGTCTGTGTAAATATTCTCACATAATGCAGGAGTCTATAAATTGATTAACCTCTATTAAAGCTAATTTAGAGAATAATAGTGGTAGATACAGAAATATGTAGGAAAACAGCTCCCTCGTCCTTCACACTTTCGCAGAGAAAGTACGCACTCCTCTGAAAGCATTGCAACTACAAAACATTGTTTCACAGTATCAAACCACCCACAGCCTCTTCCTGCAGACTCTCATGCTCATTGTCAGTCTGTAGTGGCTACACCATGTCAAGTTAGGTCAGGAGTGGTAAAGTGACAATGAAAAAGAGGTGCAAAGCATCATATGTTGCTATACAGCAACATCAACCACTAAATCAAAAGACATGTTGCCCCTCTCACTTCAGTGCACAAAGCTCATTCTCTGGACTAGTCTCAGAAGAGACCGACTCTGCCAAAGATGCATATTAAGAACATGACACAAGATGTCATCACTAACACTGAGGGATTTCAAGAGGACCGTGACTGCTACAAACATGGTCTATGCCTGAAACACCAGTGCTGTAATCCACATTCTTTTTGCAACTCAAGCTTCTTTTTCCCTTGCTTTCTGCCCTAAATACAGGAAAAGAGATGCTTGGCTCTCAACCATTTCACTCCTGTGTTAGAAAATGTGGATATTACAAAGGAGGCTGCTGTAGCTCCACAGTACTTTAAACCAGAATAAACTGGCACTGCTAGTTTTAAGAAACAGTCCCATCTCTCCTATCCTCTGTTTCCTCACATTCCTGATAATATTCTCCCTTATCCTAGCACAAGTATTTCTGCAGCCACATAGTGAATTTGATCAGAAAATGTATGGACCACCTGGATTAGTTTCAGTACAAATGATTTCTCCAATATGGGTCATGACACAGCCCCACAAACATTTGGGCCAAGACAGGGACATTGCAACAGCAGCCAGACAGGACTGCTTCTTTTGGCAGCACTGCAATCTTAAAGCTTCCCTGAAACTATCTTGGCAAAGCCATCAGCAACAACTTGGAATTTAAGCTTTGTTAACAGTACTGGCAAGCACCTTTTAGGGAAAAAACAAAACCAACCAACCGACCACAACACCACCACCCCCCAAACCCAAATAACCAAGCCTTCACACAGAAACCTAGACATTTTAAAAAAATGGATAGCGCACCACCTGTCAGATACCAAGTCACGTTCATGACCAAAGAGGAAGTCAAGATAAGTTTGTTAATGACTTAACAGCAGGATCTTTTGGTGTCTTAGAACAGTCTCAGCCAGCAAGTGTGACCATCAAGCACACAACAGAACCAGGCTCATCTCACTACAAGCAACACAAAAACAAGGAAGTAAATGTCACTGTCACCATTTGCTACGTTTAAAAGAAAAAAATGGAGGACAAAGAAAACTGTTTTCAATTCCCTTTAAACACTATTTTTTAAGTTTTTACTACACCACTGATGTTAGTTTTTTCAGAGTACACAGACTGCAGATGCAACTTATCACTTAAGCCATTTTAGAAGTTCTACAGCACGTGGAAGTTTCTGAAGACGTTTTAGGACAGTTATCCCCACTTACACTAGCAAAACACTGCTTCCTCTTAGCTTCATTATTTTAGCTGTCCTTCAGTTACAGTTATTTAGCAGTCTATATTTCTCTTAAGCATTACTTGAAAGCTGTCAGGAAGACTTAAGTCAAAATCTTATTCAAAGTAATTCACAGGCTGTTGCCAAAATGCATTTTCATTCAGAGATTCAGGCTTCAAAAGAAATGAGAATTATACAACCAGGACAAAACATAAGGTGATAGGATAGTCAAGAAATCTCGCAGAATTTGTAACACATACACCGAATTAAAGAAAACCAGTCTTACTGGGACAGTTGTGTAAGGCATCAGTACATCTGCCACGATTTCTTATCCATTCTTTACCTCTCCTTCTCCCACTCCCCTTCTTTTTTAAATGCCCACAAACTCAACAGCAGCACATCACAAGAACAGAATGCATTAGTGACTGTAAACCCGTATCACTCAGATCATCAACGACTACAATCTAACAGATACTAAAATACCATAGCAAATTTGCCCTAACTATCTTGGAACGTATAAATAAGAGCTGGGAAACATATTTTTCCCCTATTTTATATTCTTGGTATATAATATTATCTTCATAATAACCACACAGCTGCAAAGTCAAAACAGATCCATATTATAATTACAGCATGAAAACGCAACTCGAACAGTAAAAAATACAAAGGCTTTTTTCCAAGCTCATTCATTTCTTTATAGAAAATAATATAAACTATTTGCAAATTAAGTCAAAACGCAGCATTCTAGTAACAGTAAAATCAGCTCTGCAAAGCCATCATATGATTGGTAGCTGTTCTTTTATGTAATACTATTGGCAAACAAAAGCATGTTTCTCCTTTAACTAAAAACACAGAAATCAGAGCAACTGTTCTGAAGAATTTTGTCAATACACAAAAAGGAATGAGCATGACTTTGGATATACTTTGTTTTGGATAGCCATTCTGGTTATTCCTTTGCATTTTAAACACTGTGTTTTCATATGCCCTTACACAGTGGTTTCCACAATTTCTTTGCAGTAAGCTATGATCATGCTGCTGCAGAAAAGGCTATCCTCCCTCCCTCATCTGTTCCAAGACTGATACTCATATAGGTGCTTGGGGAGCTGGAGCAGTGAACTAACTGATCCAGAGGAAAACCACCCTGGATGAAGAGACAAAGCTGACTTTTCAGCCACATCACCTCCCAGATGCCATTTACCACGAGGCTGCATGGAGACGAGTGCCAGCACAATGAACAAGACAGCAATACACTTTTTCAGAATACCTTTGGGAACAGCTCTCACACAGATAAGCTGAATACATTTGCAACCCAAAGGTTTACTTTCTTCAGTAGTTTCCTTCACCCATCTCCACTACTTGTAAACAAACCCCAAACGTTCTCTGGCATTCCTCAAACCCCTACACCACAATTTCTCCTTAACAACCAGCCCCAATCTAATCCATCCAAATACCTGCACCCTAGGTCCAAACAACAGCTCCCTGCTGACCCTTTCTAAATTCCTACAACCACTCCAAGTTTTCTGTGTCCCCAATGGCAACAAACCCTTCCCCACTGTACATGCTTCCCCCAGCCACAGCCTTCACCTGATGAATTCCTTCCCCACTGCCAGACCCACGAAAGCCTTGCTCAAGTCACGGAGCCAGTGCTCAGGAGAGAGGCAGTCACGCCCCAAGTGCTGATATATGTAACGCATTAAACCTCTTCCTGCCATTCAACACAATCACTCAACATCAAAAGGGACAAATGGAAGGAAGCAATTCCTACCCTCCCTGCCACAACAAGCTGCATGCTTGGAGTGCACTTCGGAGTCAGGGCCTTTACCCCTTCTTATTTTCCCCACTTTTTTCTAAAGCAATGAGATTATCAGAAAGGAGAAACAAGGAATGAGGAGAAAGACAACAGCTAGACAGCGCTTTCCCGGAACCCCACGCTCTTTAATCAATCCTTCCCACACTGAAAACAACTATTCTAAGGGATGCTTTTATATATTTACAATAAGCCAGACATTACTCAAGCAGTGACTACTTGCAGCGTCAAGAACTCCTTTGTTTTGCATGCCCTAAATCTTTCTGTAGTAAAATCTAACTGTTATTGTTAAGGTAAAACTTTGATCTCAGAGATAAACAAGTGACAAGTTGTACTGACTTGGTGAGGGATCACCATGACACACAAAACAATAATCTGGTCTTCCTAAAAAAATTATCAGGCAAAAAGTAGGAGGTTTACAAAGCAAACAAGAAATAAAGGGCAAGATCCTGCAACGGTTGTATACAACAGTACGATGAACAAGGCGAATAAAATAGCCCCTTTCAGCAAGGTGCATCAAACCCGCCCCAACCCCTCACCGGCTTCTGCGGGCATTTCTAAACAGTTACGGCGCAGGGAGGCAAGCAGGAGCGGTGTTGAAGGCACAAGCACTTGAACCGCAGTCATGCCCGAGGGGAAGTTCCTCCAACGAGTGTAAAGGCTGTTCCAACACCAGGAAGCATCCTTTCACCTCAGCACCGTTTCCCTCCTTAGAGTCACACCCGCGATGATAACGGGGAGATTTTATATTCCCGTAACCAATGCGGCGCGGCGACCCCCTCGGGCCTATCTCCCACAGGGAGGCCGGAAAGACTGCAAACCCAAGTCGGCCGAGGTTGAAGCCCAACGGGGCAAGCCGCCCATTCTACGTCCCCCCCGCCGCCGGGCTCCCAAAAGCCGCGAACCAGCCCAAGGCAGCTCCGCGGCCGCCTCCCTCCCGCCGCCCCTTCCCTCTCTACCTTCGCTCCCCGGGGCGCCGTCCAGGCCCAGGGAGGAACGACGCCGGCTCGGCTCGAGGCCCGTAGGAAGTGGCGGCGGCCGCCTGCCCCCACCAGCAGCCGCGGCTGCCGGGCCCCACCCCGGGGGAGCGGTTGGGCCCGTCGCCCCGGGGCCTGGCGCGGTTACCGCGGGGAGTTGGGGGGGGGGGGGGGGGGACGGGGGTGTGTGTGTGGGGGGGGTACGCGGCGGATAACGGCTGCGGCGCGCCGAGGTCAAGCGGCGGGGAAGGGCGGGACGGCGCGGCGCGCGGGCACCGCGCGGCCGCCGGGGGCGAGGGGGGGTTGGGGGGAGGGGAGGCGGGAGGGGCGGACGCGCGCTGGCGGGGGGGGAGGGGGGGGAGGCCTTCTCCTCCCTCAGCCTCCCCCCGCCATCTTCCCGCCTCGGCCGCCGCTACGCACGCTACCGACCCGCAAAGCCTTCCCCGCGGCCCCTGCACCTCCGCCCCTTCCTCACCTGGAGGGCGGAACTCCCGGGGGCCTCGCTCCCTTATCGCGGCTCGGCGGCCATTTCCCGTCCCGCCGGAGGACGAGACGTGTGGCCCAAAGGGAAAAAGAAAAAAACCCACCATACAGCGCGGGGGGGGGGGGGGGGGGGGGGGCGGCCGCCTGCTGCTGCCGCCGCCGGCGCGTCACTTCCCCCCTGGGCGGGGAAGCGCCGGCACCGCTCGCCGCCCCAGCGCCATCTTGGTTTTGGGTAGCCGTCCGCAAGGAAGATGGCGGCCCGTGACGCTGATGGCGGTCCGCAGGCCACCCCCTGGCCTGGGTCCCAGGGGAGCGGCGTGGCCCTGCCCTACGTTCCCACACACACACCTTGTCCCACGGCCGGGGGCTCTGACCCGCCGGCAGCAGCTCTTGTTTCCTCTCGCACCGCTGTCACTAAAAGCTGTCGCCTTTTACCCTTTCCTTCCCCGAAAGGCGATCTGAGGGGCCGGGGCCCCCCGGCCGCTGCCAGGTTACCTGTCGGGCGGGGTGCGCGTCCATCCACAGTGGTTGCTTGGAAGGGCTTGTCTGCACAGCGGAGCCCAGGCAGCGAATCACCACCCGGCGGCATTTGCCCCCGCTGCTCCCGTGCCCCAGGAAGGAGATCGCGCAGCGGCGGTACTTTACTGCAGCAGCGTTTGCAGCAGGTGCCCGGTATCGCGTGGTCGCGATACAGCCGCGCGACGGTTGGGGAAAAGCCTGCCCGAGCAAGTTGCCCCGAGGGGTTTCTGTACCACCGAAAAAGCGCAGCAAAGGGCCGTGAGCGGTACCGGCTGATGCACAAGATGTGTGCCGGCTAAGTAGGTCAAAAAAAGGCTACTGCAGATTATTTCTGAGGAACGAAGAAAAAAAAAAACCTGTAAGAGTCGGAAAGGATGCATATGCACAATTTTAACTAAGTTTTTTAAAGTCGGGGGACAGTGACAGGGAGGCAGCCAAAACCAACTAGTGGAGGAAAAAGGCAAAGAAGATGGGAAGTATACATAGTTCCCAAATGCTGGTTTGCTGTTTTCTGCATAGGGAAAGTAATTCACGGTATAGATCTGTTGCTTGAGGCTCCTGAGTTCTTTAAACATGGTCGCCTATGGAGACAGCAACCAATGAGTTGCAGGTGCTGAAGCAAACACTGACAGTTTTTAGTTCTGACCAGTTGTGGTTAACTGATGAACAGCCTGGCCTAGAGAGACACATGATTCCCTTTCTCTTCTAAGCTTTTTCCTTTATGCAGGGGTTGGAGTAACAAACTTGTACCACAAGTGCAGCACATGTGCTACAGCTTTTGCTGTAACTGACAATAAAATACTCTTAATGTGGAGGCTGCTTGATAATGGACTTGTGGGAGGAAGTCAGCTTGCTAAAGCCAGTACGTTTCCAGAACTGCTCTGGGACTTGCCTGCGCACATCACCTACCCCATCCACCCCCCATATTTGTTAGTGGTTCTGAGGACCTGTGGGATGCTCATGTCAGTTCCCTTTAGTGATGGAGAGCTCTCCTCTCTTTTCTGAGACGTGGGATATATCTTACTGGGACAGAAAAGGTGGTTGCTTCTAACCCTTCAGTTCTCCACTGTATTTGAGACAACATACCATGGGCCCAGAAGAAAAAACAAACTATAATGTGAAACTTGTTGAAAATCTGTTTTAATTATTTCAAATATATTTGCCTAATGTCAAATAGTGCAAGTTGTTTCAAGTTTTGTTCGCTCCTTGTTTTATCAAAAATTTGACATTTGAGCTATGGGCTGTGTGATTCTTCAGTGCAGCCCCTTGTTAACAAAAATATCAGGACATTCAACTGTGCTTTGAAACACATCAGACCAGTGGTTTTCTAAGGGTACTGGTATGGAACATAGCCTGGCAGGTCTCCCTTCACCTCTGTCCTGCAAGCTGGTACACTCCTTCAAATATTTGATCCCTTGCCCTTGGGTGGTAATTTACCTCATAAAATTTCAGATTCTTTTTTAATACAGTTTGTTCAAAGTTCTAAGGTACATAGGTACCTCTGACCTACCTTTAATGTTTTAGAGGCACTATCTTTTACTACAAAGCACGGTAATTTCAATTTATGTTTTGTTTATTGTCATAGGAGACAGTAGCTCTGGGCATGACACAAAGTGCCGCAGTATTTGAATACAGGAACAAGTACAAAGTTCAAGGCAATAGGAAGTAACGTGAAGACAAAGCAGGATGATAATACTGTGTCATCACTGGCCCAAGCTGTGGCCATCTCGCTGACTGGTAGCAGATGTCCTCACTATTCAGAGTCGGCCAAGTACCTGTACCTCTTCTGAGCACCGACATAGAAAGGGGAAGTGGGTAGGACAGTCCATGGTTAATAGTCAGCAGTGAAATCGGATTGTCCCATCAGGGAATACACCTCCTAATTGTTACAAAATCATCTAACCTCAATTCCAAAGATTTACTAAGAGTAAAAGAACCCAGAGTGAGATTGTTTTTAATCTCTTCATAAAACTGAAGCACAGTCTTGCACAAGTCGGTGGTGTTACTTACCATCTTTGGCCTGATCCTTCACATGCAGCTGTTACTTTACAATAGAGATTCACACCTGAAGCAGATTCTCTTCCTGCTAAAACCTTGTTCAGTGTTATGGTGCCTTTGGGTAGACTTTGTCAATCTATGAGCGAGACAAGGCTTAAGGGAACTGTGTAAAGGGGATGCTTCAGTAGATGGCACTCTCCCTCTGAGTGAAGATGAGCAAATACTTCAGCCAAGGAATTTGATGCACTGAGAGCAACTTCCTTTACACTCTACAGAAATTGCAATGATTGCAAACAAAACTCTGCATAGCTATGCAATGAAGTAACCCCTGGCAGTTTATCACAAATCTGGATCTATCAAGTCCTCGCATCCGACTTCCTCGCTGCTTAAATGGCTATAGTCTGTTTCTGTTCAGCCTGAATTCCTCCTGAAAACTTAATAGCGGATATATATATATACATGCATGCATACATATATTTAAAAGATATATATTTATTATATATTTTAAAAGATATATTCAAAAATATATATAATTTAAAAGAGCTCAGTAGTACTGTAAGTTATAGACATCAGACTCGAGGTTTAGAACTGTTCTGCTTCCTCAACCATTTTTTTCCAATTACTTCTTTTATTTTACTATTCTGTCAGTGGTAGATTCAGTTTAAGAACTTAAGACCTTTGGTTTGTTGATTGTTTTTTGTTGCTATTTGGAAGCCACAAAATTTCATAGGTCTGGTTTAAAGAGCAGTCTCACTGACTTATTACAAGTAAGTAGGCCTTAACTGCAGGTAAGAGGACAATAAAGACCTGCCAGGTATGAGGGGAAACTGCCTTTTAGATCAAAGCTGTTGCTAACCAAGCAGTAATGTACATCATGCAAGTAATTCACATTATGGCAAGTAACATCATCATTTTACAGCTTTCTAAACTGTACAGTGTTTTCCTCACTCCCGAACAGAAGGGTGAGTGAAAGAAACGTATAAGAAAAAGGTTGCAATAAAAAATTACACAGGACAAATTCATAAAATGCAAGTTTAATTGGTTCAATTTTTCTAAGTTTTGGATTCTCGAGTACTGTAAGTATATTCTTTCAATTTACTGCTTTTTACACATTCCTTTAAGTATCTGTTTTCTTATTTGACTGGCACACAGGTCAAATAAGACTCCATACGTTCTCAGTCCCCGCCTCTCTCCTACACTCCCCAAAAGTCCTCTTTCCACTGATTAAAATCACAGTAATAACTGTATTTCTAAAATCTGGAATCTGGAGCTATCGTTTTATTCCTTTTCAGAGAGAAGCATTTGATACCATAGCTCAAATAAAGCTGTTGACCCATTTTTTTTCAATATTAATGTCAGAGCCTGCAGGTTTTTGGGGCCTGTTAGAATGAAGAGGCCCCAGGTAATGTGTGAGAGATGAGTATGAAGAGTATTTGTGTACATCTCTCCAGTGCCAGTCAACTTTTGAGCAATCAAAAGTTATACACCATTGTGAACTAGAGAAAGGAATTTCTATTACAAGTGGTTCAAGCAGTGACATGTTACATGAGTGAAATGACAGACAAATTTAGTGATGAATAAATATATTTTTAGATTTTCTGTTCTTAATGCAAAACAAAACGTACTGTGAGTGTTGGATGCTTAAGGGACTGTGCCCAAAAGCAGTATTTTCTGTCCTTTGCAGAGAAACTACATGGCAGATAAAATCCTGGACCTGTAGAAACTCTCTGTTGACAGTGCTATTTAGCTACATCTATTATTTAGCAAATAGATTTAAACTTCCAACTGGATTTGATAGGGAATTCCAAAAAGTCTTCATACAGTAAGGTTACTACTTGGAAGTCTCTTTTGCACACAACTGAATTGAAAATGTTTGGTGAGGCTTTTTTTAAACACTTTACAAAAGAACTATTTTTTTTTTTCTTTGGAAAAAAAAATCAGGATGTAGGGTGTGGGACTTCTAATACTTGGAACAAGTTATTTAGAAAATTAAAAGCAAAATAATTTAACAGTATTACAGTACTACTAATTTTTTCCCCTTCTGCTTCTGCAGTCTTGAGCTGACATTTTGTTCAATCAGATAAGGAAATGTATCTAGTTCATTAAACTAATCAAAAACATTTGGTTTATGGTTGCAACCTTTACAGCAGCTATTGTGAATTCAGAGGAGGTTTGAAGACCCTCAAACCAGCCTTCTACACTGGCTTTCAAGTAGTGGTTTCAAATCAAAGAACAATTTCCTGACTGATTCATCTAACTAGCTATTGGGACACCTGAGTTTTATGCCTTCAGGCAAATTACAGCCTAATTTTCAGGTGTGGTGCATTTCTTTAACTCCCATTTATTTCAAGTGCAGTCATAAGAGCTCAGCACCTCTGAAAATTCTTTTTAAACCATTTTGGGAATATCTTCCTTACAGATACATTGGAAAGCTGTTTTAATGTTTGCCATACATTTTGAACTGCTTAGTAAGAATATGTTACAGAAATGCAGTATTAACAAGTATCTCATTGAAACAAGGCTGTTTTTTTCTCATTTCAGTGCAGTACAGCTCAAATTACATTAAAGAGAATCTCACAACAATTAAACCCTACAGTTCAGTAAATGGGACAGAGCAAGAAACAGAAGGCACATATGATGGATTCCCAGGGATCTGCCACCACACTGCTTTTAGGATGGAAGATCATGAACAAAAGGTGAAGAGCAAGTGGTAACAGAAGCAAGACCTGACAATCACATGGGTTCCCTTTACTTTAGAAGATCCATACTGGAAGGACCCAGAAGACATTGTGAGAAAATAGGAGTATTAGCCTCGCTTTTGATAATATTAAGAAGCCAGACAGAGATCAGATCTCAGTGGGCTTGCAGAGCTGGTCATCGAAGTAGCCAGAAAACCCAAAGTCTTGATTCTTTGTAATGGACTTCATTGTGTAATGGAGGTCTCATACCTTTTGGTTTACAGGTGGGGGTGGGTTTATTTGCGCTGCATGGTATTTGTGTTTAGGAAAATTACATCATATGAAAGTAAGAGAAGACATAGCGGTAGCTGGACAGACCGGAGAGATTTGGGTGAGCCTATTCATCAGTGTTTGGAGATGGGTGCAGAACAAAGGGTTGATTTCCAAACATGATTTATTTAGAAACTTAAGATCTATTAAAGGACAATGAGGCTAAAACTTACCAATAAATGTATCAAATGCAATAGTTAGATTAAATCCATCAGATCCATGGATAAAGAGGAGTTAGTAAAAGTGACCAACACTCAGCAGACTAGCATCTCCTGGTTCCCTAATGAAAGTAATCTTGAATCAAACCATATTTTACTGGAAACCTCGGGAATGTTACAAATGTCACTTCATGCTACATTAATTAGACGAATGCCATTTGTAAAACTGTTTAACGAAGGGTGAACACATACACCAGACTGGTGAATTAAGCAAAATGATAGAGCAAAAGGAAATGATAGAGCAAAAGAACTGCTCTTTTTCCTTTTGCAGCCGTTTTCTGCGTGAAACCTGCAGATGATTTTTGCATCCTCCCCCTGCTTGCTTTTCCAGCCCATTCTGCAGGATTTGCTTGACAGGAGGAAAACATAGTTCTGAATTCAATTGGCCACTGTATTTCTTTTTTTTTTCTTTTAGTTTTCTGTTCTTGCAAACTTGCAAAGTCTCAGCTGACCTGAGTTATGAGCTGTTTGCCCAACAGGGCCTTTGTTCCAATCTGGGCTTCAGCAACAACTGGAAAAACCTGTTCGTGTGCCCCCCCCTTTTTTTTTTTTTTAATCTTCCTCTCCGATTGGCAGCTGCAGCTTGTACACATGCAGTCAAGGTGGTGCCTACCTTTCATGTGGAAAGCTGCCTTACAAAAACCGAGGTTGCTTTTTCCATTGTCCCAGAGCTTTTCTAGCCTCATGAAAGCTTTGGTGGATGCTCCAGAGTTAAACTGTGTGTTTCATGAAATGTGTTTAGGTTGTAATTTTATTTTTATTCAAGTAAAGAGAGGATGTTTGAGTGTGGCTTCAGTCTTTTAAATAATATTTTGTAGATGCTGAGAGGTCTGCAGAAACTAGCCTTGTTGTGCAATGCAGCTTTTTGGATACAGAAGCTTGTCTGCTTTGCAGCAGCAGCACATGGTGTAGTGTTAACATCTGTAAGACATCCCGAGGCAGCACGTTAGTGCAAAAAGTGGACAAGTTGAGAAGAAACATCTCTTTCAGTCTCCTTCCTTTTCCTCTTGCTTTGTGCTGCTGTTGGAACAAGAATGGGTCAACTGTGTGGACGATGCATGCAGCTGCTGCGGGACTTCGTGGCTTTTGTTCGGAGAATGTCTTCGGACTTGATGGAGGGCATCAAGGAATGCTTAACTCTGATAAGCAAATGCCCCTGCTTAAAACAAAACAACTCTAAAGCCAGACAGCTGTACAAGCCCATCCTGCAGCCTCATGAGAGGGTAACAGCACAGGAGTTTCTGCAGCATATTGAAACAGGTAAGAGCACTTGGGTTTTTTTCCTAAAAGGTTGTGAAAGAACAAGGAGGTTGATCTCGTGGGTTGAAAACAGATTGCTGGCTGAACTGCATTGACATGGTGTGGAGGAGTTTGGTGATGTTGTAGAAAAGGCCAGAGCTACAGAGCATCTTCTCGTACGGGATGGCAGGGGCTCAGGTGGTGTTAACAGTTGGATCTAGGTAGAAAAGGTCAGTCACTTTCCAGCTCTGCCACCAGTGGTAATACATAATGCTTGCAAATATGTTTTATAAAAGTAATTAAAGTTAATTTTTTGAAGTAAGTCACTGAGGTCACAAAGCTGGAAACTGGCTTTACCAATGCTGGATGCTACGTGAGTGCATAGCTGTGAGCAGGCAAATCACAGTGTGCTCCTGGCTGAGTTGTGCACATCCATATTGGCTGGCTGCAGAACACCTGGACTTGTACTGGGGTTGTCTGCATGGGGAAGGTGAAAGTCACCCTGGGACAAGCACCACTGGGCTCCCAGGATTCCGAGCAACTGGTCCGCCTAAGTGCTTTTGTACAAACATTTTAGACACAAGGCTTGAACACAGTCATGGGATTCTGCTTGAATCAAAGTAGACCGGTAACTCTTCATGTATCTCCTCTGCTTTACAGGCCACCTGCCTAATTCCTCTGTTTATCTACTTGTGATATCCTCTCTACCCTGTTGTAGGATACAACTATGTCACTAGGAAAACTTCTTTTATTTCATTCCTGCAGTCATGGATTATCATCTGGATGAATGTGTTTTGTCTGTTGTCCAACCTAAAAACATTCCTTGTCTCAAGCTTAGGCAGGGGCCATTGCTTGTTTCAGTTTTCTTTGTCTCACAGCTTATTTGGTATATTGCTTTAAGCTTAACAACCTTGGGCTAAAGCTACTACTAAAAATTGCACAGCCTTCTACTTTCATTTGTATGAAGAGTGTGGAACACAAACTACTATTTCTTTACTTGACTTTTTGGGGACATAAAAGCATCGTGTGAGGGGGACCAGGAGAGTAATTTTTTCCTTGATGTGGCACAGTTAATGCTGTTTAAAATGATCAGTCATGGAACAACCTTTGAAATAATTGCTGTGACGCTAGTTGTCGGGAACATGCGTGTGTGAGCCTCAGCTATGTATTAGCTGGTGTCATTACACTATGAATGTGGGGGGGTTCTCTGCTGCTGATATGGTTCACTAATTGTTGATCATTAAGCATTGGCTAAATCCTGAAGTCCATATCCAGAATAGGATCAGATCTTTCATCTTGATGTACAGTGGGGATCTTCCAGGGCTGAACTTGTTCTTCCAAAGGCTAGCATGCTCCTCCTGACTGTGTAAGAGACTTTCTTGGCAATATCCCAGTTCAGCTGGTGGATCAGGTCCAACAAAGGGGTAGTCTGGAAAAAATGGTGAGGCTAGAATGGCCCTTTGCAGTACCCACTGCAATACCCACCCTTTCTGAGATGGGTCTTCAAAAGGCCAGTCTGTCTTGGATCCTTAAGCTTCTGTGACAGCAGTACACAGATGACAACGTGTGCTCTCAGGGAGGTCCCAATGTCTGTGATAGGATGTACACAGCACCCAAAAGGAAGAACCAGAGTTAATCCTTGGAGTGGCCAAATCCTGCTGCCAAGACAGATGGAGTCAGGGGAGCCTCACAGAGAGAACCAAGACACATCCCTCCTACCTTAGCTCTTACCTGTGTATTTTATTCCAGGATGGAGCAACACAATCCTCAGTCTTAGACAAATGATAGTAAGCAGGGATCCAACATCTGGGCAATTTGGGTGCAAGGAGAGACTTCATGGTTGATTATCATAGTCAGCTGTTGGCTAGGGCAGCAAATGATTGATATTATAAGCAGGTGAAGATTTTGAGTGGCTTCTGCTTTATCAGTCCCAAACAAAAACACACAGATATGTGGGAGATTCAGATAGTCAGTGTTTAAGGAACAGAATTAAGCCACATTAAGAGATTTCTGGTTTTTCTTGCAAACACTGGTTAGTCCTTCTCTTTTTGTGTGTTGTTAATAATTAAACAAAATTGATCTTTATATGGAGCAGTTTTGTGAAGCCCACTTACCTAAGCCCAAAGGTAGGAGTTTGCTACTCTTGACATGTCAGCACCTTCTGATGGCTTGAAATACTGAGTTTTGCACTGAGGAATAAAAGCTCACACCCCTCACATCCCTTGCATCTCTTTATTCCATGGAAGGTAAAGTAGCTAGGTCTTGTTCATGGAGATATTTCAGTCTTTAATGCACTGCTTTAATCTATTGTCTGGAAATATATCTTGTGTGCTCCACCAGTCAATTTATATTACATTTCCTTTTCAACACTTTATACTATTGAGCATTGGTTCAGATAGCCTTCTTTTTTTTCCTGTCTGCTGCTCCATTCCACACATTAGAAGTACATTATACAGTGACTTACAGAAGTCATGCATGACTGCTGTTGCTTGATGTCTGTTGCTGAACATCTGGTTTATTCATAGGGGAATTATCATACTCAAGAACAGGTAGAATCATGCTAGAAATTTGAGCCTGAGGCAAGCCCATTTGCAATCCATGTTGCTATTCCCTGAAATTGTTTATTGTAATGCCCAGGACAAGAAACACAATGAACTTAAAATGTAGTAAATTAGAAATATGTACTCTTTCTATAGCTCATAACTAAGAACACCACATTCGGTAGATGTATTATAACAAAGATCTTATGTGATTCAGGAAAATATAAAGATTTTTATGGAGAACAGGAACACCTGCATTTATATTGGATAGCATAAAAGTGTCTAAAGGTTATAATTTATCTTGCTTTCAATCACTAGCTTTGTGAGCTTCACAAAAGGTGTTGCAGAGGACAGGTTATTCCAGATTTATTTATTGCCTCTCCTCATGGAAACATGAATAAGAATAGTTGGGCTCTATGAAGTTGTTGCAGTACAAAAATCCTTAGATGTTTGGTTGGCTGTAAATTTTAGTTTCTTTTAGTAAACTAATCCTTTTCAGGTGTAATGGAGTCTGTGCTGTCACTGTACATCTTCAGGTTTTGAAATGTCACCACTTGGAAAGGACCCTCTGGAAGCCTTGAGGACCTTAGCCTATTCAGAAAACCCAGGTTTACAGCAGTCTGCTGCCCTCTATTACTTGCATATGAGTCAGCACAGTAAGTTATCTCAGTGCATTTGAAAATTTTCACATTATTATAAACAAAAGTAGTATTTCCAATTGTGAAACTCCCTTTGATTCATTAATCAAAGTTCTTTTTTTCTTTCATACTATGTTGTTTGCTAAGGAAAATGGAAATTCAGCCATTGCCATGTGGGCAGAGTCATTCTGGGTTTTGCTATGAGACACCTCTCATGATTATAAAAGACTGTAATTTATGTAATAGTAATACTTCCGTAAAACTCAGCAGAACCCAAAGTAGCTAGATTTGGTGTATACTGAATCTCCTGAGAGCAATACAGTCAAAGTATGGTGGAAGAAAATAGACATAGTGATCATTTAAGGTTTTATATTCTATAATTTTTGGAAGAGTACAAAGCTCTAGAGGCCAGACTGCAGTGGAAATTTATGAAGGAAACATTCTTCTTTGTCCCAACTACTCTGTAGGAGCACTTGGCTCCTGAGTAATTTGTAAATGGTTAGAAGTCAGCCTAGATATGCCGGATAAAATTCCAGCAAGAGTTTGGGTCCTACAAAAAGGTAGAAATACCAGCAACAAGCAGGTTGTATTTATTTATTTGTTTATTTGCTTGTTTTAAATTTACTTTGAGGAGCCTATTATGGCGCTTGGCTCTGTAGCTTTATCTCATGTATTTTTCGCTGGATAAAAAGTGCAGATAACGACAACACATGGACCTGCTCTGAGGCGGAATGACTTGTTTGGTAGTGATGCATATTGCTTCTCTTTCCATAATGTTTTTGAAGTTTTTGATTATTCAAAACCTTTTCAGGAAACTTGCCCTGTTTTTCTAGTAGCAATGGAATTTAAATGAAGGAATACCACTTAGACTATGTATGGTAGCAACTGAGGCTTAAGACCAACAAGTGAAAAATGCGACTGCGGTGAACAACGAGACTCCTGAATAATTCCTCTCGTTCCTGCAGTGAACATCCCCCTGCCTGTGGAGCATCTGGAACCCTTCTATGCCTTACTGCGGTCTGCTGACCTGGAGGTGCAGCAGATGTCTTCCTTGTCCCTTGTCAACTTCTTGCTGGAAGGACATGGTGAGTAATTAACAACACCTCTATCTTTAGGTGAAAAAGTATCTCTTCAGCCAGACTCAGAAGGAGGGCACATCCACACACATGCAAATTCCGTTTTTGTGTTCCTGATAGCACAGGTATGAGTCTGTTTCTGCCTGCAAGCCACATAGATTCTGATGGCACCAGGATGTATCAAATCCCTCCAGCTAGATTATATCATGTGGCAAGAGATCTCGGATCTGTGTTCAAAGGCTGATAAATTCCCAGACGAGTGTGGGAACAGCTATACTATTCTCACTCTTGGATCAAAAGCCCATTTACCCTTTCAAGCAACAGATAGAGCTCTTAGAAGTAAACTCTGTTTATGAGACAGTGCTTGCTTTCTTGTTGTTTATTAACGGGACATTGATCTTAAATTGCTTCCAGATTAAAAATAAATAAATAAATAAATAAATAAATAAAATGCTTAACAGAATTCACTTTCTTCTGTAGCTAATAGGGCAAATGCAATTGAGATAAGATCCAAGAGCTGCAAATTAAAAGCTTCCCAATAAAGTTTATGCTGATAGGCAGGGCATGAACACCCCACACCTTGTCAATGGAGTCTTTGTTGCATCTACTACTGCACTCCCTGGTACCTGGACCACAACAGCTATTCCATCACACTGTCCCATAACAGCAGAAGACAGGGCCAGTCTTCAATGAAGCTAGCTTTTTTCTTTTATTTTTTTAAGGATCTTGCTGCAAATAATATCATGTCACTATTTACAAGTAAAAAAATAATCTTTAAAGTGTAAACTTAAAAAAAAAAAAAAAAAAAAAAAAGGATGTGGGGGTGCTGAGTAAATTGTGAACCTATTGGAAAGCCGCAGTTCCCCTTTCCAAAATGAATCTTATGTCTGAGAACGGAATTGCTAGCAAAAATATTCGGGACCTTCTGAACTAGAACCTCTGAACATCTCTCACACTCTCATGAGTCGAAGAGGAATCAAGCAAACCAAGCAACAGACTGCGAGTTCCTGTCAGGCTCTTTCCAGCTTAGGTCTATTTTGTATAAACATAATATAGACTCCCAAAGCAGTCAAAGGAAAATGCATTATTTGCACAAAGGCATTAACTGTTTATTTTTCTGTTTCTCCATTTTTTTCTTGAATTTATGAATAGTTGACAAAGAATTAGTTGTCCAGATGGGTTTACTTGAGCCAATTCTGGATCTACTTGAGTCAGAGGATCCCACTGTCCAGTGTAATTCCTGTGCCTGCACCATGACTTTGGCTGTTTTAGGTAAGTGTGCTGTTCTTTCCCTTTATCCTCTGCAGTGAATTTATTCAGCTCTTGCTTTGTATTTCAAGGTGAAACAACCTATTTGCAATTGGTCTAAGAGTCGTAAGATGCAGCAGCAGCAAGTTTTGGTATTCCGACATCATAAATTCCACCTCTTGAGATTCCAGTTAAGATCTTTTTCTCAGTGTTCCTGACCTTCATTCTCTTATGATTACAAACCTTTTTCTGATTTCCAAGCTAAATATATTCATGACCAGCTTATCTTAATTAGTGTCTACATTGGCTTTTGCTTCAGTGGTTCTGCCTCTCTGATGTCGATGCTGATGAGGCTCCTTCATTTTACTAGATTGAAAAAGCCAAGCTCATTCAAGACTCCTCTTGTAAGTGAGGCTCTCCATTCATCTTCAGATCCCTTCTGGGTGTAAATGATATGTTCCAGAAATGGAACATAGCAATTGCATCTGCTGTTTTGTGATACCACAGACCTCAGGCGTTACAGTCCGGAGATGTACATAAATGCTGCAGGAGTTCCATTTTGAATTAATCTTTTCTGAAAGATAGGTCACCAGAAATGTGCAGTATTTCAGCTCAGGTCCCACCTGTGTCTTTTATTGTGGCATCCAGGGAAATATGTTTTGTTGTACATCTCATCATAACACGTGGGTTCTTTGTGATAGCATCATGGTGATATTGTCATCATACAGCTGACTTCATCAGTCTTTCTACTGCTGTTTCCAGCAGACACCAATTAATTAAGGGTCTGCAACAAATGTTTGAAAATGTAAGTCCCTGCATTTTATACCATAAGGTTTCACTCTGTTTCTGTTGCTTCAGTCTTCTAACTTGTTGGTTATTTGTAAAATATTTCAGTCCTCCACTGCATTTACAGTGCTGCACTCACACGTTTGTATTAACTTTGTGGCTCAAAACCAACTGGCTACAGACCAGTCTTTGTGGAATTCCACTTGTAGTCTCCTTCCGGGTAGTCATTCCCATTCAGCAAAACTTGCTGCCATCATGCACAACTTGAATTTGTCACTAACTTCTCTTGCTTAATTATGGATATTTCACATCATGATATAGATATTTTCCTGGCATCTAGACAGATAACCTTTTTTTTGGTGACTGTGGTTGAGCTTATCAAGTCAGTCCGGCTTATTCTACCTTTTGCAAACTGTGCAATTCTACTGTACAAATTGTGAACATGCCTGTATAAAAGCCGTGAATAACTTTTATTTCCCTTCCTGTAGTGTTTATTCCATCAGCTTCCCTCTCCAGCGTGGGAAGTTGCAATCAATTCTCCCAGAAGGCTGAGAGAAGCATGGTAAAAGTGTTACTTTCTCATATAAGTATTTATGTTGCAAAGGGAGAGTGGATAAGCAGGATCCAACTACAGGAAAGTGCTGATTTGTATTTTATCCCATCTTTTTTTTTTTTATTTGCAGGTTTTAAAACACTTTTCCATTTGAAACTTATCTTTAAGCATTGCATATTATCATGGTCAGGTTAAGAAACCTGTGTACTACATGACTTTGTGTGGAATGCAGATTGCCTCATTTTAATGTCTAAATTAGGCATGGCATCATTAAAATTTTAGGTACCTGGCACTAGAATGACTTTCTTTGTGTATTGTCAGTGAAGTTATGCCTCCGAAGGTCTACACAGAGATACCCCTTCAACTGTTTTAAGCAGCCCTAAGGGTGTTCCTTAATCCTGAAGGCACTCTTCCCCTTCTAGATGTCTCTGTCTTTAACCGAGAGTATAGGGAACCCTAAGCCTCTCTAGATCCAATCCACTTTCATTCTCTGTTGAGGGTGGTCACCTAATGCCTTTGCACACTCTTTTAACTGCTAGTGTACTTCTGAGCACAAATAGTTTAAGCACCCAAAAAGCTTTCCAAGTAGATAGGAAGGCATCTGCTGGACATAGAGGTAGGCAGTCCTGCAAGGCTAGGTTGCTGCCTGGAATTTAATCAGTGTTGAGGATCTCTGTCCCAGTTAAACTAGGACTTAGATGGACTGGATCCATTTATTTCTTTTTCAGACTATATTTAGCTACCACAGCAATGAGACTAAAGCAAGAGGCAATTCTCTAGAGTTTATTTTAATTTTAACTCAGAGACTTGAATAAAGAGTCTGCTTGAGAAAAGTATTCTGTTTGGTCATGTCCTTCAGGTAAGCTATTTGTGCTTCCAAGTGGTTTAAAAAAGATAAATATGGAAGCATAACCAAGTTAGGAAGATCCTTACATAGCTTTAAGGTGACTAAAACTCTGAATCCAAGAATGGTAATATGTCTTAATTTTGCTGCAATGAACATGCAAGACTGTGTACAGAGTGAAGCTGTTTAGCAATGTGACTGCAAGTTACACGTAAGCTGGCTTGTATGGTACTTATCTGCTGCAACAAGTAGCCAAAAATAAAAACAGCAAACACAAACCCCTTTAGAGGAAACAGATTTGAAGGTCAGTTTGTTCCAACACCAGCATTTATCCACACAGCAGAAGGACATGTGCACATTTGCAATTATCTGCAGCTTTTCACTCTGTGAAAGTAATCAGTTCTGGGATAAGAACTCTTCTGAGTACATAGGAACAGGACTAAATGTTCACAGCAAGGGTTTAGGGACATCTGAACATCTACATTAAGCTAAACAAGGATGCATGGATTGTAGAGCACATTCACAGTTGTATTGGCAGGAGAATTTTCAAGCACGCAAACGACAGAGTGGAAAAAAAGGATTTATAAATGCCGGTTTCCAGGTGAGTTATTCAAACCAAGCTGGAATAGATGCTGTTGATTTCCCCGCTGTAGAGTAGCATCTGAATACGTGGTTCCCTTCCAAAAGCACTCGAAGGGGTGTCAGTGGTTGCAGTGGAGGGACTGTGTCACTTAGATAAACAGGTCGTCCAGGAGAGAAACATAATCTAGCCTGCCACATCTCTTATAGAGATGATAGTACAGGTACACATATTGGTGAGATAGATTTCTCCACCCATTCTGTCTTAAATTGACAAAACAGATAGTGTTCAACCACATTATGTGACCAAAACTAGAATGAGAATGGAGAGAAGGATAAGGGAAAATTACATATGTAAAAATAAATCCAGCAAACCCACAACAATGGGCACTAGCAAAGACTGCAGAGAAGAACTTGTCAGCTAGTGAATGACCCAAGTAAAAAGAAAAAAAAAAAATTGTTTTGGTCATAGAGGTTTCCATCATGTGGGTACCTGTTGTGGTTTCTCCACTCTCATGATGAGATCAGGCCTTCCAGTCCTTCCCAGGCAGGAGTGGAGTGCTTGGGTCTCCACGTGCCACTTCCCTCCAAAACAGGCTGCAAGAGCTTATCCTGCTGCTGTAGGCTTCAGGTGTTGACCACTATTCTCTTAGCCCTCAGGCAGAAAAAATGTTTGAGCTGTCATGGATCTGAAGCCATTCCAAATCAAGCCGGTTGTGTTTCTTTAAAAAAGAAAAAGCTTTGAAGCACCCAATGCCTCATATTCTGTCCTGCCCAGTGCTTCCTTCAGAAAATCTTCAGACTGGAATCACACCCCTGAGAAGCTCTCTCATAGGATTGAGGATGCCCCTTCCCTGCCCTAGAAGGGAAAGTGGAAGAAAGAATTTGTCCAAGTTTTTTCCAAATGTTTGTAATCCCTTTGCCCAAATGTGAGCTTCTCTTACACATTCACAAACGTTCATGGAGTGCGTTGTGTGAAAGAATGAAGTGGCAATATCTGAATTCTCAATCTTTCTACTTCTCTTCTTTACTGAACTAATTAAGAGTTGACATCACACCAGACTAGGTTACATCAGTTGGAGCTTGTTGTGGTTTAACCCCAGCCAGCAACTAAGCACCACACAGCCGCTCGCTCACACCTCCCCCACTCTCAGGGCGATGGGGACAAGAATCATAGAAAAAAAAAAAGTAAAACTCATGGGTTGACACAAGAAAAGTTTAATAACTAAAATAAAATATTGTTATTATAACAATATAATAATAATGAAAAGAAATATTACTTTTTAAAAGAGAGGGGGGAAAAAAAAAAAAAAACAAAACAGAAAAGACAAGTGATGCACAACGCAATTGCTTACCACCCGCTGACCGAGGCCCGAGCAGTGACCTGCCCCCCCTGCCCCGGCCAGCTCCCCCCAGTTCACACACTGAGCATGATGTCTGTGCTGTGCAACAGCCCTTTGGCTAGCTGGGGTCAGCTGCCCTGGCCACGCTCCCTCCCAGCTTCTTGTGCACCTGCTCACTGGCAGAGCATGGGATGCTGAAAAATCCTTAACTTTGGGATAAGCACTACTTAGCAACAATTAAAACATCAGTGTGTTATCATTATTCTCACACTAAATCCAAAACACAGCACTGTACCAGCTACTGGGAAGAAAATTAACTTGATCCCAGCTGAAACCAGGACGGAGCTGCACAAAAGAATTTCTGCTTCCACTAAGGGAAACAAAAGAAAAATATGCAGGCAGATTAGGTTGGAGAAAGGTTTGTCTGCAAAATTGACCAGAATGTTTCACCAGAATAATAGCTTCCCATGTGTAAAAGCTATTTTTAAATACATGACTCTTCCCAGAACAATTATTTTGCTCATTTTTTTTTTTTCCAGAAAAAAAGGTATTTCCTTGAGTATAAAATATTCATATGAAGGCAGAAAAGGACTTGTCCTGGAATACTAAAATGATACTGGCCAAACTCTACTTGAATGAATATCCTGGATTATCTGTGGGTATCAGTTCCCCAGTATAGATAGGATCCAGGTACAGAAGTAAAGTCTTTGTTCTCCTAACTCTCTAAGTTATTTAGCACCTGAAGAGTTGATCTCATCCAAATATCTTCATATTTCTTGCTTTCTTCTTACTCATGTTTCTTGAGACTGGCCATTGTTTAAACTGTCTATAAATGTACATAAATGAACTCAACTAATACTCCTGTGGTCTTTGGTAGCAGTTTGGCTCACTTAAATGATGGAAGATGTAGACTAGGGCCTTTGCTTTTTCCTTTTGTAAAACAATCTGCAGAATACTGTGGTATTAAGAAAATTCTTCACTGGTCTACTTCGCATTTAAATCTCATCAACTTCAAAGAACACTACTGCCAACACCTTATTTTTTCAAAATTATGACACAAGAATGTTTATAAGATACAAATACAGATAATGTATAGAGATAAATAAGACAGTAAATGGGAGAGGACCGTAGCTGTCTCAGCGTGGCAGCAGGTTATTTGTTGCAAATGTTTTGATGGCCTCATGGTAGAGGGGTAGGGAAGAGCATAATGGAAGGATTCTCTTCTATATGGCCCAGCTGAGGCTACTGACAGGAAGTCCAAAACAAAAGGAGTAGAACTAAAAGCAATTTTTTTTTTTTTAAATTGCATTATATTTCATAGCATAGTATAACTTTACTGTATGTAGTATACTTACATACACAGTCTATAAATATGTTATATTGTATTTTATATTATATAGTTAATTTTATAGCATTATTTAAGTATTATAGGCTTTTTTTTTCCCCAGTTTTTAATTCAAGAGTCTGAAGGGACTCTGCAGATCTTGTCTGAATGCTCCATATACGGTAGGATGTTGAATACAACTGTACAACTTAATACATGGCCATGTAAGAAAGTGTCACCACTTCAGAGAAGTGTTGTCTTCAAATTCCAGGAGTTAAGTCAAATTCTGTCTTTAGAAACTGCTGCATTGTAGCTATCAAAGGAGTGACACAGGCACATTTAAAGAGAGAAACTGGCTCTGAATATACCCTGCTAAATGAATTCAGTCTTACCTGCAGTTAATTATGTAGTTTTTAGTTGACACAGTGTGACTAGCTTGATCAGATATAGCAGGGGTACAAGGCAAGTATGACACTTTGCCAAGCTGTTTAAGGGGACTTACGGTCTTTTTATTTTAATCATCCCAGTCACAAAGCAAAAACATTGAACCAGCTGCGATCTATGGCTAATCCAGAAATCATCAGTTAGTTTCCTTCCCATTTTGCTCTTGGAATTTTTAACAGTTTCCTTTGAGCATGCAGCAAAATTCTGACATATACCAAAGAGTCAGAGAAGTGAACACCAAAGAAACCTAGTCCTGCTAGTTGTCCTTCTGCGTCACAGTAAGATGACAGTGTCTTCTTCCTTTTCCTCTCTGATCTTTTTCTGCAGAGTCCAACCGAGAGGCTATTGGTGCTGCTCGAGGAGTTACACCCCTACTGTCTCTTGCCAATTCCTCTGATCCTAGAGTCCAACAAAATGCAGTTGGTGCTATTCTCAACCTCACACAATCAGGTACTTTCACACTAATGGTTTATCTAAAATTGTTGCTCTCACTGATAGAAAAATAGTTCAAAAGGGTCAAGGCAAGAATAAAAGCATATGTGAACAACAAATTATTTCCTTTGCATATGGCATCCAGGTTGATACCATAGACTGATGATGTAAGTTTGGCCTCTCTTTAGGTAATACAGACTCCTTTTTTGCCTAATACCAAAATAGAAAGCCTTTATTTTCAACCCCTAGGGGCTAATGTACAAGCACTCAAATAACCAATCAAACAGGAAAAAAAAAAAAAATTTGTTGAAGAAATAACTTGGTCTAAAAAGTTAGGGGCGTATTTGGCGATACTTTGAAGCAATCTCAGAAACTTATTCAACAAGGTCAAGCTCTAGGAACGTTTGATTTGTATCCCTAACTTGATGTTGGAAGATGCAAAATGTAACTGTTATGGACCAGGCATTAAAGCCTCCTGGGATATCTGCCAACAGCTTCAGCAAAAGCAGTATTTGGTCCTCTGTAATAATATGTGCACTAATACATTAACTCTGAAACAGACCAGCATTAATCTCACCTATCTAGATTATACCATTATCCCACACAGCTAAATGATACAGTCACGACTAACGTCTCTTCTCTCTGTATGGTCGAAGGGAATGGTTGACAGTAACTTACACAGTTGGCTACTACACTTCTAGTATTATTCAAAAATTTTTAAAGAATTTATTTTTTAAACACAGAAATCCTGGTGAATATCGTAACCGAGGTTTTTCAGATTCTCCGAATAGTCTTTAGCATAAAACCAGCAAAGGCTTAGTCGATCAGACAGCCGGCTTTGTTATTTTGCTAAAATGTCTGCATACTGCTATATTGCACAAGCTCTAACTTAGATACTTTCCAGTCACTCTGATTGGCGTACATATAGACAACATCACCACTCTCTAGGATCCAATGATTGTGCGTATCCCTTTTGAATGGTGCCTCCAGATGAGACAGAGGGAAGGGAGAGACACACTAACAGCACTTTTTTTTTTTTTCAAATGGCAGAGAAGATCCAACAGGTCCTATGCAAGGAAGGAGCCCTACCAGTTCTTGCCTTGCTGCTGGAATCTCCTGACTCAGAAGTGCAGGTATGGCTCAAACAGGTTGGCTTTTTAAACACTAACAGTGTGACTGTAAGGAGAGTACAAACCACAGTATGTAGAAATGGAAAGGTGGAGAGGAGGGAAGGTTTCTTTTAGAGAAGTGGGAAACACGTGAGAGCATCTTGTTGAAACTCAGCTCAGTCAGCTAATATATATTCAAAACACTCAATATGTCTAACTCCACAGGAAAAAATTTATGATGCAGAAGTGCATCTGCCAGCACACACTAACACATGCACACAGTTTTTATGCAGTTACCTTCTTGTGTCTTTCAGATCATTGGACAAGTTGCAGACAGGCCTCTTCCTCTGGTTTCTTTTGCATCCTTATTTTGATCTTCCGCTCTAAGACATTTTACTAAGTGTCTTGAGAAGACATAACTTGCAAAGATTTTTTTTTTTTCCTTCTTGTAAATATCTGGGAAATTTTCCTATTTTATGCCTACCACAGACACCTCTTTGTGATTCTACACACTTAACAGAGAGCTGGTGTTAGTTCAAAAGTATGCTGATGAAAAACTATGAATCAGAGTTGTAAACCTTAAAATCCGCTAGTTCATTCAGTCAGTCCTCTGAGTAGTACAGGATTGTTTTCTCCATCTGTTTTGTTATCTCAGTTCAGATTTCTTTTGAGTGTCTGAAGGGATGGAACCTCTGGAATTGCTTTCTGCAAACTGTTTCAGTATTACCAGCTTTCTCTGAGATTCATCTTAACATTTCCTTCTCTGCTGTTCAACCTGTTTCTTATAATTATATCTCCCTAGTAATACATACTCATATATGTATATAATCCTCCCTAGCGTTAATGTTTAAATCATTTGAAAATGGTCTCTTGGCATGCTAGGGCAATGACTACCTCCAGCTTGAGTAAATCAAGGTAAACATATAATAGAGCAGATGCAGATGACCTAACTTAGGTGCCAGCAGCAGTGTCATTGCAGCAGCACAGTACATTCCCAGATACCCGGGGTCCTAATGGACCCGTACAACATTCAGTGCCACAGCATGACTGGTGGTGTAGCTATAGCAGATTGCATCACTTTTCCTGGAAGAAGCCCACTTAGGCTGTTATCACATCTACCCACTAAAGTACCCTTAAGATGCTTGAGCTGATTTTCATCAACTCTAAATCTGAGCATTTCTCCGATTTATTTTTATGCTCTTTAACATGTCACCCCTGTGACCTCCTCTCTTTCTCTGTTTTCTTGATTCTTTGTAGTATTACAGCTGTGCTGCCCTAAGCAACATAGCAGCCAATGTTCAGCACCACGAAGCCATGCTGAAACCCAGCAACAGGTTCCTGCTGCAGACACTCATCTCTCTCCTCTCCTCTTCTGTGGACAAGGTAAAGCTGTAGCTTTGTCTTTGTGTAAAAGATTAGCACTAGAGTAGAGCTATGAACTCGGGCTTCCAGTTTCAGTCTTGCACAGTTCTGCTCATCTACTGGTCAGGTGCCTATGCAGCACATTTCCCATGAGAAAAGACACATATATTAGGAGATGTATAGGTTCTACACGGTCAATTTATGGACTACGATGGCCTGTACTCTTTACATTTGAAACTACATGCGTGAAATGTTCTGTCCAGGCTGTCAACTATCTTTGATCATTTTGTCTGCACTAGAAGGTATCTGGAGCATCTGTTTTGCTTTCTTCTTTTTTTTTTTTTTTTTTTTTTTTTCTTCGTTGAGTATATGGCTTCAAAGAATAAGGTCTTGAAAATTTTGCCTTGTTGGGAGCCATATCAAAGAAACTACAATAAGCCACAGCTTGGAATTTATAGGGCAGAACTTTAAATTCTGTGTAGGAGGGAGGTGAAAAAAAAGCAAAGCAAATAAGACAAACTTATTCCATTTTCCTATAACTTATCTGACATTCCAAAATAAATCAACATCTGAATCTCATTGGCTCTTCCTAATCGACAACAGGATGACTGATACTACAGGAGGTTGAAAAAAAATTTATCAAAACTGTGAAAAAAACCAGTCCCAAAATTTGTTCTCTGAAGATAATGTAATAGCTTGCTAGAGTTGTCATGTTTATTTTGCATTCAATAGGCAAAAAGATGCATTACTGAAACCTCTTTTTTTCCTCTCTCTTTTATTCCTTTTTTTTTTTTTTTTTTTCCCCTCTCTTTGGCACAAGCAGGTTTCAAGCCAGGCATGTGTTTGCCTAAGAAATTTGGCTACCAGTGGTAAGAAATATCTTGGAGATAAACAAACCACGCTATTTCCTTTTCTTTCTATCTGCCTTTCAGAGTGGGCAGAGTGGGCTGGGAACCTTGCATATTAAAAGCAAAGAGATACCCTCTCCTATGTTTTATTTGGATGTTAAGGGAAGAGGGAGGTACAGCGTATACATTAACTAAATCTGCCTCAGAGCTCCCAGGTACTGAGGGGAAGTATCTGGACAAAGTAAGAGACAGCAGAGGCCTTCTTGTGCACAGAGCCTTTGCAATTTAGTAAGTTTTTCTCCCTTCCATGTTGTCAAAGCATTAAACCAGACTAGGAAAGAATGTTTCCTGAAATTGCTGCTTGAGTGGGGAAGGCATGAATCTGTCCATCATTAAATATAATTTTCTCCCAAGCATTTGTCATCCTTTTAAATAACCCTACCTTATTAAATGCCCAAGGTCCATTTCTACAGCATGCTTGGGAGATGAAAGCAGAGGACTGACACGCTCAGTGCTAGAGCCTGGGGGCCAGGGTGGAGTTGTTAATCTAGAAAACATAGAGGTGGTTAATTTTCAAGCAATCATAATTATAGTGGAACTGGGAGTGTAGGCACTGCTGCGCTGCTCCTTGGTTGGGTTGAAAGCCCCTGGTCTGCTTGGCCTTTTAGGACTGTCGCTCCATCTGCTGGCTGCGCTGGTATTGCCTTTTAGTGCCCAAAAGCACTCGCTGAGGTGGCAGGGACAAGTGGATGGCTGCCTCTCCCCTTGGCTAACCATAACTCTGCGAGATAGGTGGTGCTTGGGGAAGTCTTTCTGTCGGTGCAGCAGAAGCTCCTACCTTCTTACTGGGCATTACGCCAATGAAGGACTCAAAAAATTCCCCTTATTTCTTCTTGCTGAGGTTCAGATACAAACTGAAGGGTGCCCAAACCTACGTTCTGCTCTCAAGCCTGTATTAATCCTTTGGCAAAAGGAGCCAGAACAAATGAGGGCTTATTTTTATAACCAAACATCCAGCATTGTCCCATCCCATGGAGGTGGGGAGGTCCCCTCTAATTTCATCAGTGAGGCACAGTTATATGCTTGAGTTGGGGCCCGAATGCCTCCTCGCGATGCCCTGAAGCTCCCTGAACTCGATCATTTTCCCAAACCAGCAGACATCCAGGCCGAGATGGTTGCTGAGGACGTCCTGCCCAAGCTGTGCTCCCTCCTGGCATCTGGCAGCGAGGACGTACGTCACGCCTCCATCGCTCTGCTCTGGATACTGTCCCAGCACCCGCACAACCAGGTAGGGGAGGTCATTTCCCAAGACCAGAGCGAAGAGAGTAGCTCTGGCCACCACCTGGGGTAACTCTCTGCTACGGCAAAGCTGCATAGGAAATGCATTTTGAGAATGACCAGTAGGCTCTGTGAGAATACCCAACCCTTCTCTCTCCCACCCAAAATAACGAGGTTTTGTCTGCTGCATCTGCACTGTCACTAACTACCCAATGAGACTATCTTGTGGTGAGTGGGATCCGGAGGAACCTGTAGTTAATCAGATTGTCTGTATGGGGATCAAAGGAAGGGTAGAGGGGGGGAGATGGGTGTCAGGTTCCTTGGATGTGTGGATACTGCCCCGCACTCCCTGCAGCTCCCTGTGGTCCCCTCAGTCTGCAGACCATCGGTCTCCAGATGGGTGTACAAGGGCAGGACACACACCTCGAACCATGAGAGACTGCAACCATGGGGGCAGCTGAGGAAGTTATTCCTTGGCTACAGAGCTTCCCCACACACTGAAAACCAGAGAAACTAATTTAGAGCATACATTTAAAGCGCATCAGTGCAAAAATGCATTACACTTCCCTATATAGACAGTTATTCAAAATTACATTTGCATAAATTTAGCATCTTTTGAATTAGGATCTAGACAGCAAGAGGGGCTAATACAATTTGAAATCCTATCCATCTTTAGCTAATTCACGAGGACTTTTCTGTGTGTCCTCATGACCTTAGTTACAGAACAGTTCTTTTGCCCATGTTCAGGGTAAACACCACCATTAACAGTGTAGAACTGTGCAAATACATTAAGAGGTCTGACTAGAAATAAACTACAGCAAATAAACAAAACAGACAATCCTACTGTACTTTCATCCACCTAAAACAGCAAAAGCAGTAAGCAGCAACTGACAAATTATTATTTTTAAATGTGCTTTTCCATTACAGTAATTAAAGACATCCTTAGAAACATGGATATGAAATGTTTTTGATAGGTGTCTTAAGCTAACAATAACCTTTTAAGAGAGTCAGAGTTTGGGCAGATAAAGCAAAAAAAAGTGAGAACCTTTCCTGCCACATTGCTTTAAGCAGTAGTGACAGTCTGAGTAACCACAGCTAGGCGTATGTGCTTCTTGAAGCTGAAGTACACTCAGTCTGATTTGAAATTTCCTCTGGGTATTGGAAGCCTGGTGCCTTACACCTCGGTCGCATGTACACAGCACAGTACGAACCAAATTGCACCTCCTCAAACTCCAGGACAAGATGGAGAAAAATTGGTAAGCTCAATGCCTGAAAAGCAGCAACTAGAGCACAGAGCTTTTCAAAGGCACTGTGCCTTCGCAGGTTTTATGCTGGCTGCATTAGCACCAAACATCCTTATTGCTTGTCAAACTGCCTCACACAATCAAAACACAATTTGCTCTCAACAAGCTTACAACTGAAACACATTAAGTTAGCTGGAGGCTATTTGCACAGTAAAAATGTTACTCAGTATGAGGCATTATGCTGGAACATTGTCCTCCCTTGCATTTGCACTTTTTGTTCTCCCAGCAAAGATTGCCTGAAACTCCTTTCCTCACTGATCCTGAAATGTGTCTACCAGTGCTTCAAACCCCCAGCTACAAAGGGCACAGCGCAGTGTCAGTGGGAACAAAGGCACTGGGAGCTCAGCCTTGTTACAGCAGCAGCGAAACAGCCTGTCCTTCGTGGGGGAAAAGGGTCAGCAGCAGGAGGCTGGAAAGCAAAGCATCACCCTCGAGGGTTTATTCTCCAGTGAGAAGTATCTACATCTCAGAATTTGTTTTAGTGAGCAAACACGGCTGTCCCTGACTGCTGAATGTTACTGCTTTGTGCAAGCGAGCCCTGGGCACTCTGAGAAGAGGCTGACCTCTCCTTACTCATATTCTGCCTCCCCACCTCCATGCCTTTCCTGGCCTGTTTTTCAAGCCTTTTCAAGGTTTCTTTCTCTAACTCAGGCTGAATTCTCTGTGAGTGAAAGAGGGACTTCTCCATGGGAACAGCTGTCAGTAAACAAACCACCGAACAAAGCTAACCTTTACAACCAAGTCAAGTGATGCTTGAATTATTACAAATACTACCCAGGATACAATAGGGCAGAATTCATCTGCCCTTTTGTTACCATGAAGCAAACACCCGGGAATGCTTCACTAGAGCTCCTCTCCCTGTTTAAACCCCTTTTTAGTGATCCCCCAGCCAGGCTGTTGACAGTGATTCCCAGCAAACGCTGGAAAACTTCCCTCTTGCAGGGGAAATTTTATTCAGATCTCCCAAGGACAGCCTAACCCTGAAATAGTAAAGAGTCAGGCTTTGTGAGAAAACAGCTTTTTAAATCCTATTCCTTTGAGCAAAGACCTGGGAAGTCAGGGTGACAGGGGTCTGTCTACTCCAGATGATGCCACTGACTTTCCACTCCAGGTACAAAAATAACTTTGTGAGTGCAGCATTGCAATTGTAAGCACAGTTGCTGCTGGAATGCTTTTCCTTGTTTTTTTTTTTTTTTTTTTTTTTTTTTTTTTTTTTTTTTTTTAAAAACTGGGGAGAAGTTAGATCAATATCCATCTGAACCACCCAATCCATTTTGACTCAGAATTTTCTTGTGATTCCCTCGTGCTGTGCAGAATTAATCCAGAAAACAAAATCTGGATCCCAGCCATATGCCAACAAAAAAAAGAGGTTCAGCAAAATTTAAAGTACTATCTCTTGCTAATGTAGGTCCTAAATAAACAGAAGAACTTAGTAGGGAAGACATCACATATTAGAAAATTAATTTATAGTCCATAGAAAATTTCCTCTTCTGAGGCTGTAGCAAATCAAATAAGGGTACCATAGCTGATGGGATTATGTAGAAAAGGGGACACTTGGTGAAAAAGCACAGAAAACAGTCATCAACGGTAATTTAATTGGATTATCTAAAATTATATTATTTCTGCCTTTGAAGAGAAAGAAAAATAAAACCAGAGAAAACTTACAGCCATATCTGCATATAGGATTCTTTAAATGCCCTGAGTTTAGGCATAGCACTGCCCTTTTCATGTTTTGGTTTGGGATTGCTGGTTGTGACAGTGCTTAAAATAAGTGAATGTAAGTGAAGATGTCAGTTGATACTAAAAGAAAATAAAATATACTTTTGCAATTTAAGCTAAGTAAAAGAAAGATGCAAGTTTAATTTTTAACGACATTTGTCTTTCAACACTGCTTCAGTTACCCTGGCATTTCACAGGTTTCAGAATTATGCAGTTTTTCTCAGCTATGTAGGACTGATGATTTGTTTTCTATTGAACACTCATGCTGATGTGTCTCAATTTCTAAGTAGCACAAATAATATAGTTCATTACTAACGAACATAAGAACTTCATAAAGAACTCAAATTTGTAAAATCTGTGCCAGTTAGTAGACCATATTTTGGGAGAAAAAGCACAGGACCCAGCCACTACGCCATTGGTTTAAATGAGCTAAGTAATGCTCTTCTTTCAGAGCTAAGATCTATCGACCTGTAGTTTGCTGCAAAGTTGCATTGTGTTGCTATACTGGATGTCATTGAGATTCTGGTTGGTCTTCTCAGGACACTCTGGCATGTGCTGAGCTACTACAGAGCCTGGGCATGCTACTGTCAGCGCATAAAACAGACCCTGTGATTGTTGGCCATACTGCTTGTATCATCAAAAACCTGAGCCTTTCCAAAAACAGACAGGTGGGTACACAATATTTTTCACTGATCTACACCCTGGGAGGTTGCAGTTATGTTTGTATCAAATCAGCATTACCCACAGAAAGATTTTTTTTTTTTTTTTTAAATGAGACATACACCAAGGATACTCTACACAAAACTGTGTGTATGAGTAAAAGGACCTGATATGCCATAATGAAAGGGGTATTTTTCATATTTTTCCAATACAATACAAAAATACTAACAAAACCAAGAAACGTCTAATTTTTCCTATGAGCGTTGTGGTTACCTCATCAGAATGACTGCATCATAGGTATAAAACATACTTCTAACAAAGACATTTCATACTAATTAAAGGAACCATCCAGGAAAATCTGAGGTTTGTTATAACCTGAATCCGTATTTCCTAACTCTCACTCTTCATCTGCCCTTAGTTATCCACGTAGTGTTCAACACTGATCTAACTTCACTCCCAGTTTGTTAAATCCAACCCCAGCTAGTGATGCACGTTTTGCCTGTTTGGCAAGACAATAGTTGTGCCAAGATGCTATCAGATCTCTATTGCTGACTTTGCTTCTAGTGAAATCCATAGCCACAGATGCACTTCTTTTCTCCTTGCCTTTTAAAAGTACCTTAATCAAACAGTGCCACTAGCAACAATCAATACCGGGGGAAAAAACCAAATCCTTGTCTCTGCTTTTCCCTGCTTTCTAGTACACACTTTCTGAGACTCAGTTCCTTTTATTTTGCATTCCTTTGTTCATAATGCAATGACGACTAGTTCCAGAGATTTAAACTAGCGAAAAGGAAAACTATTTCCAATATTTTTTTTCACTTACACTAAGAATTATATGAATTTCTGATAATTGCAAAATCAATTTTTGCAGGGAAATGGATTCCCTCAAACTCGAGGCCTGCAGTAAGAGTAAAAATGGACCATCTTTTCAAAGTTCGCTTTTAAAAAAATGTATTTGTTTTAAATTCTGTGACTTTATCCTGTAATCAGCAGGGAGCTAGTTCACTTTCATAAAGCTTTATCATGTATAGAGTATTTAGCTCTCACTGCACAAGTGAATCCACAGATGTGAGTGGGAGCACCAGGTTTCCAAGAAAAAAACATCTCTAAACCACATAAAAGCCCTTGGCATAAGAGGAAAACAAAGTGTTGGTTTTATGCCAGCAGGACACAAACAGATTGTGGGATCTTAAAAGGCAGCAGTCTTGAATCCAGCTTTAACCTCTAAGCAACAAGTTGAAAAACTGCAATATAAGATGAACACACACAAAAAGATACTCCCTTTTGTTGATAGACACCTGAGCTCCCTTATGGAGGTGTAAGCAGCTTCCATTATTGGGACCTCCCAGAGAGCTGATGACTTTGTGATTCAACTTCACTAATAACCAGTCACCTCCAGGTGACTCATTCAGGACTCATTCCATGGTCTCGTGTGCTTTTAATCCAGGTCAGCACAGGCAAAGCCTCCTGTCTGTTTTCAACTCGGTCTCTAAATGTATATCCCAGTACAGAAACGCTGTCCAATACCACATTTGGCATAGCAGATTCAACCTAAAAGGTAAAGGATACACAGGAATGTTTAATTCATAAGATTCCTCTCCAGAAACAGAACTCACTTTTGCTAGTGAAAGGTCATCTCATATTTCTGCAGATCAGGGCATTTCAACACCACAAAGTTTTCAAAGCCCTGGAGGCAAATAAGAGAAACTGAAAGACTTCCACATTTCCCAGTGCTTTGCTCTGGAGCACTCAGTTTATTCACCTCTGCAGCAAGACTTGAACAAATGACAGCGTAATACTGACGTACAGCCTGGCACAGCAGCAATAGGTCGGGAAATTCTTTGAGCTCAGAGTGATCTGTGATCATGAGAACATCCCAGAGACAGAGCACGCTCTGGGAAACGCCTAAAATCAGGTCATCTCTGAACAACCCCAGGTGTTTGTCACCCAGCTGGGGTAGATCTGGGAGGAAACATTTCCATTACTGATGTTTTAGCCCTCAGTATTCCTAAGCATTATTCAGCACTTCTAAAGTCCTCGGGTACCACTAAAACCTAACGGAAGTGCTAAACAGGAATCTCTCTCTTGATGCAGAGAATCGTCGAGAGCCCATGTGTCGAAGGTCTCCTCCAGACCATGCTTTCTACCGACACTCAAGAAGACTCTCTTCATTATGTGACATCTTGCCTTGCTGAGCTAGCAAAGCAAGGTAGGGAAGCAACCCCACCATAAATGGCTTAATCTGAGAAGCGTACGTATCCTTTATTAATCCTAATAGTAGATGAAGTACAGGTGGACATATGGCCCAGTTCTCTCCCTTTAAATTCATGGGGAGTTTTGCCGCAAGCTTCAAGAGCAAGATCTGACTCACTGGCAGGACACATGGGCTCTGTTGTTTGCACTTTTCTCTTGGACTGCTTAAAATTTTTTTACTCAAAAGTCTTTCTGCTGAACTTCGTTGTTGTACATGGCCTGCCTACTGTTATTTGTAATGTCACCCAGTTTCTCTGGCTGCATTAATTTTACAATAGCAGAAACTAATATAAGAAGAAAAAAAGACCAAAATATGAAGTGGTTCTTTCTCTTTAAATTTTTTGCACATAGACTTTTTTAAGTGATCCCAAATTAGCGCCCATGGAATGTATAGCACTCCTCATGGCAGAGAGGATCAGTGTAAATTTTCCCAGCTGGCCCCAGCATCAGATACTGGCTGGCAAATGTTTCATCTCTTGTATCTGGTGTAATTGCCGTGCAACTGGTGACATGTCACATTTAATTTTGTAAGAGGTGCCCAGCAGCTGCTAGACAGACTGAGCCCACCAGGCAAGAGTGTATCTCATACATAAAGTGATTCATTCTTTCAGATCACAAAACCGACAAAATAAAAATCCACCAGGCTTCCTATGAATCAAACCCATGGCCCTACCTCACTGGGACCATAACCTCAGGACATGACCCTTTTTTACAACATAAACATACTTATTGCACAAGTTCAACATTTATTTTGCTTCTCCAGGTACATGAAGGATTTCCTCTTTAGGCAGTATGGTTTCTGGCAGACCTCTCATCTTCATTTCTTTGATGCTGGAGTTCCTGTTTACAGACTACCCTCTTACCTTTCTGTCTCCCAGAAGTAGCCACTTTACGCATGGTCCAATGGATGGATGAACCCCTGACAAAGTGCTTGGTGAGACTGGCTGGCCAACTGGAACATACTGAGCCATCCTTTCAAGCTGCCTCCATCATCCAGCACATGATAGGTCACGGTAACTGGCACACAGCATTACCTGTACTTTCAAAGAGACTGATGGCTGTCTGGAGTGAAATGAGCCTTTTCCCAAAGGAGTTAACTGTCAGGCACCAAACCACCTTTAATATTCCTATAGTATCCTCCATCTGGTCTTGACACATTTATTAGCATAAAAGCACCTACAGTCACACTTGAAATACACATAAACCAGTGCTTGAGTGCATGAGAAAGCCCAGGGATGGAAACAGATGATCGAGAAAGATCTGTTTCAGATGTTTGTTGCCTTCTTCAAACACCATCATTCTGCAGGGCTAGGCTGTAGCCAATTCTGACTTTAAAAACAACCTATATAGGGAAGTAGGGTAACATAGAAGACTCCTTACCAAGAGTAAGATGAGAAAGTTTCAGACAAGAGGCATTGTTGCATCTTTCTGTTTGACCCTCCTCCTCCTCAGTATATGCAATGTGATGGCATTCCCCACAGACAGAAGCAGAGGTCGAGGAGAGACTATTACAAGGGAACTGTTGTGTTCCAAAGTTTTAGATCAACTCAGCTCCCTGACCAGCAATAAGAAAGCATCTTACTGAACTAAATGCTGCTGTTGTAATTCTAAAATAGATTTGGAGGAGCAGTGAAGTGGCTTTTAAGAATGTAGCCTGTATTTTTTTTTAGTGAGAGAGAATGAAAAGAGCATTATTTTTACCTGCAGAAAACAAACAGCTTTATGCCCAACTCGTCCCATGCTGCTGAGCGCCTTTAAAACCTGGAAAAGAAGGGGGTCAGATGATTCTTGCCACGTTCATCTAGAAAAGCATGGTTAGATTTTAATCCTTAGATGTGAGAGAAACTGAAGTCCGTAACGAGTCTCCAATAATGGAAAATGCAAACCCATTTCAATCCTACCATCGAGGATTTGCATCAGAGCAGATTCTCAAGTAGCGAACATGTTCTGAGAGCACAATCTCTTTCTTGGATGGGTCGGCACGACAGGCTGATCAGTCCGTAAATCAGCACGCACCTCGCACAAGGACCAGCTCCCCAGCACAGCAGCCCACTCAGCATTTTATTTACCTGAGGGATTGGCGATACCATTAGAGGCTGTAGGACAGCAGCAAAGTCCTTTGCCATTCTCTGCAATAAAGTTGGTTGTAGCTGAAGGTAGACAAGTCATTAACAATCTTAAATGTTGTTACAAAATCAGCCTTCAAAGTGTTTTAAAGGCTCCTATTGATGCCCAGTGGTTCTCTCACTTATGCAGAAAAAATGAGGCTTTTGCTGAAGCATCACGTTGGAGAGATTCAGGACTACCTCAAGAACTTTCTCACCCACCAAGAGATCCGCTTTCAGCAGCTGGGCATCTCCACGCTCTGCAGACTGCGAGAAGGTACGTCCTCCCTGCCGGGCCAAGCCCGCGGGGCGCTGCCCGACGCTGCCAGCGGCAAACGGGCACTGGCTTCCTCTGGCGACTGGCTCTGCTCCCTCCAGCAAACAGAATAATCTCAAGGGTAGCTGTTACCTTAGCCATTTGTAAGTAACTACGAATATCTTACGATAAAGGCGGGGGCTTTTTTGTTTGTTTGCTTTAAAACTAAAGGCTTTCTGATCAGCAGGGAAACAGGATTTCAGGTACAGATATTTTTATCCAATGGAAGAATGTTTGCCACTAGACGCAGCCTAAAAGCTTTGCAAATATGAATTTATTTTATTTTGATGAAGCAAGTAAATGGCATGATTAGCTGGTATTAAAGCTGGGAAGTCGCACATCCTTTTCCTACTTTAAAATCTGTTCCTTGATTTTTTTTTTTTTCTGTTTTGATTAGTTTTTTTGGGGTTTGGGTAGAAGTTGAGTACAGATGAGAGTTATAATACAGCAATAAATGCATATAGCGTGTATCTTCATGTATGTAGAGCCAGAGCCAAGACCCTGCTACATATCTTGATATGCACCTGTTGCATAAGGCTGAATTTGGCAACTGAGCTTTAGACATCTGCTCAGAATTTAGCAGCAAACAATCTTGAATGGTCCTACGGATGGAAACTGAACTAGTATCTGCTTTGTGTGGTAGAGGAATATCAGTCTAACTTCTCTATACTTCACACTGTAATAAGAACCATCAACTGTATCTAACCTGAAATAGAAAGGTTTCAAAGCATCTGCATTAAGATACAGGGACAACCAGCAAGTTGCCTAACAGTTGTTTTTCCTCTTCAGATCCAGAATTTTCATTAGCATTCAGAAAAAGCCAAATGGCCAAACTCCTTGAGCGAGTCCGTCAACAAACAGAAGAAACTCAAGAGCTCCTTAGGGCAGCCATTTGCCACGATGACAGTTAACATTTAAGCCACGTGGCTTATGAAAACTTACCAGATCCAAGAGCCTGAACTTTCAGAGAAAACAATTCTTTTCTTTGGTTACTGTAGTTAAAGTTTTCCTGCTATTTGCAGTTTCATCATCCATCTCAAAAGAGATGTTCCAGTAACAAGAATCGGAGCAGGTCAAAAGGCAATCCCTTGAACACCTTGGCTGGCTGCTTAAGGGTGCTTGAGGACTCTGGCTGCATTCCTTCCGACGGTTTGGAGAACACCAGTTACGCTTGGCTAATCCTCCGGGGTTTGGTTTTCGTTCCTCACCACCCCCTCCAAAAAAACAGCGCTGTATTCATGAGGTTTTATTCATGTAACAGGCTGATTCTATGGAAGAGGCATCTCTCAAGTACGCATTCATCTTTATTCTACTTCTGTTCCATGTCCCTTATTTCAGGAAACACTCCAGGGACTTGACTTTTGAAAATAACTCAATTAACACATAGTATATAAAAGTAAAAAATTACTAAGAGGTTACTACAGGAAGTAACTGCTGAGGGACAACTCAGAGAAATTGCAACAAATTTGTAAGAAACAGTGGGGCAAGCCTTAGGCCTGATCCTTGTGTACACTGTAGGCACCACAGTCCAGCAGAAAAGCAAAGGCACATTGACAGAGGGAAGTGGTGCACAGAGCATATTCAGAATAGAGCAACTACCATGAAAGATTTGGGTGAGAAGTGTTGGAATACAGAAATCTCCGTTCTGCAAATGGTAAATTATTTCCAAAGGTACTCACAACAGGGAAAAAGTGAACAAATCTGGAAAAATTAGGAATCGATCTTATATTTTGATATTGATATTTCATTTTAAAAGCAGTTAAAGAGCAAAAAAAAAAGAAGTAGTGGTATGTTTAAATTCAACTACTTTTCTTACATGTGTACAGGATACTGAACAACCACCCCTTTCCTCTCCTCCAGAGGGAAAATCTGTCTCACAGACCTTTTAAGCCAATCAGAACAGTATTTTTCAGGAAAAAATTGTAGCACAGAGCCTTGAAATTATGGGTTACTAGTTTTTTAATATGGGTTTTAATTTGTAAGAGAATAGTAATCTAATAATCATCATCTGTTAGTAATCCAGTTCCACCTTTGATCAATACACTTGGTTTTAAATACAAGAATCTGGCTGGAGCTTCATGTTGAACTGGCTGGAATACTGAAATTTTGGAACCGTTCTTCTGGAAAGACATCTGCGCGCAGGTAGCACGGTTTCTTATGAAAACATTTCTGAAGAGTTTCCTGTCTTTTGAGGTGCTTCTGACCATGCTACAACTCTTGCATGCATGTAGAGCTTTAGAGCTGCTACTGGCTACAAACATGGAATAAAAGTGAGATTAAAACAATAGTTAAAACAGAATGATGGTTTTTATTAAGAGCTCAACACTGCATTTTACTGAGGCCCAAATCTCTAAGCTTAGTTTTGGTGCTCGGGGGAGGCATTTCTGTTAATGATTCCTTTTAATAACTGCAAGTTCTTTCCAGTAGTACTATTTTAAAAAACAAACACACACACTCAAAAGCCTCTGCAGTGCAGTAAAAAGGCCTGTTAAAGAACAGAGCAGACAGAAACTTCAGATAAAGCAGTATGGCATTTTCAATATTCATGTGTGACAGGAATTTTCTTTTGAAATCTCATGTGAAAGACCCATGTGCTCAGCTGTGGGCAGTTGGGCTTATTAAAACAGGAGACTACAAAGAGCTAAATGACACAGCTAGGCACAAAACCAGAAAATCTCAAACTTCAGGCAAGCTTTCTGGGTGACTTTAGATCATTTCTCCAAAAAGGAAATCAGTGCAATATTAAGTAATGACATTAGAATCTGACTGGTTTTCTTACGTATTTAATTGCAAACAATACGTCAAGGCCCTTGCAAGAAAGCAAATAACAAAGCACTCTTCATCAGGAATGAGGCGATAAAAGACATGTGAAACAAGCAAAGCTAATGGTGAACAACCCAGTAGTTGAGATGTATGGAACTAAATTAATTGAATATCACCCCCCCCTAAGCATTTATGTTGTGCTGTTATGAGGTGAGCAAGCAGCTGAGTCTTTCCAAAGCACAGACTGGCTGCTGTGAAAAGTTACTACTCTGTGCCTTCAGAACAGCCATCTGTCACTTCTATAATTCCTAGTTCTACCTTACTGGGTAGTTAAGCATTGCCTCTGATAGTACAAACAACAAAACCAATTATAACAGAAAGGAGCTGGCCTTCATCTGATACCATGTTTTATTATCAACAACAATACTCAACAGAAATTATTTTTCCCTGCATGTAAAGAAAAGGGACTAAACCAAGACTTAAAATTTCAATCCTCCCCCTTTTCTTTAGTTTTTTTGTTTGTTTGTTTGTTTTTTTGATTCATACATCTAATTCTACTCCCAGTTCCCTAGCTTTTAATTTGTATGTTGGGCGCTTGAAAAGGAGGAAATGTTCTCTCTCATTTGAAGCAAACCTGGAATGAATACAATTTTAAATTGTTTTTACTGCAGTCCTGTTTAAAAAAAAAATCAAACCCGCACAGGAGAAATGAAGCAAGCTTTTCATCTCTGTGCTGCAAACACTGAAGCAAGTGTTCTGAAGTCTCATAAAAAACAATCATCATAATTTACACTTGAGCCTAAATAGATCAAGATCAAAACGAGCCTAAATGAATCCTCAAACTTAAAACTAAGGCTAAATCTTACTGGCTATTCCTATGCTCTCTTTCTAGCTGTAAGCGACCTGGCACTGATTTTCTAATACGGAGATTAGAGGAAACCTAAAGAAAAGTTTTAAGCAGACCAGGAATAGCAAGAAGAGTTTTCCGTCACAGATTGACTCCTGTTTCAACTATGCAAGAAAATGAAAATATAAATAGAAGTAAATATTTCAAACAAGTTTTATTTGGTACTTACATGCTATATATAGGATCAAAGAAAAACTACACATTTTGGACACTTCAGAATATTGTGGCTATGTACATGGAAAACTAAAGAAAACAAGAAGGGAACCCAATTCATTTTACTGTGTCACAAGCTGCTATTGAAAGCATTCTGACTGAATGGCTGGTTGCTCCCTTCCATTTATATTCTGGCAGATGAAGTATCTTTTTCATTGCATTTCCATTGTTTTTATCCCACCTCCTGTATAAGATGAACACTTGGCAGCAGCAGAAAGTAATTCCTTCAAAAACTCTTCAGCTTTTGTCTCAGGATTTCTTCGGCTAGCGCAGACTTTCTGCACAGCTTGCCAGAGGCCTGGCCCAGTGCTCGCTAAAGGCAAGCGCAGGAATCTGAATGGTCCATTCTCTGGTAGCATGAACTGAAACCCCACAAAGCCCTGCTTCCACTAGCCAAGGATCTGATCTGACAATCGCTGCCTTCAGTGAGCATCGCATCAAGCCCTGGTTGGTGCTTCAAACTCAGATACCTAGAGTGAGCTCTGCCTGTAACAGCATGCTTTATCAAAGCACAAAAAGGTGCAAGATTTTACAGTCCTGCCCAATGGCAACCAAAAGCGAGGGATGGAACAATGTCAGTAGAAATCAGCATCAAACTAAAGAGGAGGCAACCTGCACTGCTCCTCTTGCCACCCAGACCGCACTGCTTGATAAAAATCACACACTACATAAAAAGCACAAAAAAATGACCATTTTCCATTTGCTCTGAAACGAGCAAACCCAAAAAATCCTCAAACCTGCTTCATCATCCAAAAATCAAACACTTCAGGTTTCACACAGTCTTCAGTAGTCTGATAAGGCAAAGTCTTCCATCACTGGGAACAGCAGCAATTTACAGGACTCAGAACAAGGTATTTCCCTGGGTGTGCACGCACACGTGTGCACGTATGCGTACACATCTTTTATAGTATTGTGAACATGGATGTAACTAAAAAAATCAAGTTTGCAGTATCATTTTACCACATTTTTCTAATTTATTCAGTTAAACGATTTATTTCTGTACTGAACAAAATTCATAAATACATCATCTAGGAGAACAATAGGTTTTCCTCTTGTGCATGAAAAAATAATGCTTTCAAATTTTCACATTTTAAAACCTGCCTTGTTTTGTGTTTTTAGAGAAAATGTGAGAAGATCATAGTGACGTCTCAATTTACAGAATGTCCCTGTAGGAATTACATTTACAAGAACCTGATACAGAAGCCTATACTTTGCCCCCATAATTAGAGTTCTCTGCAATAATATTCAAACCAACAGGTTTAAATAAAACACCCCATTGGCTCTACTTGTAGAGCAATGAGGTACTTATTTTTCAAGTATTAGAACCACAAAGTGTAAAAGATTCTTTGCCAATTTTACAATTACAACTTTTAAACCAACACCCGTCTTTTTAAAAAAAGAATCAGTCCCACCACCCAAATCAGCCCATTGCTTTCAGATTCCAGTGTCTCGTGTCTTAAGGAATGCACAAATATTCATTTACTAACAGAAAAAGCTTGTTGAAAAAAGCCATATTAAGTAATGCATGTGAAGCATGATTTTTCTAGTGATGAAAGCTATTAGAAAGGTGATCCAAGTCTATTCCCATCATTTCTTCTGCTGGTTTTGCTAAAGTCCTTCCAAAAAAGTTATTCAAGAAATCTTTAAAAAACTGGAGAGAAAAAAATAAAACACTCCTTCATAGCATGGAAGAAACTCCACTGACTGCAGAGATGCTCATATCACCTTTGGTTCTTCAGAAGAAACAATCAGATCACTTCTACGACAGAAGGTATCAAAAATGACAGGTGAGCAAAGAGTGACAATGCTTCAAAATGCTATGCATTTATGCTATTATGTAAGATGATTTTTCTTACATTTTCTAGCCACAGAAAAAGAAAGTAGTTGTCCAGTTTAATTTGCTAAATTAGTATTTGTTTACCTAACATCCTTTAAAAGTTGTGATGTCATTCAGAAAAATCTGGTGTGCTGCAAACCATCCCTCAGTATTGATGGCAGCAAGAACTTGATGAGGGAAGCACATCCAGAATTTTACATAGAAGGTGGGTACTTGCTCCCCTTCTGCCTGTGCATATCAGATATTACACTTGCAGAACTAGAAGACGATTGCTGATCCTAAGCGAGGAACGGCAGCTGCCACTCAGCATTTCTGTTTGAAAGTGCAGGGCAAACATTTTCAAGCAGCTTCAAACGGCAGCAAGTGCAGTGTAACCGAGAAGTCTCCCTCAAAGAAAAGATAAGGCCTCACCATAATTTGCACAGCATCTACAGGTACTTGGCATGCACGGCTTTACAAAGAGAAGATGCTCTCCTTTCCCCAAATAATAGAGGGTTTAAAAATGCTCAAATTAATCAACTTATATCAAATAAGAGCTCTAGGTTCTCTGTCAATTACGACAAGTTACAAGTGTTAATGAACCAAGGCAAACCTACCTGCTGTTTGATGTGTTTGAACACTTTCTACCTGAGGCAAAAGAGTCCCCTTCTCTTCAAAGGCTAGAATTGGATTCAAAGGAATCTCAGGACTATTGCTTCCGTCATTGTTCATGGCATCCAGCCGGGATGGTTTAGAACCAATAGGCAGGTTTATAATCTCTTCAAAGTTATCATTCTGCATAGACATTCCATTTTCATTTGCATTTTTCTCTGGATTGAGATTGCTGAAAGAGAAACAGAGGTAATTCCTCACACACGTCATCTAGAACAGAAATTTAGTCCTCCTCAAGGCAATATTATAAATGGAAAAAAAGTCTGCATTAATCCTGGGCATTCTTTTAGCCAGTAAAGACAAAACTGTGTTCTACCACAGTAGAAAAACGGGTTTTGCAGCCGAGTACTAGCTATGCCTTCCTTCAAACACACAGGATTGTTACCTTTGGCTACCCGATATGCAGACAGAGCACTTTACAGACGCTGAAGTTCCGAGAAGTGACTGCAAGGGGAAGCAGTAAGAAAAGCCCTGCAGCACCACCACTGCTATCGTGAGCCACCCACCTAATGTAATTTACAGCCTCTAACACCTTTTTCAGCTCTCCTAACCTTTGCCATACCCTTCCTCTCATTGCAAATCGATGTGATTTCTCTTAAATAGGATCACTGTCATTTCTGTTACTCCTTGGATCTCCGCCTGCCTCCAGTTCTGGAGCAGCCTCTTCTAACTGCCACTCATCCAGAGAAAAAACTCCCTAACCAACGCAGTTCTCCTTTCAGTCCCTCCTCCCCTGCAAGTTCTCAGGGCTTATTCCCAAGGCACTACCCAACTCTGCACTCCTCCCCTTGATCATGCCCAAGATGATCCAAAAGAAACACCTCCCAGCATACTGCATGTCAATCAGCACCTTCTTTTTCAATCTCCCACTTGACAGAGATGCCTTGCGAGCAAGCCCTTGCACTGTCGGAGCGGTACAAGCGCAGACACACTCTCCAATTACACACACTCTCTTTCCTGAGAAGACACATGGTCGGGTCTCACAGCCTTGCCCCTCCCCTCCCCACCCTTTCATTAGACGCTGCATTGACAAACCCTGCTGTCTTTGCAGACAGCGTGTGCTACCTTGCCAGAGGGGAGAAACTCAGGTGCTACTTCAGTGAATAGGATGACACTAATGGGACCATGAGCTCCTTGAGAAAGAGCAAGTACTCAACTGACACTGAAAAATCACGTGCTCTTTCACCAGTGCTTCTTAAGGCCCTCAACAGTTAGATCCTGACAATCTTGGGTACCTATTCCCTGTTCAAACCACATCACGATTGTTCAGGTTGTTTGGAAATGCTTCAGCCACAAAGGCTCAGATGCAATTTTCCTAGACTGAAACTAGGCTATCAATTTCCTCAGGGCATTTCTGAGCAGGTGGCTTGGTTTCACAGGCTTATTTCCTCCTGACAGTACATTTACTAGTCTTTAAAAACCTGCTTGTAATTGGCATCTTTGGGTGTCCAGCTCTTCACAAACAATTACAGAATTGTTTTACAATACTTCCCAAGAGACAGAAAATAATTACTGCTCTTTTGAAAGTGGCAACACTTTATCCAAAGCCCAGATTTCCTCTGAGAACGACATGCTGGTTTTCATATCAAGCTTTTCCCAGTTTTTCAAACCATCACCAGTTCTTTTTCAGTAAGGCACTACCCTTTTCTCATCTGTGGGTATGCTGAGCAAATTTCAAAGTAAAAAATATGTTTCACTGCACTGAGTTTGAGAGCAAACACAGGAACCCTGCTGGCTGCCTGGGCGAGGTCACAAGGCACATCACCCTTTTGTGCCAGAGATCCACATCTGTAAGATGAAGAGCAGAATCTGTGAAATGCTTTAGGACTAATAAAATCTGCTCTATAATGTATAGTTATTAGGTTATTACTCACTATAAGGTATCCTATTACTTACTTCATCCCCATCTACTGCCAATAACCTTACCAGAGCTGGGATAACACGCAAGTTTGATGGATGGGGTAAGAAAGAGGCAAGAAGAGAGCAGCTGCTCATTCATATAAATTAAACAGCATAGTACTTCAACCAGTATTGGTACAATGAAGAAGTCTCTTTCTTCTGCAAACATATTAATTTTTCTATCCAATTCATCAGCTGACTTCACAGACAAATAGTTCTTCGTATTTATTTGTTGTTGCACTGTCAGTATCATACACAGGATTCACAGACTTGAAGGGTGTCTTTTGAGACAGAGAAGTCTATAAAATCACAAAGGGGGTGCAGAAGAGGAAACCATAACTATGAATCTTCTGAATTTTATACCATAAAATGTTCTATAGTTTATGCTATTTGCTCCACCAAATTACTAGGGGGGAAAATTGAGAAGAAACAAAGGGAAAACTGGAACTGTGGAATTAATTTCCACTGGACATCTTAGAGGCCATAAGCTCAGAAGGAGATTAGACAAATTCCTATGAGATTGGTATATCCTCCTGCTTCTGGTAACTAGCAGCTTAGGGACCATTTGAGCCTATAGCTGCATTTGGACCACAATGCTTAGTAACTTTTCACTGACCAGCAGATCCCCTGGTACTTACCTTTTTTCCCTTTACACTCTCTCCCTAAGTGACCGCTACAAGCCATTAAACCAAAGAACACAAAAAAGTAATGGATTTTTGACTTGATACAGCTGTTCTTACTGTCTTATGGTACATTCTTACCGATGTCTCAGTGCCTAATATAACACTGGAGGATAGTCTTTCCAGGCATACAGGAATGCAGAAAGAACTGGATAATTTTGGCATTCTAACATATTCCGTAAGTGTGCTTGTAGCAAGACGCCTATGTAATAAAAGAAGTTGCCCAAGTTGTTCAGAGAGCATTTCCAAACATAACAGTCTTGCAAGCATCTGAAAGACAGCTTCATGGCAGCTAAAAAGCATCTGTGCAACAGCCTAACCCTAATGAAGTTCCAGTGCAAGATCAGCACTGCTGATCAAAAGCAGCAACAGAAAATGGTGAAGTATTGACATCAATCGCCTTCACTCTGCCAGAATTTTAAAAATTTTTGTCAGTTGTGTTGTACTCACGACCATGGAAGCAAGCATGCTATTTCCAACTGAATCCCAGGCACAGAGCTGACACAGGACGGATGACGTGATGGGGAGGAATAGGGATGAAGGTTCAGCACAGTAAGCAGTCAGGCAACTTCCCACTATGCCCCAGAGTAGAACTCCTTATCTTCACACAAAGCTCTGCCAGCTTTCCAAGACACCCTCCTCCAACACTACTGGTGCAAGGGATGGAGCACCTGCACCCTCTGGGAAGCGACCCCAACTACAAGTATTCTGGGTTTGGTCACTGAACAGCAACCACCAGTCCTGTTCCAAGACACAGATTCAGGCTAGACCCCGTGCTGTACAAAACAAACCCACTGACACACTTCTTCTGTCCTAGGCCCAGTGAAATTTCCCACCATTCCTACACTGTAGGAGGAGAACGAAACTGTGGGCTTTGAGAAGACTCCTCTCCTTCACTCCCTCCTTCTGCCCACATAAGCACTTTGCACAAGTCCCCCAGGCAAAGCCTTTGTACGTTCAGGTCAGAAATGTGAGCTATCTTGTTCTTAAAACATACTCAAGGCTTTTCCAGACAAAAGCCAAATCTTCCTTGGGGCTGGAGAGAGGTGCTCACACAAGAGACCATCTCCAACAGTTGCTGTTGTGTGTGTGCTACAATATCAGGTATATCTGGCTGTTCTTAATCTAATTTATTTATTATTCACTTTGGCCATTCTGAGGTTCCTTCCACACGGGTTATAACGCTACAGGACAGCATTCATTAGCGTGGCACATTTTATATTACAAACATCAAGGTGTATATAACGCTGGGAGTGATTAACATTTAACAGCTGCCCAAGACAATTATGAAGCAGCTCTGTGCAGGTCATCCAATGCAGTTCAGTGCTCGATGTCACTAACAGAACTTCTCTCAGCAGGAGCATCCTTGTCAGCATGACAGCAGGCTAAGATCCCCCAGGCATACAGAGGGACCGAGAGGGCAAATTCCTCCTTCAATTAGTGCCAATCACACCCATAAGCATACCGCCCATCACAGACTGTGTGATGGCCTCCCACATTCAAGTTTTTCCATGCATGTTCTGGCACTGCCTGCATAAAATATGAAAGGACTATGGGATTATTTGGCTTTCTGCATTACTAAAATTGAAATAACTGACAGCTCATGCTTATGTAACAGATTTCACTTGGTTCAACACCAAGGTTTCAAGCATTTCAAGAATTTCTCAAAGTCTGAGTAACTAGCTTCATGGCTACAGAGAGCTCCCGATGTTAAATATCTGTCTCCCCAAGTCCTCCTTATACAGGATAAAGGCTTTTTTTTTTAAATGCAAAGCCAAAACGAGTAGTTTTGTATCTCACATAAGGGACTTGTGCTTAGTCTGCAAAACTTGCTATCACTTCAAGCGGTTCAGAAATTGAAACATCTAGGCTGAAAGCACAGTGTTCATTATTCCAATCACAAAACTAGCACTGGAAATCCAGGGTGGCTTTTAGGAAGCTAAATCACGGAAAGGAACAGAAAAAAATTGCCCTTTCCATTAAGTTTTGATTTATGTAATAATTGCTGGCAAACAACATGTTCCAAACACTACAAAGAACATCTTGTATTTTTACAAAACTCTTCCCTATCACTTGGCAAAAATGGGTTATTGCTAAGTGAAAGATGATAAAGTTCCTTTCTGAAAACAAGAAAGCATAAAGATCAACAGGAAACAAGGCAGATCGAACAGCTGTTTCTTGTTTAGTTAATGAATACGTGGATCTGAATATGATTTATTACACTAGTAACCCTCATCCTCTAAACACCCTCCAGTACTGCGCCGTGTTCTTACCTGTCCATATTTACGGGGGGTTGATGTGAAACAATCACACGTGTGCAGGTGACGGGTCTCCCGTTGTGTGGCGACTGGGCGGCGGGCGGAGGCTGAGGTCCTCCTGCAGGTTCCAAGAGAGATGCAGGACTGGTTATGACTAGAGACAGAAAACAAGTTTTCATGAAACCAAGCAACATCCCCTACCTGCAGATTAGGATAAAACATTTCCTGCAAAGGACAGCACAGTCAAGGCAAGCTAAAGTTTTAAACAAAGAGTTCCCCTACTCCTCCCGTTCCCTGCCTCCTTTGTCAAGTTTTTGGGCACACAAGCCCTGTTTCAGGTCCAAAGTAAAGGCCACAGATTCCAAAGCTTTAGGGAGAAGAATAAATATTTTACAATGTTATACACAATTCCAACACATCAGCCAGTGGTCAGAATAGACTGATATCTGACAGAATATTATGTTGGCGCTTTTCAAGCATCGCTAGAGAACGGAATAGGAGAACACTGGAACATCATCAATTGCATACACTGGAATTTCTTGGTTCCTGTGTTGATCACTGACTGCAACCCAAAAGGAAATCAAGAGGAAAAAAATCTCCATGGGAAGTATAATTCTTGCAACAAGTACCAAATCACTACTATAAAATGCTGTAGAGAGCAACATAAAATTAGATTATCTTTGTGTCTCATCCAAAGACCCTATGATAGATGTTATTGGTCTGCCTCCGGATGTTCTTTTAGAGCACATCTACAGCCTTCTGCATTGTATCTACAGTCACAGTAATTCCCATACAGCTCAGCAAAAGGAAGCAATTGCACCCCACCCATACTAGTATCTGTTACAGTAATCACAAGGACAATTTCATATTCACAGCCTTGGACATATTTATCTCAGTTACCCAAAACCTCATCTGAGAAGACCCTCCTTCAGCTGCTCGTGTTCTGCTGTGCCCTAAATGCTTGCGCTGAAGTCTTTTATACCAAATGTCTTAGTCTGTTCTTTGGTTAAGTTTTTACACAAAATATATCAGCAATACAGGTTTCGGTGCTTCTACAAGTGGAACAAGGAAAATACACCGGCTTTAACATTTAAAAGAGAAAAGGAAATTAAAGTTGTTCTGCTTTGGAAAGGCAGAGTTATCTCCTATTTTGAAGCAGAGGCCAAACAAATGACAAAAAGGTGATGGGTTCTGTTTCACTGTGTGATTTGGTCACTCCCACAAAGGTCTCCTGATATTTTGCCAAAGGATAAGACCAAAAAAAAGAAAAATCACCACTTGTGTATAGTCAAAAGTCTGTTAGAGCATAATATATAAAGTTGGAGTTGGCTGAAATATGTCCACTGATTCACACCTTTAGCTCAACCGCATGTCTAGATAAATCAAAGCCGAACAACAGAGCAGCCCTGAGGGTGAGGGCAGTTTTCTCTTTATCCACTCACTCAAGGACTCCAACCTTCCCTTGGGCCTGGGGAAATGGAGGTCCAAATTCTCGTAGGCCTCAGGAAAATCACTACTTGTCTTCTACCTCAAACAGGAAAGTGCTAGCCACAGGTTATAGAACCGTTTACAGTTTCAGGAATAATTTAAGTGGTTTATAGCACCTTCAACAGTGCCTGCAGCAAAAGATGGCATCCCAGATGCATTCTGTATTAGCAGCTCCCAAACTTTTTCTTTTCCCCTAAGATAATATGGAAACAAATAACTTCCAAACACACATCATGAAATCTGTATCAAAAGGTTTCCTGGCAGTGGTAATTATAGCATCCACTTTAACATTAAAAAAAAAAAAAGTACACACAGCCAGTGCTGTTATTCATCCTCCATGTTACTGAACTCAAACACAAAAGAGAAATAAAGATTAATGTAATTACAGTGTTATGCTACAATAGGATAAGTCATTTGATAGCTTGATTTCATTACCTTTAAATACTGCTAATTCACACTTGGTGACTGTTGAATATAAGCTACATTTTATTTTGCTTCCTTCGCTTTAAGTATTAAAATCTTACATAAAACTTTACTTAAAATGAACAGGAAAAAAAAAAGAGATAGAGGGAACAGGACAGAAGGGAAGACTGAAAGTGTGGGTGTGACAAGGAGACAAGTCTTTTGTAGGAGCTGAATTCTGAAAGAAATAGAAATTGAGACCAAGTGAATAAGGCAGCAGGTGTGGAAGAGAGAAATCACAGGGAGATGTTGAGATAATGAACAGCTTGTTTTGATGACTGAGATGAAACAACCCTTCAAGAAAATGAAACAAGTGTTCAACAACCACTTTTGTAATTTTATACATAAGAAACTATAGAATTAGTTTATTTTGTGATCAGAATCAGTAAATAATTTGTTTCTTTTCACCTTATAAATAATTAAACTTGGTAAGCAACTCCCTCTTGTTAAACACCAATGTTTAAACTAAGTTGCTAAAACAGCTAATTTGGTAATGGCTAACTACCTATATGGAAAGGCTAAATAAATCAAGTTTGCTAAGACATCACTTGTACTCCTCTCATGGCTTTCTTTACTGCAATTAGTGTGCCAAGCTTCTGAACTGTATCTCAAATTATTGTGCTTAGCAGGCATTTATTCACCTGCTTTGCTCAGGGCACAGTTAAACACAATACCTGCTTCTCCAGGAATATCTGCCTTTGATATATGTCCATTTTGCTGGTCATTGGGTTTCTACGAAGGAAGCACAGGTTTGTAAATTAAAAATGGCACTAAAGAAGTGAAACATGCCCAATATTTACACATGTTAAGTAGCAGCACTGACCTTATCTACAGCTTCTACACGCCTAGTTCTCTTCATGATCTCCTCAAGCCTCTACAATGAAATGTAAAGGGGTAAAATAATGTTTGCTGGCATTAATTTGAAAATCTTTCCCAAACCACCACTGCTTATCATTAAATAGTTGCATCTGTTCATTGCAAAAAAAAATTATTTATTACTGTTGGCAATATTCCTTTCACTTTCACATCAGGCTATGCAGAGGAGGACTGCAGCTTTTCCGAGGGCACATTTATATCGTGGATAACTTTCTACAGCTGAGGTGCAAGCAAACTACTAAGGCAAAACAAATTTCAGTTTCTCTGCATCTACTGAGTTACCTTCTTCCTTTCCAAGCGCTCTTGCTCTTCTCTTTGGAAATGCTTTTCACGTTCTAATCGAATCCGCTCTGCCTCTTCCCGTAGGCGAGCTTCCTCTTCTTTCTGAGTTGATGGTAAAAGAAAAAGAAGTGAGGAATAATTTACTATTTAAGGACTGATTTACACTGATATCTGCTTAACGATGCATATCTATAATACCCTGGAAAGACCCTTTTGGGGTTTAAAAGTCACCAGCAATCTTTGCAGACGGAATTGCACATTTCTTGATTAATCTTCATGTTTTACATAGCATTATGAGATGCATAACTACACAACGGACATCGTATTTGGTTCTGTGCCTGTTCTGGGGCATGTGCATGAAGGCACACCAGATGACAAATGAGAAATATATTTTCTAACCTTGAGCATTAAAACAGCACCCAGGAAAGTATTAAAGAGATTCATGAGTGGTAGATGTTTCTGAGAGTCAAACAAAGCAGGAGAATGTTTTATTGGGCCGACAGAGTCATCGCTTAATGAGACCAAGGACAAACAGCCACTGGTACATTTGCACAAGCTTTCCATTCCTGCTTCTTTAAACGTAAAACTTGTCTGGCATATACTGTAGAGAAGCCTTGCTCCCTGACAGCGACAGTGTTGTATGATGGAACTCATAAAACAGTTAATTTGTTATGGTTGCAACATCCAAACAAACCTGGCCAGGCATTACCTCTGAGTGCTAAACTGGGGATGTACCTCAGTCTAGCATTTCAAGAAAGTGGCATACATCTGAAAAAGAAAACTGCAGTTTCCTACAGTTTCTAAGCTATACTCACTAACACAATTCCTCAAACAATTATTTTTAGAAGCATACATTTAATTATATAACAGAAGAAAAAACTAATGTCTATGAGGCAGATTGAAGTGCTGAAATTTGTGGGGAAGAAAGTAGATGCAAAAAGTAAGAGCACATGTGAGAAGAATCCCAACCAAAATGCCTACGACAGCCTCTCCTGAAGTCAGTAAAACAACATTATGCCCATCAAAAATGAGAGCACTTGAAGAATTGCATTTTGATTTATTTACTCTTATGTCTTTTGAGTAGCTGCTCTGATTTCAGGACTGCACTGGGTAAAAGTTCTCCTTGGCTTGATTAAAGTGATCAAAACTTACCCCCTCTCACTTGCCCCACACAAAAGCAATAGTGGGCATAGGATTAGAACTCTGCAGTGCTGTCTCCAACACTCTGAATGGTTAGTTACCTTGGCATCTAGACTTTCTGTAACTGTGGGGATAAAGAGTTCATTAAAATCCCACAATACAACTCTATTGATTTTTTCCACCATGATTTATCAGGAACAGGAAAGGATTTGTTCTCAGTAAAAAAGACAAAACCATAATTCAACTCCCTATCACATGTTTTTGTCCACAAGAAATATCTTTACTCTTTGAGCCACTCTATGGAATGAACTCTGCCCCAACCCTATTCACTTTATATATAGCACTTAAATTTTAGATATCCCTCTAATCTAGCTGCTTTGTGAGAGGTGTTGCTTCATCCACTTTGCTGCCCAGCAGACTGGCACAGAAATTCCAGGAGGGGAGCATACTTGTTTCTGAATGCGTTCTATCTCTTCTTTCTCCTTCTGTTCTCTTTCTTCTGCTTGTCGGCGCAGCCGTTCTTCCTTTCCCCGCTCCTCCTCTGCATCCTTTCGGGTTTTTTCTGCTTCCTGTCTGCGAGCTTCTTCCTCTTCCCGGCGAGCTCTTTCTTCAGCTATCCTCTGTGATAGCTCCTCCTTCTTTTGCCTGCAATCATGAAACAAGTATAAGAAAAGGAGGAGGGAAAAAACCCACACCACCGGATTCCTGACCCAAGACACCAGCGCTGCAGAACAGCTGGATACAGGCTGCACTGCTGTCTCATTCAGAAGTCGTCTGTTCTGATTCCAGCAGGGGCCAAAGGTGAAGCCCTATGGAACATAAAAAAAACTTTGCAAGGCAATACCAATACTTCTCCAGCATGTGCTCGGCTTCCACTGATCTATGACTCACATAATTTCTGTATCAGAAACAGTATCATTGACTTTAATACATCTTTCAAAACACTAATTTCTGTAATTTCATTTAATCATGTTTTGAAATACTACACATTTTTGTCTCCCAACTTATCTTGCCATGATGACTCCTGAATTAAAAAAAAAGAGTATCTAATTCTACTAACCTCACTTAGTACCCCCTCATCCTTTTATTATGGGAGTGATAACTTCCCCTTCACCTAAATTATTTAGGACATTGTAGCTTATCATATCTCCACTCAGTAGTAGAGGGCAGATGGTCTTCCCAGCTGAAGAATCCTCACCTGTTTAGTAAATTTTCATAGGTGAGCTGTTCTATACTTGTGATCTTCCTTGATGTCTGTCTGCACTTATTTTTCTAGTTTTACTGATTTTACTATTCCAAAAAATATAAAATCAACTTTCAAGACCTGGATTCACCTTGGGTAGTTCAGAATGACATTTTCATTTTGTTCTCCTTTTCTAGTAACTTGTAACAGTTAATTTGTTTTGTTGACCATGATTCACCTAATACTTTCATATACCTAATTCCAAACAAGATCTCTTCCCTCAGAAATAAGTAGCCCGGAGACCATCACATGAGTTAAATTAGCATTATTTCCATATATGCATTCCTTTAGGCTTAGCAGTATTGCAATTCATCTTTCATTTAGTATCTCAGCAATATAAGATATGTCTGAAACCCTTCACAATTGCTTTATCTCACTGAAGACCAGCATTACCTCACTGGCCACAACTCCTTTCAAGTTAGTTTATGAAGGCACTGCACAGAGACTGAAAACTCATTTCATTGTGAAAGCTGATTAGTCTTTACCTTTTGTTTTCAATCTTTCTGTCATTGAATTTATTCACCATATTACTCTTATGCCACAGCAACTTGTTTTCTTTAAAACCCTGTTTGAGAGGAATGATGTTGTGAGCCTTTTGGAAAGCTGGGCTATTTTAACTGGTTCTGTCTTCTTTCTATTTTCAGCAATGCTGTTAAAGAACTTTGACAAATTCCAGAGAAATGGCATCCCTCTATAAAGGTGCTCAACTTGTGCTATAGCCACAGTCGTCAGTATCCAGATGGACTACTCATTTGCTAGTAGAAAATGAGACGCAACACGAATTACCCTCCAAAACTGTTGGGGATCCTGATTTTAAATGAGTAAATGAGAAGATTTAAGTCACAGCTGTTGGACGCCTAAACACCACCCCGGTAGAGATCTTATAATTCAAAGAAAGAGACATTGTGCCAATCACAGTTGAAAACAGCTGTGCAGAGTCCTCTATCTGGAATAAAGAAGTATAGCTTTGCTAAGCTCTAAGGAAGCAGTGAATCACTACAGCAAGAATCTGCTCTCACCTCCTGTCCTACTTTGAAGTATTATTTGGGATAAGTTTTAACCTTACAGATCTGCTTAGGTATATAGTGCACCTACAGAAAAACTCCAACAGGAGAATTTGTTTTCGAGGAGGAACTCGTGACTCCTGCACTTCAGTACTGTGCCTCACATATCACAATATAACAATAGAATATACACAAGAAGCTGCTAAAAATATATATTTTCCACTGAAGAGGCCTAGAATCACCTTTCAAGCTCTTCTCTCTCCCTCTTCTCTTGCTCATCCCGTTCCCGTTGCTCACGGGCAAGGCGCCTCTTCTCGGTCAGCAGCCTCGTTGCTTCTTCAGGGTCAGTTGTACCTGCAGAGGTCTTCGCAGGGACTGGGGGTGGAGAAAGAGCTGGTGGAGCAGGAGGTAGGGATGGGCTGGCTGCTGAAACAGATGGGAAGGAAAACTCGTTTGTACAGAGGCAGTAGCCAAGATGACACTCTCTTGAAAGGAACAGAAAATAGGTTCAAATACTCTGCAAAATATTTTCAAGCTTACGTGGTTTTATAAATAATTCAGAGGAGGAAGAAATTTCTAGATGCTAGGGGGTTCATATACCTTAAGGGAAGTTTGTTTTTACAGGATATCTGAATGCAGCTGCAATTGAAATGTTAAGCCAACTTTTCTGTCAGGAGAATAAATGCTGACAGGTGCTCAACAGGACTTGTGCTGACTCAACAAGTCCCTACCATCAAATTTCTTAAGTTTGCCCAATTCTATTCAGAGAGCAGAAATGAAACACTGTGATACTATATCTTCTTCTGTCTGATAGTCTACGTCTGAAAAGCAGAGCCAGACTCTTTGGTGATAGGTCAGTCACTTTTGGTGACTTGGTGATCTCAAACATCAACTGTCTGAAGTGATCTGCAACAAGGGCAGGGCACAAACTATCATCACTTTTGTAGTTACTCCAACCTGAGGCAACTCATGGGACCAGGACACAGCTTTTTAACAAGCTTTGCCACTACTGGTGAACTATGGCTTATGCTCAAATCTTAATAGCATCTTCATATAAATTCTTTATCCAGGATTAGCTTTTCCCACCTGGTAGAGGTAGCATTACAGGTTTTTCTCAAATAAAACACTAGTTCACGTTTCTTTAAGTTTGTCTGGAATTCTCCAGCCCAGGTACAGAGCGCCTCAACTGTACTTTTTCTCTGAGGCCAGGGACCATTACCAACACACAAGCTAACTGAAGGAAGCATTCCCAGGGGAATCACATCTGGTAATGCAGACAAACATGGATAGGGAAGACTTTGAACTGTCAATGGAATCAGATTCTGATCCAGAGAAGATACATGTAAATAAGTCATCGGGAACAGCTAGGAGATGGTTTTAAATCTACATTTTTCATCACCGTTTGGGATGTTACAGTATTTTCCTCATCTCACTAACAATTTCCAAGAGGGAATTCCTCACTGATTCCCCCCTCCTACACCTCGGAATGTATACAAACACAAATTCAGCTGCTTTCTCTGTGCTGAATGCTCCCATCTAATGACCTCTCTGCTCTCTTCTTCTATCAAGTAAAAACTATGCATGTCTTTCTATAACTGCTTCAGGGCTTTCACCCTGAATTCAAATTATACATGTAAACCAGTAATTTAAAGAGTGCCAGGGCCTGTTCTCTAACCCTGAGGAGAGCTGGCAGTTTAGACTCAGCCAGAGCACGATTCTCTCACATTACCGAAACAGGTACTCAGTCTACCCCCAGGGAACAGTCCAGGCCTGGGCTAACCTCCAAGACATAGCTGGGAACTCAGAAAATTCTGGGATGGTCAAATATAAAAAAGTAATTTGATCACTCTAATGCTTGGGAGCCCTTTAGAGCTTATGCTCTTAGTAGCCTTAGGGACAGAAAGTAAGAAAATGTGGAGTTGCAACTATGGAGTGGATCAGAAACACACCAGATAGCCTTTGTAATAGTGAAACAGTATAACTGACTGAGTTCCTGTATCTCGGCCTTGTTTAATTTACTAACACGCACCAAGGCAGGGCTGTCACTCCTGAAGCACAGCTTTGTGCTGCTTGGGGCTCACTGCTTGCCTCAGGTGCTGAAGCTGGCAGCATAATAAATAGCCTGTTTAATGCACACCTGCTGGGCTGTCAGAAAAGATGACAACAGATTGCACAGGCACACCCAAAATACCTTCAAAACTTCCGTGGTATTAGTAAAGTCATGTGAGATTTGCCTGCAAAAGCTTGCATAGCTCCATCAGCAATTGTTACCTGCTGACCTCCTGGCTCCTGTGCCTAGACAGCTAGCAGGTAGCCAAGCCAGACAGATTAAAGGCCAGAGCAGTTAACTGGCAGAAATCAGCTATGTTCGCCTGCAGCACAGACCTAGGAGAATCGGCAATGCCCCTCTAGCTCCAAATGCTGCACTGACCCCTTCTCTAGATTCTTGCGTTCAACCAGTGGCTAGGTTTTGGCAGTTTGGGCCTCCCTCTGAAGTACAAAGCCCCACATGTAAAATGCTTAGCCTGAGGTCTCAATCTTTGGTCCAGACCTCTGGCTTTGGCAAAAGACATCCAATTTGAAGAGCTGCTCACCACTTTGACTATAGTATACATCTCTTTCACCCCTCTACGCTACTTGTTTCTTTGTTGTGAATACAAACTACTTGACTTTTGAATATCTTTATCACACATAACTTGTTTCCATACCATGTGACCTTGTCACAATCTCAAATATTGACTGACTCTGCAAAGAAAATCAAGTTTCTCTTCCTCCTGAGCTTAACTGTCAGACTACCATGACGATACTTCTCTGGTCTGTACCTTGTACTGGGGAAGTATAACTTGTAAACATTTGCAAAGTTATCTCAGTAGTATTCCTGAAATCATTTTAAAAGGAAGCTTTCTCCTTGAAAAAAAAAGCAGGCAAATGGTTTTCAGAAGAGCAGTGAAAACCCATGCTAACATGGTAATTATCTCATATAGTCTTTACATTCCCATGGACAACAGATGCATTCATTTATTATTGTAAATCTCTAGCTTCTTGTGGGGTCACACCTTGTGTGGTAGGACCTGGGTATCAGATTGGAACTACTGTAATGGAACTTCTTGGAACAAAAGAAATCAATTCACATCAGGTCTTCCTGCAGAACAGCCACCCCCAACTACACATCTTGCAGTTAAATGCCATATTATTAATACTTAAAACTATTTTCTGAAGGACAATCGCAGGGGAATCCATGAATTTTAAATTCAGAATCTTAAGTAACTTTCCTGGGAATCCCAGTGTTCACAATGGCCATTCTATCCCATCTGAGAGACAGACAGTTTATGCCATATTTACAATGGACTAAAACGTCTGCTAGAACAAACTTATATTTTTAATTTTCAGATTTACCTTTTGCCCTTCCTACACTTTATGATCATTACTTTATTTTGTGTGTGCATCCCTCTCTGCTTTTTTGCTTTTCAGGGTTCATGTGGGTTTTTGATTGTCTGTTGGGTAATTTTTTTTTTTAAATAACTAATTTTACCCCCAAAAATTTGCCTATTCATCTTCATCCTTCTCCTTGCTTCTCCTCTGCATTCTACTTTATCCTGTTAATCTCTCCTATGATGTGGTACTCTTGCAATATTATAGGTAAGATGGCAGTGTTACCAGCACAGCTGTACTGAGTGTCTAGCAGAGGTGGACATTCTCACTGCTCACACTACCTTATGTGATGGCTTCCTGTACCATTAGTCTTCAGATCATTATTATTCTGCTCCAACAGTCTGAAAAGCAGCTGTGTCGTGATGTGAGGGACAAACCCCCAGTCCGAAAGGGCAAAGACGACTGCTATGAAGCCACACTGTGAGGCAGGTCTGAATGTTGTTTTAATTGTTACAAGCAGGAGTGCTTCAACCTGTTCACACTTTCCTCATAATGAACACACATCTGCAGGAACATTCTGAAGTATTTAACATTTGATAGAAAACTACCGAAAGCTATGTTGTGTTAGAGAAAGAGCGTGAAGAACATAAGAGACTCTCAAACATTCCTTAACCTAAAGGAGGATCTCTCCTTACCTTGTGCAAGGTCTGCCTGGACAGCAGGCTCTTCCCGACTTGCAGGTAGTCCAGCCCCTGCTGGAGTTCCTTTACTGTCTTCTGTCTTCTCCTCATTGACCTTCTCAGCCTCCTTTTCTGGTCTTTTCTTCTCACTCTCTGGTTTGACCTCTTTTTTGATAGGCCGGATATTGCCAGGAGAAGGAGGACGTGCCTGAGCAGAGGACACTTTGGAGGAGCCAGGTGGGGACGTTATCTGCTTAGGTGTGCCAGGCAAAAAAGGCAAAGACTTTGATGCATGCCTGTGTAACCAGAGAGGGACAATCACTGTCAGACATGCTCTGCTGGACACCACCTACACATCATTTCTACAACTACAATAGCTAAAAATAAAACAACTCCTCTATTTCTCTGCTATCAAGCAGGACTGCTGGAACAACTGATGAGCTTTCATGCAAAATGCTTCTCTTTGCCACTTGCTAGTTTCATGAGCACTGAGCCAAGCCAAGAGGGAAGACACAAGGTATCTTCCTACATCCCCTTCCTCAAAGCATTAGTAACATTTTTCTAAAAGCAGGACTGCCTTTGTTGCAGAGAGAAAATGTCTATGTCACCAACTAAGTTTGCACTGTTTCACATTTAATTAATGGAACAATCAGAGCTGACTATAGCTCAAACCCCCAGCTAAACATGTACTTGGCTTACCAAACTGGAGAGGGAGCTGGTGATCTAGCTTTGGGGTTGGAAGAAAAATGACCTCCTTTAAAGCTGGCTGAGAAGCTGGGTGACAAATGGTCTCTCTCCTTTTCTTTTTTGTCAGTCTATAGTTCAGCAAACAAAAAGACAAAGTCAAGACAGAGTTCACACAGCTAAAGAAAGCAATGCAAGCTCAGATAAGGGTGAGGGGTTGGGGGGCTGAGAAAAAAACAATGCTGAGTCAGTAGTTTCTACCGCCTGTTTAACAAGTTCATTAATACAGCCCCTGTAATCTGACACCACCTTTGTCAGTAAATATGCATTTGACAACAAGAATCCTTCTTAATCATGTTTTCTACTGTCCTAAGATGTAATGGGCTAATTTGTAAAGGCTTATTTTTACACAGGCAAAAAATTACCTGTTAAGGTTTGATCTTTGCTGATTGCCACAGAGCACCTTCCACTACTCCCCATAAACCCAGGATTTCATTTGAAGAGCAAAACACTCCCCCCGCCCCAACACTCCCCCAGGCTCTCACTTAGTCACAGTCCCTATATAGCACAACCTTTTCCCTTTCATGCTTGTATGTGAACATCACAGATGCCCTCAATGGTGGTACAACAGTTAACCTATTCTTTTTTCCTTGGATGATTTAACAGCACATAATTTTGTTGCCACTGATTCTTATACATGGTAGTGATTTCCTCTTTTTCCTTCTTTATTTCTCATACTAGGATTTTATTTTTTAAACTGTTTCTATTATAGATCTGGTGTATTAATAGAATTAATGGTTTAAAGGACTATATCAGAATTTAGCCATCTGTGTACTTTCTCCATGTAACTATAGATGAAAAACGGGTTTTTGGAGTAATGAACTCAGACTCTGAGAGTCTGAAGAATGGGAATACTGGAGAGTACACTGAGCTGCCACTCAGCCAATATGATGCAGAGAGGCTGCTACTCACCACCTTGGTTGGGGCTTAAGCACAACCCCTGTAGCGTGTGTACCACGCTGCTTTAGAACCCCACCAGCTGAGAGCTCTGCAATGATCCTCCCCTGCACTGAAAACCAGATTAACGACTGGAAAAGAAAGACCAAAAACCACTTCATGAGCACATAAACCCTTGGTTTATCTTCAGAAATCCAAGAGGGTTTTTGGGGTCACTATGGTTAAAATTGGTTAGTTTAAATTGCCAAAAACATTAATATTAGTAATAGATGGTCTCAATCCTTAAGTCATTACTCAAGCCAGCTCTTCTGTAGTATAATTTACCAGATATCTACTGATTAATATGAGTTATCAAAGCATACACAGCCAGAATAAATCCATTACAATGAATAAGAATTTTGGCTCACGAGCAGTAACTCTCTATATTGATCTACTTCATAAGTCTCAAAAACAGAGCATCAGACATTTTTTCTTAACATCAATAAAGCAAGAAACCAAATTCCTACAAAAGTTTACAGAAGAATAAACGATTCTCCACACCATACAGGCTACTGAAAACAGCTCAACTCAGCCATTTTGTATTAGTAACATTTTTACATTGTCTCCTCCACCAAAATGTACCAACCTTTCTCCTTTTTAATTAAAACAAACAAACAAACAACAAAAAAAAACCCAAACCCCCAAACCACTTGCAATGAGAAAGACCCAAGAGGTGTTAAACCAATAGCCTGGGAGATGGCAATGAACTATGCACATACCATGAGATTTCTCTACAGATACATCCCAATGCTGTGCCTTAACTTAAACCTCAATTTAGGCTCAAAAGCCTAAAAGATTAAGTACCAGCTATGATTCATACCGCTTTCATTAACACTGCTTCCAACAAGGATGTCAATAGCAGCATTGCCTCTTGACATTTTGCCCATCAGGCCAAATGAAAATGTAAGCCCCTCTTACACAATCATTTGCAGAGATGACTTCACTCTTCTCACACTCTAAAACTCAGACTGTAGAGTACAAGTTAAAATACAACTTCAGCAAATGATATCTGAACTGGAGCTGACCGCATCCCATTGGCTTGGAGCACCATCAAAAGGAATTCAGTCTGCCTGATTTTCACTGAAAGCTCAGATCACAGCACTGCTACCAAATCATTCGGAATGAGCAGGTGACCTGTGGGAAGCCTTGCTTACAAACCATGCTCCTTCTCAGTGAGGAAGTTTACTAGCCTGGCCTGCTAAGAAAGTAAAGTTGAAGTGACAGTGCTCTGTGCATTTACGTATATAGACATGTGTGAGTGCATTTCTTTCCCCCTTTTTACCCAGAGGCTTAGGTGAATTTGCTAGAGGTCTCAGAGGATAGCAAATTCTACAGGCTTTGTGAAAACAGGTTGCTGGGAAAAACAGATTCCCCACTGAGGGAAAAGCTGCAACGTCAGCTTGGGCCTTAAAAGGCAGCAAAGAATCCACCTGAGAAAAGGGCACACACACTGTGAGTGCCTCTCTGCCTCATGAGAAGTTAAGGCATCCACTGCAAACACAGGTATTTTTCAACATGGATTCCTTGGTGCATAATCAGGCCACATCACCACATAATGTAGTATATTTCAGTTAAAATTCAGCCTACTATGAAAAAAATTGGAAGGGGTGGGGAGAGTGCAGAAGAATCAGTCTTAGTCAAGTACCCTTGCAGCTGTTCCAGTCCTCACAAGCAATGCAATCATGGCATGAGACACTGGCTTATGTACAACTGGCATGCTTACCCCTGCCAGATGCGTTGTTCTCCTACGTCCAACAGCATCAGTAGAGGCATAAAGTTTTGCTCGGTCTCCTGGATTCCTACAGTTCATGGCCTTGTAGGACAGAGGACTGATGGGGCTGCAAGATGCTGAACGGGGACAAATGGGGATAACTACAGTGTTGGTTGGTTTTGTTATTTATTAATTTTAATTACAGAGCAGCATTGGAGAATTGACAGAGGAAAGTCAGCAGGAACAGAAACAACAGAGAAAGACAGAAAAGAAAGAAGGTATTAATACACAGAGGATTGACTAATTCTCAAGTCAGAACCATCATTTGATACATTAGCTTCGCCATACATATAGTAATAATACAACTTCAATAGGCACTCATGTACTTTTCCATATGTAAACTAAAATTTTCTTTTAAATACATTAAGAAGTATGCCACATAACTGGGTAGTAGAAAGTAACAATGTTTTTCTGTTAAGCCTTTATACAACTGGTGGTTCTGAAAAAGCAGCAGATGCAATGACCCGTCTGACTAGCTTAGTATATGCATTGGCATGAATTCCAATTACATTTGCAGTAGAAAACAATTAAACTAAAACCAGAATGCCTATTAATTGGTCTTGGAAGTGGACAAAAATAAAAGGAGACATACACAAAAAGATCAAAACACATTAACAATACAAAACAGTTTCACCTAGGAAATCAACGAAATTGCTGTCTACAATTTTTAGCAAGTGAAGTGTTTTTAAAAGCCCTCGGAGGAATATTTGAAGTCCATCCATTTAAGAACTTTTCATATCAGATATATGGTGTTCTGATTATATATTTGAAGAGAACTGTAACACTGTAAAATGTATTATGGGGAACTTCTTGCAGCAAAGTATTCTTAGACTTTCTCTTCATTTAACTGAAGGAGAAGACTGGGGAAAACTATGTTATTACTGCAGAGCTTTATTTGTCTGCTCCTGTTTGTCTTTTCTGGTCATTTAATATAGGCTTAGCATAATTATTATTCAGCATGCTACTTGAAGGAAAAGTAGAGCTTCTATGTAATATCTTCCCTCAGTCTCCTTGGTGAAAAGAAACCCAACATTTCTTGCCTGTAGATCCCTCTCTGAGCACACTTGAAAGAATGCGGTTCCACATACAGTTAATTCTTCCAGTCCTACAACAGTACAGCTGCTGTTACAGCAAGAGCTCATAGACTTAACAGTACTAGTGATGCAAATTCTCCTGCACTGAGATTAACATTATGAATAAAGAGAGCCTCATTTAAGTGTTACAGCAACAGCACTCATTCTTGCCTTATAATTTACAGGGAATTTATGTTTAATGAGGTATTATGACTGACTTAAAGTAAATAAAAATCGAGAAACAAGAAAACAGGGGTTTTGTTCATGTTTTTTTTGGCTGAGTGTATCTAAACCAGATAGGAGGCAGTGACACAACATATAATTTAAACAGCTTTTTACGTGGCAATTTACATGGTTTTGATGCTCTGTGAATCAATTCTCTTGCTGCATGCCGATTACCTGAAGTTACCACCAAGGTTGACATCATAAGTATCATAAGACAAGCAGTTAATTTTCATTTGTGATGTTGCCAAACAATGTTTCAGGAAGCACTCCCAATGAATCCTGTACCAACAGGATTACACCTATTCAGAGGAGCTTTTGGAGTGTTATTTTAAAAACATTTTGGTTTTGGAGGGTTATTTTAAAAAGATCCAGACATAGTCTTATGCTGGATGTCCCTAATAGCTCACTTTAAATTTAAGGACACGAATCCATATTTTATTTGATTTTTCTTTTGATTTTTTGCATTGTAATTTATCTTTACAGCCAAAGGGCAGGGTAATTTTCTAGGGAATAATGACAGGCTGGGATGAGCTGAGTGCTCAGAGCACAGCTGTGAGCCATTACCACCACCTGATCATTAATCTCCAGGAAGCATCCTGCATGAAGGGACTGCAGTTATTGCTCCCAGAGAATAATACCTGGAAAACAATGAGCAGATGGATTATTCTTCTGGGTGGTACAATTTCAGTTAGCATAGGGAAGGCATTTCAGGGAATTACCTCAGACTGATGACTGACAAATCAGTCATTCGTGCTATTTGCAATCCTTCTCAACATTCCACTCAGTTTAGAGCTTAGTGCGCAGTATAAATAATAGCAGCCACAAAAAAAATCTTCCCGCATGCTCCAGTAAAGTAACCACTTACAAAATTAGGACACTGCTTTTTCAACTATTCCCTAATGAAGAGCTGAATTTCTAATATCCTGCTTGGTAGATTGCATTAAGTATTTACTTTATAAACTGTTGTTTGTGAAGAGTGAAAAGGAATTCTCCACTATCTGCAGAATATCATCCACTTTTTTGCTCCTACAGCACTACCCCTGTGGAAATGTACTGCAGCTTAATTAGTTATAAGAGTTCTTAAGTGAAAGCTTCTTTAAAAGTAATCTTAGCAGATCTCTATTCCTTCTTACCTTCTATGTCCTTTAATTAGAATAAAAATCCTGACCATATCAGACTGGAAAGACTTGCCTAGATTTAAACATTCAGCATATGCAGCAATATACTATTGTAATGGTAAAGTCCCCAGTGCATGCATCCTATGATAAAATAAGAGGCAGCTGTCACCTGTCTAAAATACATGATAAGCAAGCATGACCTGGTTATCTTTTGAATATAGTTTTGCCTAGGCTTTAAGTTACCACCTAGCAATATTTTCACATTTCTGCATGTTACTTTTCCTCTCAGTAAGTACACCTGAGAGCTGCTCTGGGGTTGGCAGAGAACTTTACAATTATTATAACCTCACTAAACCCACACATGTAACTTCACATGTAGTAAATGCACTGCAACCAGGGCCTATCTTTCTACAAGTCTAACTTGTCCCACGTGGGAAGTGCCCTGGTAGAGAGTGAAACTATTATTTGCAGCAAGCAGCTCAAAGCCTTAGCAGTGGGTGTGCTGAATCAGCTCTTTACAACCTGGGGAGCATTTCCTTAAAAAGCCACAGACAGTGTGACATTGTTGCCCTGCGCGTGTTCTATTGATTTACTGCACTGATGAAGAGGCAAAAGAAATTAAGGAGAAGGTGGTGGGAGAATGAGAAAGAGGCATAGCAAACAACTGTACAAACAAGCTTTCATGCTGTCACACAACGTAATTATGGACATTCAAGCTCATTCTGGGATGCTACTGTACACTCATAGTTTGGTCAGTAACTTTACAACATCCCACATCAGCAGGAATCTGGAAAAATAAGTGGCTGAGATATGAAGCCTCTGTTCTTATAGGTTTACCTGCATCTCCAGACAATGCAGCTGTGCTTTTACTTCGGGCCAGGAATGAGTGAGTGGGCATCAGGAGCCTGCTAACGATGCTGCTCTCCCACGGACTGAGCTGCAGACGGCGAGCTGAACGTGCATCATACAAGCAAGATGTTAGATCAAACACTTTACAAATAATTACATGTTGCAGAACTATGAGTATTATCTCCTCACTGTTGCACACCATGAAAATCTTGAAACTGTCCTTTAGTGATCAAAAGCATACAATGTTTTGCATTTTATTCTTACTCTATTTTAGTAGAGGAATTCCTATAGGAACACATATATAAATATATATACACACTAGGTCTCTGGACAATGCAGCTGTGCTTTTACTTCAGGCCACACATTTGATTTGCGTTACTGACTGTGGCATTGTGGCAAACTGTTATCAAATTAATACTGATACTTTGCACATATCCCACATTCCCTATTAGGAATGACAGCATAACTTCTGTACTAGGAGAGCAGTTGCCACTCCTGAATACAGACTTTGACAGAGATGTTTGTGTCCAAATATCTTTCTACACATAAGGTATATAATCTTCTAGTTACAAAAAAGACCAATTAGTAAAACACCTTGAAAGTCTGCCAGCCTAACTAGAAAAAAAAAAAGGTTGCTTACTACTATGCAGAGAATTGTGTCAGAGAAAGAGGTTTCATCAAAGCATCGCAAAAGGATACAGTGCACCTCAACTGCAGATACCAAGCTCAGCAGTTCCAGTTGTCTCAGTAATACATGAAGCCACAGAATACAGTAAGTACATTTGATCATTAATTCTCTATCAAAAAAATCCCACTAATGATAATTTTCAATTTAGAACAGTAACAAAAGCCAACTTTTCACACTGTTAGTCTGTTCTGAAAACACACCGCACACTGACCTGCCCGCAATCACTCCCTTGCCTTGCTTTTCACAATACTGCTTCATGCAAATTTAGCTTGTCAATATATTCCTTTTGCCTTGTAAAATTTCTTCAGTTTTTTTTTAAATATTATTTAAACATTGATTACAGTGAAGTCGTAAACAAAAGAGCCCTATAAATGACTTTTGAAATTGAAGTAGAAGTTTGATACTCTGATGCAACAAATTGTATTATAATGAGCATCACAAACCAAAACATTCAACTAGTTCCCATAGTAGTTCATTATAATAAGCTCAGATCATAGCAATAATCTTGATGTTGCAAGTCAAATCAGGTCTTCTTACATCTCAGCATTCATTGGTCTTCGTTTGGTGTTTACGGCAACAAAACTGCAGTTTGAATTTATGAGGCTTAGTCTCTAAAACATTCATTGAAGTGACTGGCTGTAATAATCTTGAGATTAATTTGCATTTTTAAAGGTAGAGATCCATCACTTCTAATAGCCATAAAGTCTGAATATGTCTTTAATCTACTGCACACTGAGCCCCATGAAAAGAGGGGCTGATCTCAATCTCATCCTATGAAAACATAATTACCTAATCCACCCTCAATGCTGTTTTTCACTTCTCAAATTGCTCCCCTAAATTCTGCTAACTCAATAAGAAGCATTACTATAGAAATATAGGACTCTCAAACACAGCAGGCTCTCTGGATAAGCGTCCTTACACAATGTACTACTGCCAGAGCTCTTTGTGATTAATGGTTCTATTCTGCTTTGGTACAGATTATACAGAGACACAAAATACCCTACAGAGACTTCCATTACAGCACGCACGTTATCATTAAGCTTGCAATTTAACAATGAAGAACAAAATCACAGAACTACCATTAAACTGGATGCAATAGTGGTAAAATCTTTGCTTCCTTTCTTCTCCAGGCACCATGCTCTCAGCAGGATCACTGTTTAAAGCTACTGTTGCAGGACAACAGATTCTTTTTTGTGGTCTCAGGCTTTACCAGGCGGAGCTCACAGGCATGAGTATTGATGAGCCTGCAGAAACTCTTCTGACGTAGCTTAACACAAAGATCATACAACTTCAGAAAGCAATCCCTGAAATCGTAGGCCGCTAAATCAGTACTATGTATACTATCAACTTCTTGGTGTTCATCTGTACAGCTGTAAACAGCTGGTAAGTAAATGCCACACTGTAATACAGCCCTGTGGCCCAGATCTAGAACTTATACGTGAGGTCCCAGAGATGAAGCAGCCTCAAGAGGACAGCTAAGAGACTGATGACTTAGAACACTAAATTCTCATGTCTCGCCTATCCCATGTCACTTGCCCTAAAGGGGAGTATGGTTTAATTTTCGTTTCTCTTTGCCCCTAACACAGGGGAGCTTCTATCTGTATCATCTACTGGGAGCAATCGTGTGCCCACAGCATCCAACCAACAGCACTGAGGCAGTGTTTGGGAGCAAGCTAGCTGATACACACCAACAGTGAGCTAAGAGAGACCAACAAAAACTTTCTTCTCCATATAAGCAATGAGCCTGATTCAGAGGTGCCAAAAGAGTTTTACCTGGGAGCTTGGAGTAAAGACTCCCTCAATTTCTAAAATGGGTTTAGATCAGAGTTCATTTAAATACACCTTGGCTTTCTGGATCAAGGTCATCACATACTCATTCTTCTAAACGCTCAGCACCCTGAAAGCATCATATTTGACACTTTCAATACATATTCTAACAGTCATTAGCATCACCATTAACCTAAAAGAACCAAATAAACTTTTGTGCACCGAATTCCAAGTACAAGAGTATTAACACCAAAATGCATCGAACGACTTAACTTTGGTGTCCAATTCACACTGAAGCAAACTGAACGCAAACCAAAGAGCATCCCAAAATAATAAGATTGACTTTAAGACCATGAGGTCAGGGGTTTTTTTCTTGCTCTTTTTGTTTTTAATGCCATAGCTTGAGGTTTTCAAGATTTACTTCTTCAAACCATCTGACAGCAAGGGGAAATGATATTTTTTTGTTCTCATGATGTGTTACGCTATCACTCTTAGGGCTGTTTGCTCCGTTTCCACACAAGAAGCACATTCATGATAGGGTTGCTCATGCAGGCAAGTGCCCCTACCCCAGCTACAAGCAGGTTGGTTTAAACATATTAAAGATCTTTATAGCCTAACTTGTAACTGAAAAGCACACAAAGTCCCAGTCAGCTGGCAACAGTGAATTGATTACAATCATCCGCATCAGGATATACAAACTGAACACTAGAAAGTTGTCTTAGCAGCAGCAGAATAAATTTCAAGTAAGCAAACAGCAGCATCTGATTAGTTCTAGGACCAGATGGGAGGCAGGGATTTAACAGGTCTCCTCATGAGCACCACGAAGGAGACTCACTGATAACAGTGGTATTTGCTCATACAGAGCCACAAACATGGTGAGGAGTAGATGGGAAAGAACTCTGTGCTTAGATTCTCTTTCAACAAGAAACCATACTGGAGTCCCTGAATTTCTTCTATAAAGGTGTCAGACAAAGGTGATGCAGTGATCAAGACCATCACCTGTTTGAAAGAAAAAGCACTGCAGAGAAGAGGAGAAGGAACACAACTATGGTGCAAGTTTTGATTTTCAAAACTAAGAAAGTATGTAACACATACCTCATCTAAAGTATTATCCACTTGCTAAGCTTTCCTTAGAGAGCACAATTATCAAAATTTATTAGTCAACAGCAGCTTTCTCTACTTGAATATGTGTGTTCATGTTTTGTCACAGTTTCAACTGCTCAGACCTCTAACATAAAAGCATGCTGAGAAGCCTGTTCTAGTTTTCCCATAGTAAAATTTGATAATGAGCTATATAGCAATACTATATTTGAAAAGGAATTAGTCAATTAGTGAAAGCTTGTCTTTTGCTGGGCCAAAAAAAAAAAAAAAATCCTGTCGTTCAAATGGTAAAAAGGTGCTGCTTAACAGAAGACATGTTCTTGATGACAGCTATAAGCCACTTAAGGTAAGCTTATCATCCTCACTCATCTCCAGCTCCCTGTTTTGCAGGTAGGAGTATGCATTACAGACAGTGTGACTGGGTGCCCTCTAGAAGGTGAAATGGGGAGCAGACAGGTAGAGCCTTCCTTTAAGCATCTGCCTTAAGATGTTGAGGCCACTGGGGAGACCAGTGCCACTTCTCCAGGTACGTGCTCAGCTAGGTTCAGGTACATGACTTTGCAGAAGAAAGAAGGCATTTATAGTGTTTGGATTTGCTTTCTGTCTTCAAGACTGCAAAAGACATAAATTCTGAAGAAGTCTCTTTAATGAAAATGCCAAGCAAAGAATGCCTCAACATTTGAAGGTTTTGACATATGGCCATCACTTCCATATTCCTTCCCTTTCCCCACTGCTAGACTGCCTACTATTCAGTCTAACTTTTCCTGAATTTGAAATGGGTGGCAGAAACTGTAACACAATGAGCTGCAGTCCATGGGAGACTATCCTTCATATTTAATGCCTGCTGCTATCCACCATCCCAATCCCCGCAGCAAGATCCTTCCTCTAAGAAGCATCCCCTGCAAAGAACAGCAACCATCTGTAAAAATACATATATATATGCCTCATAAGTTAATAAAATTACAAGTGACCAAATTTCAACATTCAGAAGTAAAAAAATATTGGAGTTTTAGAATAAATTATTTCCTAATATAATGCTGTATTTTTCACAAGTTACTGGACTCTACAACTAGGTTAGCCTGCTAGGATTAACATGGCTCATCAAATCAACCAGATACACATGCACAAACACGCACATAAAACATGGCACTTAAGTTGCGACACACAAATAATGACATATACCAACCAGTTTTGTAACACAACCAAAATTCCATTCTGAAAATTTTTTAAAACATGCATTTATCTGGACTGAAATGGGACAGAACTTCTCATTCTCAGTAGAGGACACAAAAAATCCCTATCAAGTACTTTCCTGTAAAGCTCTTTGCACAAGTTATACAAGAGACATTATTTTATAAAACTTCTTTAAGTTCAATGCTTTAATGTCATAAATCCTCAGAGCAGAGGCAACAATTCAGCTTTGTTAATTTTTTTAAGAGCTTGATGGCTTATCATTTGTGCAGACTTGTAAACTTCAGAAACATACACTGAAATAAAGCAATCTTTGAAAAGTAACTGGACACAGAAGTCAATAAACAGACCATATGAAAAACACCCATACCTCTTCAGTAAAAATAATTGGAAATGGGGATAAAATAACTGCTTGAAAGCTTCATGCATCATGTTCTTAGATAATCAAGAACTACTACCAAGGAAGAAAGGAAAACAAAATAATGACAAAATGGCATAATGCAAATAAAAGGTCACACATGACTGCATGCACTATGTAGCGATGTATTCTTTCAATAGTTGTACCTCATTTACTAAAAACCTGACAGAAGCACTGCTTTTATCATTTGCTAAAGTAGGATTGTTTAGGTAAAGTTCTCGTTTTAAAAAACAAGAAATATGTATTTATTCTCACAGGAAAAAATGTTCAACCATTTACTTTTCACATTTGAAGCCTTTTCACTCCCACTTAGATGAAGTACAGAAAATGACTTCAGAACCTTGTTTTATGTGCAAAGTAATACATCGATATAGAACATTCTTTCTTGCATTTTTTTTTCTCTTTGAAACTGTACCTCTGTCTGGAGAATTTAGTAATGTTGCAGATGAGGAGGAGAGCCGCTTGTTAATGACTGGATCAACATGTTTCGAAAGGTTCATTGTTGAAACAGATCGCCTGTCTGGATCTAAAATAAATGGAGATAATGCTAATTGACAGCCCACATGCAGTAGTGCAAGTTCCTAGCTCACTAGTGGGAGGAGGAAAACATGACTAGGTCACTCCTGCTCTACCACAAGAACTTTCAAAATAGAATGGACTTCTCAGCAGACATTGTACAGGTGACTCAAAGACTCGGCACAAAACCATTTAAGTTTCAAATGTAAAATATTCTGTTAATTGATTGTCATTCATTCAGGTTGCAATCCAAGGACTTAATTGAGGATCTAAAAAGGATACTAGCAGACAAGATGATACTTCCTCGTTCCTTTCAATGTTCTCAGAAAAACCTTGTTCAGGAGAAGCATGAGAAATCTTCTCTCTTGTGCAGAGCAGCTGTGGCTGCCCCCTCCCTGGAAGGGTTCAAGGCCAGGCTGGACGGGGCTGGGAGCAACCTGGGCTGGGGGAAGGGGGCCCTGCCCCTGGCAGGGGGGTTGGAACTAGATGTTCATTAAGGTCCCTTCCAACCCAAACCATCCTGTGATTCTATGACTTCCAATTGAAAGCTTCAGGGAAGGACCAACATGTTTGGAAATGTGAGGTTATTAATAAAAAAACCTCTTAGCACCTGAATAAAAGGTGACATTTGACAGGGCGCTGTTACTAGGCAGAAGGTCAATATCATGACAATACAATGCTGAAAGATTAAGGGAAGTCTGATGCACAAGGGAAGCAAGGGTAAACACAGAAGGAGATAAAAGATTTAGTTAAAAAATCCCATGGTTGTGTATATGTGCTAAACTTCCCACCATTTTCTACCTGCTGTGTATGAAGTTGTAGTTAATCAAGCCAAAACAGCACACAGCTTAGCAGATAATGAAATGAGTCTCTGGGAAAGGCAAGAGAATGGCTTGTAATGCCCATGCTTTGAATGTAATAATAAAGGTTTTTATTTTGCTTTTAAGTTCTGTACCTTTTAGAGCAGTATTGCATCATTTGCCTGTGCAACTGCTGCAGAGTCAGCATCTGCACCCTACTGAGGGGGTGATGGTTATTTCAAGAATATAGATCACACACACTTTGTGCAGTTGTGTGTCACACAGAAGTCGCTATCAACGGCAGAAGAAGAGAAATGAGCTGAACAGGCCAGCTATATGCTTTCTGTTCTCTCTCTCAAAAAGAGCTACACGCATCAACTACGTGTCCTCCACTGCAAACTTCGGTTTGGAAATCTGATGTTCAGAAGATGTTGGGAGAGTCAATTCCACTTTTGCTTACATTTTATCATGTACCAAACCTCAGCAAAGCATTCAACAACATAGGGATTCTGATATGGAATGAGGCTTGAGCATATGCTTAAATGCTCTGCTGATTGATATTCTGTGTGTGCAAAAATATGCCCGCATACTAATTTGAAAGCAGACACAAACTTACGACACAACAAGAAGGTTGCTGAAATATTATCTGTAATTATTTGACAAGTGTATCAGCATTGCATTAAATGTATCATACCTAGTGCATTAAAGTATACTCACTGTGTACAAAAATTTTCATAGAAATACAGTGCCTGAAAAATGCCTTTACTTTCTCAAGATCTATGAACTATATAGGATTCACTGTAACTGGTTGGGGCAAAGAAAGATTCTCCCCTACCCTGTGTGATTATTGGATCACTTTGTCTAATGTTAGAATGACTCAGTGAGGGTATAGAACCAGCAAACTAGGTACTGAAAGGGAGATAAAACTCAGAAATGGGTTTTAAAAGGAGAAATCTAGATGTTATAGCTAAGAACACCACCTCTGTAGGCTTGCAAGATTACCTCACATTGATCTATGGCATATATTGAAGAGTGATGTGTGCAAGCCCGTACCAGGGTCGGGATACTCAGGCTTCACATGTGACAGATCTTTGCCAGAACAATACTTGTGGGAATGGGATGGGGATTCTGATCTCTTACACCTAATCCATAGCTGAGAAAATGTATAGTGTATCAGTACAGCCAAAGTTTCTACATTTGGCATAAAGGATGTACTACATAAAACAGCTTTCTGAAGATGACAAATGACAATATGAAAAATCACCTCTTCTGTTTGGCATGCCAAAATTTCTCTTGTGTCTATGAACATTATTTGAATGAATAAAATTCAGAATGAGGATTTGTGTGTAAGTGTTGGCAATATGCATCCTATAAATATAGAATAGGCCAAATGCAATTCATTGCCTAGAATATTGCTGGTTTCTTTGCTCTAAAAAAAGAATTAAAATATCCACAAGCAACACATCAGCCAATGCATCTGGTTATATGTCTGTGCTCATGTGCAAAATAATTGTAAATCCAGTGTATATATAATATGCCAAAATGGATTTAGAAAAGACCTAAATATTCAAATGGTTCTCCCTGAATTCCAGTAGACAGACTATTAGGCTTCATCCCAGTGAATTGTGCCAAATCTTTAGAGTCAGCCAGCAGTAACTCTGCATATTAAAAATAAATAATAATGAAAAAATCTGGTACTAACAACAGTTCTAATCTATCAGCATGATGTTAAGCATGCATTGCAACTACATGAGGGTGGTTTAGTTACTGATGATCTCGTTTCCTGAGAACTAGCTATGGGTAAAGGAATCAGCAAACCACAGCAATTATGTACCAGGTTTTCTAGCACCACCCAGAGATCTGAAGTGGTGCTCCAGGCCTGCTAAATCGAGAAAGGTGAATGATGATTCAAAAAAATAACCTAGGGACAGAATGCAAGACAATGATTTTTCACAGTAAAAAAAAAAAAAAAAAAAATCAATTAAGTTATACAGAGTTAAGCAAAAAAGTAACCTTTTATGAAAAATAACTGTTTATTGAACTTATATATGACAAAGATTTCAGAGCATTCTTTTCTCAACTTTTTTCTTTTTCTCCTTGATGAAAGGTTGGACACATTGAAATGTATATGTTAGAGTAGGAAGAGAAGAACTCCAAGTACCACTTTCTGGTGAAAGAAACAAAGGACAAGGTCTCTTTTTTGGGTTTGAGTCATATTTAACAGGGCAATACACATTAATGATTGGGAGAGTAAGTTACAGAAGATAATAGGGGAAAAAAAGCATATTGCTAAAATCCATTTAATTTGCCCTCCTTTAAGCTTTTCTAGGGAAAAAAAGGGACTTCTACCTCCCAAAATATCTGCACAAGGTACAGACAGCTTATTACAAAGAACAATTTTTCTTCCTTGTCTCTGTTTTAATCTCTGTATTTGGTCATTTCCAGCAGACCTATTTTTTGAGCCATGATATTTAGCATTTGCACACTGTAGCTCCTATCACAAGATTGACACAGCACAAGCACACCCACACACACAAACAAGAGCAAGGCAGCAGAAGCAAGAAGCTGTAGCAAGATAGAGTCACAGAATTAGTCAACTCCTGAAACAAGTTTTAACTTTTGTTCAGATTTCTCCTTGTTACCTTTTTGCTACACAAGAATGTCAGAAACATGCCATTGCTAGCAATATTAAAACCAAGAGCAAATAATTTAAACCAGCATACACCAGAACATCCTTCCCTTTAGCAGAAGCAAAAGAAATTCCAGTTAACTGGCAGGGCAGGGAAACTGGCTAGCAAACCAAGCCTCCCTCTTTACCTGTGTTATTAATGCGGTTATGTAGTGCTCCTCCCCAGGACCACCTGTTCTGCTTTTGTTTTGGCTTCTGGCTTCTTTCAATCGTGCGACGTACAACAGCTTCATGTCGTTCCTTAAGTACAACAGGATAATACATTTGGATACTATTGCGTTTTTAACTTAATCTTCTCACCAAACCCTGCTACCCTCCACACGGACAAAAACTAGCAAGCATCTTGGAGTTGTGTTCAAACTTATGTGCTGCCTACTACAACACACACTAGAATAGGATTAAGCAGCAATTAAGGCATAAATTAAAATATTAACTGTAATTCTGAAAAGATAAGATCTGTTTGAGACCTGCAGAGAAAAAACAGTGGCCCTGTTATGGCAGCCACTACACAAACACAAACTAGGGCTACTTCCCACCTTGTAGCTCCCACCTACTAAATACCAGAACAGTGGGAGAGATACGAAACAAACAAAAAGAATGAGCTGACTTACGTAGGATCACACTGCACATAGTTCCCAGATTAACCGAGACAAATCTTCCAAGAGCATATTTCACTATACACTCACTCTCTTCAAGGTTTTGTTAGGGCAACTAATGTTTAGCTACCCCTATACTGAATGGCCAGGAATTAACAGATAACCATACAAAACCAACCCAGTCTGTACTTTTCTGCAGGAGTTTGTGCAGTGCTATACACTGTAACTCGGACATGCTCAACTTAACTGCATTTGATTCATAAAGGGCTCTTTAAGAACTAGTATCTGTGCAAGTAAGGCTTAAAATCCTCTTCCACATGCTCGCTCATACTGACCATGACTTTTGTTGCATTCTTTCCATCAGAAAGAAAAAGTTTGATAGTATATCATATATCTTATGGTAAAAGCAAGCTGAAAAGTGTTTTCATGACATTTATTCTTACCTTATCTTCCTCTATTCTCTGCCTTCGCTTTTCCTCTACGGCAGCTCGTCTTCTCTCTTCCTTTAATCTCTGCTCTTCTAGCTTCTTTCTGCGTTCCTCTAGGTGTTTTTCATAATGTTGCCGGGCTCTCTCTTCTCTTTCTAACCAGACGGATTCTCTTGCAGCTGTGAGAAAAATCAGAAATAAAAGTATTAACATGCCATATGCGATGAAGTTTTTAATACAATTTGAATAACCAAACTTTTGAACTCATTTTCTTAAGACCCACATAATATCCTAATTTCTTCTCTTGTATTAAGACATCATGTACCCTGGTCACATTAATTTAATTTCATCTCAATCTACTTACTTTGAATTGCCACCAGAAATAGTTAAATTATTTGAGCATATGGTTTCTATGTGGAAGAAAGGATTTTTTTGTTAGTTTAAAACACCTAAAGTCGGGTGTATGTGAACACAGTTCTGTTGCATAAAACATGGTAATTCACTGTAATCTTTTACAGTAAAAGAAAGATAAAAAAAAGATAAAACTATCACCACTATATACCTTTACTGATCAATACAGATCTCTTATGATAGGAGTGGCTGGGATAACAATTCTAGCACTTGCACTGTTAGACATACCAACAGCTGACCAGAAGGAAACAAGTTACCCACTCATCAGTGAAGTCAGTCTAAAGGTGAACTTTAATCTGTCCTATACATCCACTGCTGCACAGCTCCAAACAACTTGTTTCAGAAGTGCTAATAAAGACAAATCAAGAAGCACTATGTGAAACAGTTCGCTCCCAACCAGGGTCTGAATTTTCATGAAGGTACTATCTGGAACACAGGCTCAAACTGCAGTCCAGCATGAGACCATTTATATGATACTCTGAACCCTCTCCCCATTGCTGTCTTGAAAGCTTCAGGTCCCAGAAATATTTTTGTTGTAGAAAAAACCTGTTGCTTGCTTTTTAAAAATCTCAGACATTGGATACCTCTGGATCTGCATGAACTGACAGATGGGATTGCAGGAAGAGTTGTACGCAATGGCCACAAGACAACCATCACCAAGAACCTTATTAGAAAACCATACACAGAAGGAGCTCATTGATAACTCAGCAGCAACAGGGAACAAGGACAACAAAGCATCAAAAAGACTTTCAGTTTCCAAGGCCAGCAACGTAAGGAAGTTCTCTACCTAGGTCTGAGACAATGTTTTTTTAAATTCAATGTAGGAAAAAAAAAAAAAAAAAAAGAAGAGAGCCTATTGTTATAATCATGTATTCTAGAAAAGCAACTCCAACCTTCAGTTAGCAAATATATTTGTATTGTTTCACGCAATCACATACCAAAACCCAAAAACCCCGAATGCTTCTAGATGTTCAGAGCAGGCATTGCAATAACTTCCTATAATGCTAGGACTCACCTTCCCAAACTGCTCTTCTGCACTCTTCCACCTAATCAAACAAATCCCACTTCACTTAATGAAGAACTCTGTACTCTAAACCTTATGTACTTGCACATGCAATCTCATGAAAAATCTCTACTCTGAGTAGAGCAGTTCATATGTAGAGCATCTCCCTTAAGGAAACAGATCTCTACCACTTCAGATGTCAAAAACTTTTCTGAGAAAAGCAAACAGTGTGCTAGTGTGGGATACAAACTAGCAGAGAGACATTTGTTCAGCAGCTACAAGCAGCCATAAGACAATTTCTGGGCAAGATGCGTGAAAGTTCAGCAAGATGTTTGCAGAAAACTTATCATAGCCAGAACAATTACAACAACAAGGAATGGTACAGTTGCTTAGATAATTACTAACAATAGGTGTGAGGAAGTGACACCTACAAATGTGAAATACTAGTGCAAGAGCCAGCAGAAGTGTTATAGAAACACTTTTCTATGATAAAAGTGACTTGAAGGAGAAACATAAACGGCAGATTAAGGCAGAAAATAGCAGAATATGGCAGAAAAAGCAGTTTCCAGGCCAACCAAAACCTGCACAGGCTCCTTCTTCTTATCTAACCTTATGACATAACAAAATAGAGCCAAAATTGGTGTTCCAAATGCAAGACTAATTTGCACCCTGCGTGCATTTATCTTGTTTTCTTCAGTAAATAAGAGTAACATTTTACAAAAACAGCAACTCAGTTAATTTCAACTACTTTTTTTAAAAAATAAAAAAAATACTTATTATCTTTAATATCATCTGAAACCTTGCAAAAGACATTTCTAAAGTGCTTACACTTAAAGGGGAAAAAAATAAAGCATATCATTAATCTCTGAATTCTGTACTGCAAACTTTTCATGTTAACACCTTCTTTCTCCTGAACCTTTGATGAAAATTTCAGAGAAAGTTAACACTTATTATTACAGGATAGAACCACTTCAGATCTCCCTATTGAAAACACACGTATTTAAAAATTTTATGATCTTCTACCCATTTTGGTGAGCTTTCATGACCATTTTAACCAATGTGCTGGCTGACACCAAGAGGAGCCGCATTTGCCCTCCTCTAAGCCCGGGGTTTGTATGCCTCCTCCCCATGCTGACAATGTTGCTCGTGGGACTGAGATCAGATGGATTAAAGAAACAATTTGGTTAAAACCAGGTTTCTTCCATGCCTTTTGGGGTTTAGGGTGTTCTGAAACCAGAGGAAGCCTCAGGCAGAAACGGGACTGCTGGGCAGGGCAGCCTGCCTGAGCTCTCCTGAAGTGAGACTGGGCTAAATGGTGAATTTGACAGTGATCTAAGGAAACATTAACCAGATGTCTACCCCCCCCTCAGGAAACATTGCACCCCCACCCTCAGGAAACATGTTTATAACTTAAATGCCATTCCTGAAGAATATGGTTTTACTCTCCCCTTCTGTTCTTTCTGTGTAATTACTTCTTGTGAAACTTTTCCTGCTAGATTTCATCTTCAGAATTGTTTCCTATTTAAGTCTACTGTTATGTTTCATTTCTGATACATAAATGCTTAGAGGGTTTGTTTCAGTTCTGCAGACAGCATTGCACAGATACATACAGAAGCAGAGTTTATAATCCTTTAACTTTAAAAAGGTATATGATTCTTATGGACCTATTTTATTCTAACATGCACAAACCATAACAAGTAGTCTTGATTTCCAGTCTTTCTTATTTGTCTATCTGTAGATGTCACAGAAATGGATCATGAAAAAAAAAATCAGAATCATTCCCTATCCTCCTCTTAAAAGGAAATCTGGAGTCCTTTTCATTTATTGCATGCAAAATTTGCATAATTTGAACTTTTTTATAAGCTTTACCTTGCCTAGCTAACCATTCCAGAGTGGAACTAGATTCTTCCCTTATGCAACATCATATGTTTGCAATCTAAATTAGACCCACCTTCACACCAGAACTGCTCTAGACTCTTAAGTATCCTGTTACAATGGTGCTATACAAATGAATTTAAAAAAAAAAAAAACACCAAAAACCAATGCACACACTGTTACATAGATCCTGAACACACTAAGTAACCCAAACAATGTAGTAGTTCAAAACTGGAATTCAGTCACACCATTTTGCAGAAGTTTTGAAACATTCATTTCCTTTGAAAAAGCTAAGAGTACCTAAGGAGCTTGGTAGCACATACCTCATGGAAGTCCATCTAGCTGCAGCACATTGGCTTTTACTCAAGTCACTTACATACTCTAATGATCATAGCACGACAAGCCGGTGCTGTGACCCAAAAGACTTCCACAGATCCTGAGATCAACTGGATCTTTTGTGCCCAGAATCTCCTTACTATGGCAACACAGCATGAAAAGACTCTGGTTCTCTACTGAAAATAAAGCACTTCCCAAAGGATATGGGAAATTAAGAAAAGCAAACAACAAAAAACCCAACAACTTTCTTAACTGATGTTGGAATATTAATTTGCCTGTAAAAGACATGGAGATTGATTGTTCTTTGTCATTAATGTAAATGGTTAGACATTCTTGGGGCATTATTTTTGGTGATTTCCACAGGCTTCAGTCTGTCATGTAGTTTAGAAAAAGTAATGAAAATAGTATATTTGAACTTTCAGGAGTAAATTCAGGAAGAGAAGGCTGGAAACATTCTTGTGTTTTGGTATGTAAGAGAGTTAACTTCCACATACACTCTCACTGCTGGGAAGTAATCTTCAGCTTTCTGCTCCTCTGAGAAGGGAGGATAAAATCATACTTTTGTAATAAGGAAAGACAGACCAATAATGGAAACACACATTAGTGATAGATTAACCAAGGCAAATGGAAACGTTAGCCTGAAATAAGTTCTAACAAAAGAAATAGATCTGATTTCAAACAAATATATAAGCTACCTCTGTCCATCAGGCAAAAGGCAGCAGAAAATATACACCTATCTGTTAACATAAGGAAGCTACTAATTTTACGGTGGACCAAGTATTTGTACATAAAAGCACAATTTCGGATGCGTCTGTTTTCTGAGAAAAAGTATAGTATCTATTTTCATGAATTGAACTTTTTTGCAGATAGGGAAATAATATTTCCTCCCTTTACATTTTAATTATTTTATTTTTAAGTATTAACTCCTACATTTTCTCTTATTAAAGAATCAAACGACAATATCTGCTCTGTGTTCACTGCTTCCTATACGAACTACTGACATTTTTGCATGAACTTAAGGGGTCAGTTTTTGCCACCTACAAGGTAGGTATATGCAGTAACATCATTTAGTGTCCTTAGGTATATGACAGTATCTTCAGGAAAAATAAAAAGTTTAAAGTAACATCTTTTTATTTCACTCTCATGTCCCTATTTATGAATTTGCAGAAACTTTTTTTCTGCTACCCCAGACAGAAATTAACAAATTGTATTCTAAAGTAAAAATTGAAGTTCACTCAAGGGTTAAAAAAAAGCCTACTCTAGAGGTAAAAATTAGGGATATTAAGCCCTATCCTGAATTCATAGGTGTGCTTGTAGAAGCACAGCAAGCTGTCTCTCATATAGACGCATACATCAAATGCCTTGTTGATAGAAGGAGTCAGCAGATGAGCCTGCAGGAAATGGAAGATACCACTAAAAGGTCTGATCAACTTCAAAGAGCAGCTGATTTGCAGGATGTGGATGGGGAAAATACCCAGTTTTATGACGGCTCCTCCAGAAGCTAAGCTTAGAGCTATGGCCTGTAACTGAGCCAATGCTGGGCTCCAGTATGGG